CTTTATTTTTTGGGGAATGATTTTTCATTTTTTAGAAAACTTTACTCAAAACAAAATTGAGTCGATGATGAAATACTCAACATCAAAAGGAAAATTCACAAAAACTTGGTTTGGGAAAACTTATCAAAAAACTTCTAATTAATAAACATCTAATTATTCGTATCACAATTAATTCGCAACAGAATATTCACACAAAATAGAATTCATTCAATCTTCAAAACAACAAGTTTCATTTCATCATTTTGACAACGTGCTCACACTGAACAGTCAAGTTCACAATTGACAATTTTCTTTTCAACATGCTCTTTTCAACGCAAGTTGCTTGTGCAAAAAACGAAAAATGATTCAGCAAAAAAAAATATTTGGCGCTTATGTTACCAAATCAGTGAAAATAGACTTTAGTTCAAATTGATTAGGATAGATGGCACTATGGCCAAAATTATATTTCAATTATGTTAGCGACAATTGAATTTTCAAACAATTCAGATACCGATCACTATTTTGGAAAAAAACTATTAGCTTTCATTGAACAAGACAACTCTAAGTTGAGGAAATGAAACAAAATTTAATGGTTATTCATATTGTTAAAGGCAATCATTGCGATTCACTTGAATAATAATGATACAAATGCAATCGTTCAGCTGTCAACAAGGGCAGTAAATGTTTTTCTCGATCCAGGATGTTATTCTTTGTCAAACGAACATAGATGACAAACAACAGTCGAAATGTTTGCGAAATGTTATGATCGTCCATCGATGGTGATGGGCTGTGAAGAAAGTTATCAATCATTTGTTCGATAACACTACGAATGGGAGACATTGGTTCATCGAAAATGGAAAGCAAAGGCCAGTTATATGGTTTCATATAATCAATACATTGTATGATCATCGATATAGTCTTATGCATAACACGATGTAATATCCGAGTATAACGTCTAGTCTTGCCTTCATTCATTGTCACCGTGAGCGATGCTGAAGTTAATGACCTCAATAACCCAATGAGAAATGGCACCACTATTTCTTGCAATTGTTGAGTTTCATATTGACCACTCTGATTGCTCAACAATGCCAACAAACGGTACAATATTTGGAAATCATCATCCACAATCATTCGAATGGCATTGCTGTGAATGAAGGGTTCAAACAATTTCAGATACTGCAGTTGATTATCTGGATGTGGTAATCTGCTAAACACCGCCACGAACGATAAACAATCCAACGTGGTCAATTGGTCCAACGACAACTTGCCACCCATTTGGCCATAAACAACGTTGAATAACGATACCTGATCGTCTGGTTCATCAATCACCATCAATAATGCGGCAATAGTTTGCCTTACTGCGTCCATATCACACTCTTGTTGGACTGAACGCGCGAACCGATGGAGGAAAAATGGACGGAAAAATTTCCAAACATATTGACCGTTCAGCAGTAGAAAGGTACTGGAAAGAAAATCAGCCAATGACAATGCCAAGGAATTATCCACTAGTTTTTCATCGATGGATTGCGGCCATAGTGACCATTGTGCAGACAATGTAAACTCGGTGATTGCTCGATATTCGCTCTCAGTTTGCTGCTGTTCTTCAAACAGAAACTTTTGCGACCAACCACTATAACCAGAAACAAGTGTTTCGGATAATTTCATCGTCAACAATTGTTGATTGTTTGCATCGCGATTGACCAGCGCCAAATTGATAAACATTTCTCGTTTCGAATGATTGGCCCTTGCCTACACCAAGCACCAATTCAGTTAGTACAGTCTTCCCAATCAAAACACTTACCGGAATTCGTAATCGACAGGTAGAATTTTCCACAAAATCCAAGTAACCAAGATAATATCCAAGACGTTCGTCCCTTGCGGCTCTATCATCATTATCATTATCCTTGTCTTGGATGTTATCCTCGCGATCATAATCGGCATAGATGAGAAAACGTTTCGAACAAGCAAATTGATCGGCATCAGGGACATTAATGTCAATGTTATTGATGGTCATTTGCAATTCTCGTTCCAAACGAAACGAATTTATTATCGAATTAAACAATAGCCATCGAGACAATTTCATTCGATTCTCAACACAACCGTCCAGCCACCGTAACATCTGCGAATCCTGCAAATGAAGTGGATACACATCTTGCAAGCGATTCAATATGATGGCCACACGTTCAATGTAATCATTATGATAATTGCTATCTCTAATCCACGGTATGTAGTGTCCATTGAATATAGTCAGAATAAACAGCTCGCGATAAAAGTGTGCAACATTCTTATCATCCTTATCATCGTAAAACGAAATGACTTTGGCATTGTTGAGCACACGATCACTGCTTTCCCCGTCATCCCGATTATGTCCATTGTGGATATTGAGTGCTACATCCAGTTGTTCATCTTCAAAATAAAGCGATACTATCGAATGCGATAATTTCGCACAGAAATCCCATTCGCATTTAGTTTTCTGTTCATGCAACATATCGTCCAAAACCAAGTAAGTGGTGTGGTAAGAAAATTTAACCATAAAAATGATCCAGATCGAACAAAGCAAATTCCAAAATCCAATTAAACTAAGCTTAATCTAATTTCTATCCTTGTTGTTGTTGCTACGTTCCAATTGATCAGTCCGATCGGAAAGGAAAAACATCAAATCGCACTGTTGTGCCATCTTTCGGCCACAACATCATCACTCTTTTCATCATTAGAACCGCAGATGGCGCCCAAATGGTTATTGATAGTTTTGAAGAAAGAAAGAAATGGTAATGGAATTTTTATTAGAAAGAATGACAATCTCCAAACACAAGCACACATTATTGATTATTATTATTATTATGAAATAAATGAGACAAACATAGATATGATCAAATCAAATAATGATGATTATGATGATGCGAGAATCTTTGAAAATTGCTTTACTTGGTGCTGCTGCTGCTGCTGATGCTGTGGCGAAAAATGGAAACATGAAACAAACAACCAAATCCAAGTTGGTCATCGGATGGTGAGAAGGGGCGAAAAGATGAATTCAATTTCCAATTCAAAAATGAATCGAAATAGGTAACGTTCATTGGTGAAAATCAAAAATTAATCAATTTGTTGATAAGCAAGATGGAGTGGATATCATCCGCTGACGAGCTTACAAGGCTGAATAAGTGTTCAACAATCGTGAAAGCACTGAATTCGAACGAGTATTGCCGGCTTTCGTTCCCGGTGCTGGTAGAATCGATGTGCATTTCTTGCTGGTCGGGTCGAAATCGCGACATGCAATTTCTGGCAATCGTGTTCCGGCAATGGATTGCACCATTTGGTTCATGTATTTTTTGCCCTCTTTTCCGCATTTGTTTTCCACAATATCATCATTACATTTGCGCATACGACGTACGGCACAGCACATTTCTGCCAAGCAAACATAGCGAAATGAATGAAGGACTGAAATGAGGCAATTGTTAATAGACGCTTACCTGGAATACGTTTTTCCACATCGTTGTTGATGGCACGATCCAATGCTACGGTCAAATCACGCATGCAGGTTCGGGCTTCTTTTTGCGCCTGGTTCAAACATGTTGCGTGTTTGAGATATTGTTGTCGTTCTTCTGAGTTTTCCTTTTCACAGAAATTCTGATGCCATGATTGCACATCACCTTGTGTGGTGATTGAACGGAGAAATTCTCGCATCGATTTTGTGGAACAACGCCGTGAGTAATTTCCAATACAGTCATTCATTTCCTTCAAGCCTTGGCATTGTTTATTGATCTCGGCCACTGTGGTTGGCAGATTCTGACCAGAAGCCAAACCGGATGCAACACACAGATCCAATTCACGAAGATGGCAGCTATTCTGGGCATGTATCACCACACCTGTTCGAATCAAACAAAAATTCAAGTCAACACTTGATCACATTGCAATATCTGTTTGGAGGACAATCATCATCAATGATCATTACTCGAATCAATCGACCATTTTCTTTCATCATTTCTAATCTTGACCCAAAACCTTCTCTTATGAATTATCATTAGGAATCGTTGCTTGTTGCAAATTTGTGCCCTAGTCCTTCCCTGCTTCAATCATGCGACTTATGCTTGCTTGTGCTGAATGAAATGGCCTTGTTTTTGCCTTCGTGTTTGTTTGTTTGACTAGCATTGAGCTCAGCAATCTCAATCTGCATCAGTTGCCTAGTTTGAATCTAAATTCGACCTTGTTTGACCTATCGTTATCATGGTGGCATTGTTGGATTTGTCTAACTTTAGGTTTGACCCAAAATTGACATACTTTGATGAAGGATCTCAAACGAAAACGAAAGCTTTTTTCTCAACAAGCATAACATAATCATACCGGTTATACAATCTATCTAGACTATTTTTCTCTTTCGTTCGTTCGTTTGGTCAACCTAGTTTCGATTTGCCTATGATGGCAGATCAGACACACACGCACAATCCGCCTATGGTTTTCCCACATCAGAATCCTGTTTGTTATCATTTCGGCTGGCTGACTAATTTAAAAACTTGGTCCAATATTTTCACAAACAACAAAACACAATCATACAAATTAAGGTAAATTTACGTACCAAACGCCATAACTGCGATGCCAATGATCAGATATTTCACCATTTTTTTCGTTTGGAAAATTGAAAAAACAAAAAATCAAACTGAATGAAAGAAAAACACAAACAAAAATGAAAATTCAAAAGACTGAACTAATCAGAATGACCAAGTGCTGCACAGAAACAAAACTGGCTTCCAATCCAGACAAAACTTTCGCTTTTTAACAACTATATTCGATCAAACGACAGCCTGGCAACAACACAAAAGAAAGAGAAATCATAAATTACTGAAAAGAGAGTCTCAAAGCATAATCTTCGAAAATGGGAGGCTGCCATTCGAACTGAGATAAGCAATCAATCGAAGCAAAAAGCACCGTGTCTGTGCCTATGTTGCAAACCTGGCCGACTCAAGACAATATTGTCTTTCCAACAAAAAGCTGGTTCTTTGACGTCATCATCAACTAGCCAGCCACTTACTTGTTGCGTCCATCCTCAAGGAACAAGATTTTCTTGCAAATTTTCCTCTCTTGCTCCATCCAATACATTAAACAGATACATCACCTTCGTCAATGGTGAGAATAAGTAATAAAAGTAAAAACACTTTGCATTGATTGATTGATAAATGAAACTTTTAATTTGTTTTGTTGGTTGAGAATCAATCCAATGTTTGTTTATTGTTGTCAATCATTCAATGACAAACTTAATGATTGTTAGCATCCAATAACAATCGATAAACGCTGTTTTTGCAAACAGGTTGTTCTTTTTTTCTAGAAAATTTGCATATCCACATACACACACATATCCTTAGTAATAATATCCGTTTAGCCAAGTAGCCAAGTACACAAGTACATTCATTCAGCTTTCTTAAGGTCATGGCTAAGCCAGCGTTAATCATAATCCATCCAAATGATCGTACATTTCGCTGAGGAAAGAAACGAAAGAGATGCTTTGCCAATAATCACACTGGAAAGAAGAATCGATTGTCGCTATTTAGTGTTAAAATAAACATTGGTTTTCCACCTATAGCAAACACACACGGTAGATGTAGAGAATTTTCGATTGTTTACTTTAATCCAAGCCAAATCATTATTATCATATTGTTCATCAAACAAATTAATTATGCCAATACGGTAAACATCATTCAATAATCAATTGATCATAATCTGGAAAGTTCGCCAAGGTTAAGCCCAAATATTAGGAAATTGTTTTGTTTTTGTTTTTGTTTGAATGATGATAATTATCGGATTTACCGATGATGATTACATTGTTTTTGTCAATGTTTCTTTGTTTTCGACCATAATGCCTGAAACTTGAAAAAACTATTCAACCGATTGATTATGTCAATGAACGTCATCGTTGTTTATCGAAAGAAAGAGAGAAGCAATGACAATAATCATTATCGCTCATGATAATCATCTCGCTAACTAACTAGGCAATCTTGATCAAACCGACAAACAAACAAAATTCTATAGCCTCATTATTCTCTCTGCATCCGATCATTTTCGCTACTAAAATTGGCAACATTTATCAATCAAAGCAGGCGAAAGAATGGAGCAAAAACAAACTGGATTCTTAATCATTCCATATCACCATCATGGATGTAGCAGTCTATGAGAGAATTTAACAAACAGAACACACCCCTTGTCATAGTAGAATCTATTTATACTCCACTCGGCACACATCGCTCACTATATTTAGGCTATGGAAAGAATTTGGCGTTCGCAATCGCTCGACCAATGTTGTTGTTGTTAGTTTGAGTGAATGATGAATGGGTGACAATTTCCATTTCCGTTGATCGAGGCAACATTCGTGGTTGTTGTTGTTGTGGAGATGTGATGATGGCATCTAATTCACATTGACACTCATTCCATGCCTTGTCGTGCAATATCTTTAATTTATTCGATCGATATTCAATCATTTTCCTTTCGCTTCTCCATCCTTCTTCACGAATCGCGCGTTCGTTTTGCTAGCCAAATATTTTTGCAGTCATCCTAGTGACATTTCTTTTTCTTTTCGGCTCTTTCCACTCATCGCACCCGGACAATCAAACTTTCTTTGTTCTGTCGATTCGTCGATTTGTTTGGGTTGTTTTGTTCGGATTCTATAATCCATTTCCTTCATCGATCACCATCTTGCTTACTACAAATACTACAAATAGCCATCACTTTTCATACAAATTCATTCATTGCTTCAGCAGTCATTCGTCCGATCGCATCATCACAAAATCAACTTTCGTAAGTATTTTTCATAATTCCTTAAAACTTGATGTTTGCAAAAAAGTGCTGAAATTTCAAAATTTCGAAATTGCAAAATCCAACTTGACACTATCATTGCACAATTTCATTTTATAAACAAAGTTTTTCATTCCAATGTTTCAAATGTTTCGGCCATTGCTGAACATTCCCAATTCGAGAGCGCCATCTTTCGTTAGTCATCATCACTTGCCATTATCAATGATAATCTTGCATTAATCATTAATCGTGAAAGAGAAAGCGAGAAAGAATTCAATGTCAGTGGATATGACATTGTATGAAGAATGCCAACATTCTTCAAGAAATAGAGAAAGTTACACCCACGCAATGCTGATTCGTTATCCTGATGATCAGAGTATCATATTCTCATCACACACAGTGGCAGTAACGAGTGACCCTTGTAATCGATTCTCACCAAGCAACCAACATAGGTAATAATGATCCACCGTGTTTCGACATTCGATTCTTGGATTGTGTGACACATCAGAAATCATATCATCACCATGATGGAATGATGCCAGAATTTCTTCAGAGTTGACTGCTCAACACTGTAATTTTTTGTTCGAAATTTTGTTCAGTTTTCAGTCAAGTTGTTTGTTATTGCTACCATGGCCAAGTTCTTTTTCCTTTCTCGATTCGCCGAATTGGTTAGTGTCATCATGATGAACATTTCACCATTTTTTCCTTACTTCACTTTGCTTTCATTCACAACAAACATGACAAACAACTAAGAATTTCGTTCAACAATCAAGTTGACCTAGTTTTCTCTGATTTTCTCTTCATTTTCTCATTCATCTCTCCCCTTTTTTGCTGCAGAATTTCAGATTGTTTTTTTTGCGATAAAATTGATCATTTTCGTTTCACTTTCTTCAGATCAAACTAGATTCGTCGTCATCTTCCAAGCAAAATGGCCCTAACCGAGGTAAGATTATTCAGTTTCCTGCTTCATCAATCTTGACCATTTCGTTTGTTTGCTTGGCAGGAAGAAAAACGTAAAGCCGCAGAAAAAGAACGTAAAAAGGCTGAAGTGCGTGCCCGTCTTGAAGAGGCAGCACGTGCAAAAAAGGGAAAAAAAGGTTTCATGACACCGGAACGTAAGCGTAAATTGCGTGTAAGTGTTGCTAAATCCAATATGCCAAATTCAATTTCGTTCACGGCCAATATCTCCCATTAGACATTATTGCGTAAAAATGCAGCCGAAGCTGTCAAGCGTGAACAGGAACGACGTGCAGGCGAACGTCGAGAAATGCTGCTCAAACGTTGTGGTCAGGCAAAAAACCTCGACGGCCTAAACGCAGGTAATGTTCACTTTGTTATAAATATCGCCAATCACCAATCAATCCTATCCCACAGACGCATTGAAGAAAGTTTGTCAAGAATATCACGATCGTCTAGCCAAACTAGAGGACAACAAATATGATCTTGAATGCGAGGTGAGACAAAAAGATTATCTAATCAATGAATTACAGGTACAAGTCAACGATATGCGTGGCAAATTGTAAGTCATTCACTCACTCACTCATTCTTTCAACATCTAACCTCTTCTTGTCTCTGCCCAATCACCACCCAAGCCTTAAACCGGCATTGAAAAAAGTGTCAAAATATGATCAAAAGTATGTATAATATTTGACTCATTTGGCAAACTGATTAATTCTGCAAACCTTCTGCTAGATTGGAAAAAATGGCCAAAGTGGCTGCGAAAGCTGATCAAGATTTTCGACAAAATCTGAAACGTGTACAGTCAACCAAATTCACCGTGGAGGATGAAAAAGATGTAAGTGAAAAAGTGAAAAATTATCAATTGCATTTCAACGTGATTATTTCTCCCAGATGAAAGATCAACCAAATTGGGCCAAAAAAGGTGGACATAAACTGGAAGTTGAAGAAGCCGAAGAAGAGGAATAAACGAGCAAGACAAGAGCACCATACCCGCCGCACCACATTATAACATTATGACACCATCAAACTGAATTGAGCAGTGCAATATATTGATACTATGAGATATACAAATGCCAATAAACAATTATAATTATAATATCATTTATTCGCACTATTCACAATGCTAAACTTTGCTTTTCACGCACATTTCGATATGCTTGTGTCCAACTTGATGACCGTGTTCGTCCACGTCCTCGTCCTCGTCCCCTTATTGATCGTCGTCGAGAACTGTTACTAACAAGACTTGGTCTTTGTTGGCTAATTCGATATGAACTGACTGAGGAAAATCTCGATCGATACCCTCCTCTTCCACCACCACGAAAGCCTCGACGACCACGAATGCTGCGGCCACGAAAACCGCGACCACGAATGCTGCGTCCACGAAAACCGCGACCTCGAATACTGCGACCACGAATACTGCGACCACGAAAACTGCGGCCACGAAAACTGCGGCCACGAATGCTGCGGCCACGAAAACTGCGGCCACGAAAACTGCGACGGCCGCGAAAATTTCGACGACCACGACCACGACGACCACCTCGACCACGACGACGACGACTAGTTGTTGGGAACTGGAAAAATTCTAGGATAGGATCCTGATTACTTTTGACCATTGATGCCGGTCCAGATTGACGATCTTGAGCGGTTAAAACATTGCGACAATTTTTGCACATCGATTGCGGTTGAGATTGCTGTTGTTGCTTTTGCGGCGATTTCGGTTTGGGCTGCTGCTTTCCTGCTGGGGCTGGTTCCGGGGGTGGTTGTGGTTCTGGTGATGGAGGTGGTGTTGGCGGCATTGGATATGGCGGTGGTGACTTGTGTTGTTTTGGAATCAACATCGTCTTTGGTTCCGGTTTCAGTTCCGATTTGGGCAGAATCTTTGATTGTAGCTTCGGTCCGGGATTAGGTTCAATCCTCGATTGCGGTTTCGGCTTCGGTTCGAGCTTGTTTTGTTGTGGCCTCATATCCCATTTAGGATCCATTGATCCGAATGTTTCGCTACTTTTGATAGCTCTGGCGATGGCCGCCGCCAACGGCTGTAGCGGTACATCTGCGATGGGTGATTTATTCTTCTTACGCGATGAACGACGTGATGATGGACTTCGATAGACATCAATTTTGATTTTGATTTGTTGACTTTTTGGCTTATTGTCGTATTGTCGACTAGAATAGCTGGTAGATGGTGCTGATTCGTCTGATCCCACTATTATTGATGTGGTTGCTGAAGATGTTGATGATACTCTTTTAGCATCTTCATCTGGCTTCGAATATTTAGGATTGTTGGACATATTTTGTTAGCAAACAACAAAAATCATTAAACAAAACACACAAACCAAATTGACCATGCAAACAAACATTGAATTTATTCATTTATAGACATTGTCAACAAATACATTCTTAATTCAATTTATTCACTATACAATTCAATCAATTCATTCCATTCATTCCATTCGCCATTGTTAGCCCCCAACAAACCAATCAGCCATAGTAATATCGTCCTTTCGATTTGGATTTGATCTTGATTTTGGATTTGTATTTCACCTTTCCGTGCACAGGATATACGTAGACAGGCCGTGCATAACCATAGCCATAACCACCGCATTCGACTGTTGACGGTCCAATCGTGACGAGCATCGTGGAGATAAAGGCCAGAATGGCCAGAAATGGCACCAAAAGCTTCATTTTTTGATTATTCTCTGAAATGACAGTCTTGTCCAGAATGGATGACCATTTTTATACCCAACACCGATCGAACACTGAAGCACAAACAGGTTTGCTATAATTATCGCCATGTACGATGCAATCTAATTACCAATTCAGATTATTCAATCAGCCAAGGACACAATCCAATCATTATGCCTTTCGTGGTTGTTGTTGGCATTTCAATCATTTTCTTGGGGAATTTTTGTGCAATTGCATCATTTCCACCAGTCTTATCGCATAATCATAAATAATAATAGTGATCATTATCAATGGACAATCCACATTTCATGTTTGTTATGTTCGTTCAAATCAACAAAACAAGACAATCGATGCTGGGAAACTCCTACCGTTGTTGTTGTATTCTTCCCGGAAAACAATGGAATGATGGAAAATGATGATAACATTGATTGGTTGATTGTTGTAAAATGATGATCTAGATATAAAAGGCAAAACACACTTTTTCCGATCACGATAATTGTTTTTTGTTGCTAGTAATCATTATTGCGATCAAACATGAAATTTCTCTATGTTTTCAGCCTTGTTGTAGCGTTGTTGTGTTTCTTGCCCGTATCATGGTCAGTGAAACCGGATGAATTTGCTCAGGATTGCATCGATTCGCTGACTGGTGCCAATCTAATACAATGGTGTCGAACTGGTGCTCTCATCGATTACGATCCAATCCGTTTGCACACAAATGTTACCACTGTTTGGGAAACCTGTTGTCAAGCTTTCGATGAACTTGAATGTTATCAACAACAAGGACAGAGGTTTTGTCCATACAACATATTCCTTCATCTCAAACAATACATCCAAGAATCCCGTCAGTTTTTCGCCAAATCATTTTGTAAAAATCCTGGCTACAACCAATGGCAAGAATATTGCCAAAATCTTACCTATCAGGCATTACATCATAATGATGATCACCATCATAAACTGGAACTCTTTTTACCCGATCCAAACAACGATCAAACCCGCCAATGTTTGAATGTTATCCAAAATCTTACCGACGATGGTGATCGAATCGAATTCTGTCGCCAACAAACATTCAAAGAATTGCCCAAAAAATTCGACGAAAGCATCAATTCGAAAATATTTTGCTGCGCCCAATATAATTTCATGGAATGTATTGCAAAACAAGCGCAAAATTATTGCCATTCAACTCAACGATCGAATCTTTTGGATTGGTCCAGGCAGATATTTGGATGGGCAAGTGACAAAATATGTCATTCACTACCTTACTATGAGAATGGCGATGAAAATCATCTCGATTCGCAAACATCTGCCACTTGCCGTCGCTATGGTTATGATTTGAGGGACAATTTCATTGGCAAAGATTCCGCACACAATTCCAGCAGCAAATGGTGGCTATTCATCCCGATTACATTGGTTATTGGCGTCATCATAGGCGCTATTTATTATTACAAATATCGTTAGTTAAGGTGATCAATCAATATTAACACTATCAATGTGATAAATAAATTATATTCCAACCAATTCCAGTTGGCCATCATCGTTCCTGACGATGATTCTAGGTTTGATTGAGTTGTTTTCATCATTTGATTCTGTTGTTTGAGTTTGAGATGTCGTTGCAATATGATTGTATTGCCCGTTGATTCTGATGGATTGATTCGAAATGTATTTTGGTGATCCTGATGGTTATCATGCTGATGATCATCATTTGACATGTCGATCATGCGACCTCGAATACCGTACAATGCTTCATCACAAGTGCCCGGTCCATAAGTATATGCCTGACAATGTTGTTCCAACACCGGATTGGTTATTCGTGGTAAATGATCACGCATAAATATTGATGCCGATTGGCCACATTGTTCGCGAACATGACGTCGTTTGCAGAGAACCAATTCCTGAAGAGCACTAAGTATGAATAGTATGGATAGCATGAATAATGATTAATGCACATCACCAGAAAGAGAACGAGAAAACGAGAAAAGAGTAATAAAGGTGTTAAATTAATGAAATATTCATGGAAATCAACTTAAATAAAGTTAGTCTGCCATTTGGCTGAACATCATTCACATAGACATTTGGGAATGCCGATAAAAGTGTGAAAAGTTAATTTTCTCTCATTCTCACTATGTCCGTAAAGGGTTCAATATTGTTGTTGTTTTTTTGGGAGAAAAAAATTCTCTGAAAATTGAAAACCAAAATCTGAATCGGAAAAACAAACGAAAGAAAAAACAGTATAAACAATGCATCCATCTAATTGGATTAATCAGCTAAACAGCCAGAAATACGAAAGGAAAAGTAAAAGTGAAACGAAAACCAGATCCACTCTCATGGGTACAATATCCATACCGCCACAAGAAAAGAAAAACAAAACCAACAGCACAATCCTTGCTTTTCACTCTATCCACGAATCTCTAGTGTATTTTTTTAGCCAGGTCTTTTTCTCCACTGTGCGGATAATTTACAATTAGATTAACCGAATGTGCGGTCACTTGGGTCTGGTGGTTTTCGATTGTCTCACCATCTCTCACTCTCATTCACTGAGGGAAGATTTGTTAGTTTGTTTGTGCAAGTCACTATTGTTGTTTTTGTTGTATGGCCACAAAAACATTATCACATTTATTACACGGTTTTTTCTTTTCTTCAACATCCATTGCTTTTCAACGGCTCCGGGCAATTTGATTTTGTTCCGATATAAAAAATCTAATTGTAAAGCCATACAGCCAGTAGTCACTAATCATTGAACATTGTTTTTGTTTTGTTTTGTTTTTTTTGCTTAGCAAATCAAATTATCTTTGCAATTGAATAATGATATGGATAGATCCCAGTAGTGACCACACTCTGTTAGCTTAGTCGAGTGTTTGATGAACAACAACATGCAAGCATGAATGGATGACCTTCGTGAATTTGTGCGAAAAAAATAGCATAAATCAATCAGAGACTTTTTGGTTTTGGCTAGAGAAATTTGAATTGGAAAATAAATTATTCCACCACCCCAATAAACCAGAACACTCAATTCAAACAACAACATTAGAATAGGCTGATGGAAACCAGAGAATCTAAAGAAGAAGAAAAAACCCGAAAAAAGATAAATCAACAAAACAAAAGAAATATTAACAAAACAAACAACATTTCGCAAAAAACACTGTCTTTTTCTGTCTGCCTGCCTGGATGTTTATTTACATTGAACACGAACACAAAACTCGATTTCAGACCACACCAACATCAGGCCCCAGAAGAATAAAAATCAAATCCAAATATCAAATGTCAGGATAAGGCACCACCAACCAACCAACAATGCAAATTGGGATCAATTTTGGAAAGCAAATAATAAACATTTACAAGTAAAATGACTTACCAACATGATCTTCGCATTATGATTTCCTTCATTTGTATTTCCCGACGTTGTTGTTGGTGTGGATTCTGTAACGATAACGGCGGCAATTCGATTGCATCACGATATTCGTGGGCACATTTATGTTCGTCGAGAGAAATATTTCGAAAACATTTAGCATGTATCAGGTATTCTATGAGAATCGAATGAATCATAGCATAAACTAAACACGTGGACAGAATCGCTTTCTTACCTGCTTGCACTTTGCGATCATCACATAGATCATGTACGAATTGTTTAGCATTGGTCACAATATGACCAAATACCTGCATCATTTCATTGGTAAAACAGCGTTCTGAATGTCGATCCAAACAACCGACACGCTTTTTCAGATCCGTGCAGGTTAGTTGCAATTGTTGGGCTGTAGTGGGAAATGCTAGATCGCCATTATTGCCGCCGGATGATGACCATAATCCGGAAATGCATTGTTGAAAATTTTCCAATGTACATTCTTGCATGGTTTGATCGTGTTGATCGATTGGGGTCGAAATCGATGAGGATAAATGACGAGCGTTCACCATCATATCGTTGATGGTGATGATGATCAAAACAATCAACCAGCAATGATGATTGAAATCCAATGATGACCATAATGATTGAGCCATTTCAAACATCACCCAAATCATCAAGTTGTTGATGAAATTTGCACCCAAACAGTACTGGCTTCCTTTCCAAACTGATACTGGCCGATCGACGAGGAATTTTCTTCCAAAAACCAAAACTCGTAATTGGGCGTATGTGCGCGCCAATTCTAGAATCAAACCAATTCTTCTCAATCACAAATACCGACAAGCTCCGCCTATTCAAAATGACGGAAAAGTTTTTGGTTTTGTTTTTTTGCATTGTACTTTCTACAGGTGAAGCAGCGTAGTATCAGAAGGCGGTGCTTAATCTAGCACTAATTGACATTCGATCAGATATTGGAAATGAACCGAATTAACCCTTTTTCCTCAGTGTTCCAGGAATCAATGAAGCAAAATATAGAATTTTCAATTATTATTATTGCCAAACCATCATCATTATGGAAAGTTCAATTGATGGAAAATATCGCATAACATCTGGTTCATATCAAAAACCAAAGGAATATGATGCGGCCATACTAATCGAGATTGATGATTCATAATAATAATCATAATGATTGCAAAAAACACAAACAACCAGACATTTCTCATCTATACCAGCAATGAAAAAGTTTTTCTAGTCTGCCAATCTGGGCTTGCTGAATTCGCTAATCCGGCACGGTCATTTCATTTAATTCTCTCTTTTTCCTCTCTCGGTTTGATTGTTGTTTAATTAACAACTGATTATCAACTGAAAAAAATCAAGTTTATTTCCATCTCTCTCTCCCTCTCTCTGTCCAATTAATTGTGATTTATCGTCGTGGCATACATTCACACACCGTATGGATTACAACAATGGATTAATGAAATAAAAGTTTATTTACAAGTTTTCTTCCATGCTAATTGTTGCCAAATTTATTTAAAACAAAAAAACTTTTTCCCATCCAACCAAAGAGAATTCATTTTAATGACCATATTGTATCGATTAGAGAGAAAAATCGAAAATCAAATCGGCAAGTTTGTTGTTTTGCATTGAATCAGATACTTTTGGTTACATTCATCGATACGATACAATTACACTACACTTGAAACATTCATTGTGTGTATGTTCGCATATCAAATTCATAAATTTTCATCGTCATCGTCGTTGTTGGTAACAGAGCAGTGTAATGTCAATTTTTTCATTATTTTTGGCCCAAATGTACGTGATTCGATTGCAGAGAGAGAGGGAGGGAAAGGAATATGTTTCTAAACCGAATTCTCCCTCAATGATTCGAACGTGCTCATTTGGACGACCGACCCGAACCGAGGTCTATGGACGCCCACCGAACAACAAAAAATTATGTCATATAATTTGGTGCAAGAGATGATACTGTTGTTGTCTGGTGATTTGTTTGGACAATATCTTTCATTCATTGTTTCCATTCGATAGGATCGATTCCCGAAAAAATTGAAAAAAAGATTCAACTGTTTCCGATCACTTGTGTGGAAATAGAATGATGGCTGACTCTCTCTCTCATTAGCAGTAATCATCATCATCATTAAATAACGAGATTCTAATTATCCCGTTTCTTGGTCGTGTATGATATGGTTCATTAGGCAGTTTCCTACCAAACAAACACAAACAACTTGCATGTCAGATTTTTTGTTTTCACGGATCACCGAAAATGTTAATCATTATAATTCGAATGTGTGGTCGACCAGAATGCTAAACAAACAAATTCTCGGAATGGATAATGAGTATCGGAAAAATCAATAACAAGCAGATATTGTTTGAGTGGAACAATAATTAATGATTGCCTCTCCAACATTACCAATCAATCACATCATTATGCTATCATCAATGTTCAATCGATACTTTTCAATCAATTCTGTCTCAATGTTGTTGTTGTTGGCAAGAAAATAGCATTCGATTAATTATTATAATGTTCCGCTACTCACAACTAATCGATCAAATCAATCGATTGACTTTATTTATTTTGATTTTGATTGAATGGTAATAATAATTTCTCTCCATTACATTAATAATAATGATTATACCGATTGGATAATTTCTTGTGTAACTTGGGGACGATGAATCATTTCTCTGAATTTGTCGCACAATTCGTGTGTCAACATTGTCATGAATTGTTGTCGATGTGGTTCCAATTGCCATTGACTAACTCGTTTGAATGGCCATCGCATGCCAGTTTTGACGGTACGGCCACGCTCATCTTCCATATGAAAATCGTTCAACTCCAGCGGTTCCAATTCAGCTACATGCACGGTGGAACGTTTTTGGTCCACAAACATTGCCACACGGAATGTAGCGTCTTTGGCCACCAATCGAACGCATTGATTACGTATTCTCAACCGATTATACATTCCTGCATCGGCTTCGAATTCGCATGTTGGTTCGGGCACTCGAATCGTTCCTTCGATCATGTATTTATCTTGGCCCAATTTTTTCGAGTGAAAGTCATCGCCGCGACAAATGGTTCCCATGTGATTGAAACGGCCGTCATGCAGTTGAATACGACCCCATCGTGCCATTCGTATTGGTTCAACATTATTGATTACATAATGGGACATATGTTGCATAAATTCTGGTTGTAAATGCTCTAATAGATTGTCCATTATTTGATTGCACTCTGTTGTGGTTATTATTTCTTTTGTTTTGATTGTTTTCTGTTCAAAATTATTTTAGTTGAAATGGTCGATCACATCAAATCACATACCTGTTCTGTTACTGTTGGTTGGTATTCGATGACTTTTTTCTCTTCCACTGGAGGATATGATTCCTGCTTGACCTGTTCCGGTTCCGATTTCGATGCGATGGTCTGTTCGACACTGTCATATTGTTGTTTCTCCTCGGTTTGTTGGTCTGGTTGCATTATTTTTGGTATTTGTCCCCCATATACACCGACACCATATCCGCTATAGCCGTCGTCATCTTTTGTTTGTTTTTCTTGGCTTTCCTCTTTGATTGTTGGATATGAATGTTCTTCGTTTTGTATGGCGGCTACCTGTTGATTGGCATTATAATCTTTAAGTTCCGGCGTATATTCCGGTTGCTGTTGGATTGGCGATTTGGTCTCTTCCTCATAGATTTGTTCCACTATTTTAGTCTTATCATAATGCTGTTGTTGTTGTTGATCGGTCTCCACTTTGGTCGATGGCTGATCATATTCTTGTTTGGTGTAAATCTGTTGTTGATCATAATCGTCATAGTTGGTGTCACCAGCATCATCATAACTGCGACGAGCACGATGTCCATATCCTTTGGGCTGTTCATAGCCATGATGCTTTGGTTGTTCATAACCATGATGTTTGGGCTGCTCATAGCCATGATGCTTTGGTTGTTCATAACCATGGTGTTTTTGTTCATATCCGCCATCGAAATCCCCTTTTTTGATTTTTTTCCATTTATCACGTTTCTCTTGTTTTGCTGCCCATTTTGCTTGTTTAGTTTGCCATTTGGCTTGTTTCTTATAATCTCTCCATTTCGATGCCCGTTTATCGATCGAATGATCATCCCCATCGAATGTAATGCTTCGACGTCGACGGCCGTATCCCCCTCCACCACCCCCGCGTCTGCCACCGTATCCCCCACCCCCATATCCGCCACCGTGTCCACCACCATGTCCACCACCGTGTCCATTACCATATCCGCCGCTATAAGTTTTTTTCACCCAAACTTGATGATATACCGGTTGTTTATAGACGGGAACTTTTTCCACTACCCGAATCACTTTGACGACAGGCTGTTTGACCACTTTGGTTACGACTATTGGTTCGCGTATTACTTTGGTTATCACTTTTGGTTGTTGATGATAATCTTCTTTCCATACTTGGGGCTGTTCATTCCAGATTTTTTTCGATCCACCGCCATAGCCACCGCCAGTTCCTTGACTGACAATCACTTCTTTGGGTTTATAACTTGGCTGTTCTTCTTGCCAAATCGGTTCCTGACGAATGGCAGCACTTTTTTTTGATCCACCACCATATCCACCACCAGTTCCTTCACTGACGATAACTTCTTTGGGTTTATAACTTGGTTGTTCTTCTTTGATGATTTCCGGTTGATATTCGGGTTCTTCCTTCCATACAGGTTCTTCATAGCTATTAGTTTCGATTACCGGTTTTTGATATTCAGTTTCAACTAAACAAATACAAATTAACAAACCAATCAATATCAATATAACAACAACAAAACAAACAAACTCACCCACAACTCCTTTATTTTTAGCATTACCATATTGGCATTGACCATTCCGAATGATTGCCAATATGGTCAGGTTAAGAGTGATGATTTTGAATGCTTTCCACCCCATCATCTTCATCAAACAAACACTAATTAAAAATGGAAATGCAATTCTGCATTCGCTTCCAATTTATAGGGCGGATGTTCACACACTGAACAGTGAACATGCAATTCATTTTGTTATCAGTGAATGGCGACAACATTAAAAACCAATAATCAACGAGGAAATTGAAATCGATTCCTATATCGTCCTATCAGTCAGTCAGTCATTCAGTCAGTGTAATACTTGTTTCCGGCTAGTTTCGAGATTAGGTCGACATTTCATTGATTCGATTTCCTGTGTTCAACGAGATTTTCAAGTGAAAATCATAATTTATTGCAAATCAATCACTCATTATTGCCAACTCATCCGTCCAACCTATCAACTGACCAAACATATTACCCTCGTTTGATTGGTTTGGATTTGGCGAATTTTGCACTTTTTGAAGGAAAATTCAATTATTCACGGCCACACACACGAACAATGTTCACTTGAATCGTCTTTGTTGATCTGAATCATCGTTTCGGATGATGAAATAACTCGATTCGCTCTAGTTTTTTTGCTTCCATTATTAAACCAGATAAATGGACATGGTTATCCCATTGATGATTTTCGTAATGAAAAATGAAAACATTTCTGGCCAAAAATATAAATATGATCATATTGTTATTGCCTTATTCGTAGATGGTTAGTGGAAGGGATGAATAAATTGGCCATTTCATTGAACGTGCTCTATCATTAAGGCATTGGATAAACAGACACAGCCAAAAAACCATTGCTTACCGCACAAATCCATTTTCGAAGGTTAAATTTAGTAGTCGAAATGAGTGAGTTTGTGCTTGAATGCAACATAGTTTTCTTTTGATAATCACCATCTGAATATTCATTCATTATAGCGAAAAATTGTTTAATTCAAAATCTATCTTGACCTTTCCATTCCCATGATTGTGTTGTGATGAACATCATAATTATCGTCATTTCAAACATTATCTCAATGAAACAAGATCATTTTTAATCATTCACAATTAAATGCCCCTTTCTCTCTCTCTCTCTTTCTTAATTCAATTTGTTAGTTTTTTGATTGTGCGACCAATGTTTCTTTTTGTTTTGACAAAATTTCAACTAATTTTCTTGCCTGATTGCAACATCATCGCAAAATTCGAATTGGAATGGCCACACTATCGATACTCACAATCGATTCTTATCTTTATTACATTTTTTATAACCGACCTGATTTATCATCAAATTTGGATAAGATTTATTTATTCGAGGTTAATTTCGTGATTAAATCAATGAATGAATGACATTTGCTGGCCAAAAATATTTTCCACATATATTTTGAGCTAATCGTGCAATGATTTATCGGGTATAATCGAATTACCGTCTTTGATTGCCAGCAAATTTCGAGGCTAATTTCGTGATCTTTTATAATCGGTTTTCATTTACTTTTTATTTTTGACTGAATCAAATTTTTCTCCAATCAGAAGGGAAAGATCTCAATGTTTATTCGAATGTCACACACTTGTCGAAAATGACTTGTGAAATTTCTCATTCACTAAAAATGATTGATATTTTTGTTTGTCAAACAAAACGATAAACTCTTGATTAAAAGCAAAATGTATGATCAAAACAATTGATCGAGCAAAATACTAATGATGGCCATTTCATAGTTGATTCGAATGTCAAATGCAATCAAGCTAAAATATCCACTACAATGATCAAAACAAGGCCAACCTTATTTGGCGAAAGTCGAATGGCGAACATGATCTATTTTTAGATCAATCTGGTCATCAATTCATTTGAAAGATGTTTTAATTAATTGCATTTCTTCCGCTTCTGGATTCATTCTGCCATTGGCATCTCTTCTTTTTTGCTTTGAATATTAATTATTCTGAATCATGCATTTGACAAGCCAAATCAAAACCAAAAAAGAAAGGAAAAACAATTATTTCCACACAGTAACACTGATCTAACCCCTTCATCATCAGTAAAAACAATCCGGCCGGTCATGTCATGTTCAACAAACTGTAACGAAATTAATGAATTATTCATCCATGTTTCAATAGAAAATTTGGGTCAAGTACAATAGGATAGAGGATGGGATAATTGATCAGTTTATGACAAATCCCACTAGAATCGTCCAAAAATTCCAATCACCACCATCATCATCAATCGATTTGCACCACTCATGTTTTGTTTTCAATCATTTAAGTAAGACATCAACAAAAAGAGAAAATTTCAAAACTCATCATCATCATCATCATCTTCTTACGTCCAGCGAACGAAAGAGAGAAGCTGGTTTCAATCAATCAACGTTTTGGATTTGGATTTCGAGAAAGAGAGAAACCTGAGGAATGAAGAAGCATTCCTTCGTTCATTCATTGATGATGATCCGTTTAGTCGAGTTTTGTCTTTGCTCGTCAACTGTTTGTGTCTTCATATTTTCCATCGAAAAACTTTCAACTGAAACAAATCTATTATGAGCATTGTTGGATTAGTGTGCAAACCAAGCAGATTTCCTGGACTTATCATCATCATCATTAGCAATTGAATAAAGCGCTACTGATTGAAGTTTTCATTTGACAACAAAAAATAAGGTGATATTCCTCAGTGAGGAAGTGAAATCTACAAGTGAATGGTGGTGTTGATGTGCGTGTGTGTGATAACATCGTTAAAACTATAATGATGTGGATCATCAGTTTTTGCCAAACCAAATTGTCACTTATCTATGTTTGTGTGGGATGAAAATAGCATCGATTATCAATCATCCAAGCATGTGATGACATGATCAAATTGAATTGAATCAATCCACTATTTATCATTGCTATTGTTTAGGTGGAACAATCATGAAACCATCATCATCATCATTTTGATAAAAATCAACATTGTTAACGTTATCGCTATTGAATGCCATTGTTGTGTGTTGTCGTCAATCATGATGAATAGACTAAAATATTGTTTATTGTCAATATTATTTATCCATTTGCTTTGGCTAAATGGTAAATGCATTTATATCATGAGTTTTGGCAATTTTCCAATGATATTAATGAAACAATAGCCATAATGATCATCATTTATCATAATAATTGTTATTGTTTCATTTATATTAACAAAACCAAATTATGTTAAATAGATCATTATGTTTAGTAAAAACATTCCATCCTAATGATTAGCAATTATCATTATTATTATTCATTTTTTTTATATCGCCCATTTAGTTGTTTACTGTGAGCCATTGGTAACTGATAACTATTATGGCACGCCGTTGGGACCATTATCGCCTGGTCCAGCGACCGGTCATGTATATGCTGCGGATGAAAATACAATTTTCATCAAAGGCTTCAGTTTCGATGGTGCCCGAAATCCGTATAGTTATTTTCAGGCTGGATCGACTCTTCGACCGGACGGTACTGGTTTCACTATTGCCGATGATAAAGCTACGTATGATGTTTTGAGACTGGATCGTTTGATCCGAAATTTCTAATAAAATCTTTTTTCATCAAAATTAGTTACAATCAGTTGGCCAAATATGAGAATAAAGATCTAATCCTTAAACTGCCTGATGGTCGTACAATTCGAGAATTGCGTTGGTTTTCGGTATGGAGTCGTAATAATCACCTATCGATGGGTCATGTCAACATACCGGTTGATGTTGATCTACCACATCCCTTACAATTGGCTGGCCTCACCACCTTGGCACACGGTGTTCGTTCAGATCCGATAACCATTGTGGATGCTCAAACCATATTGATACCCAATTTTTGGTATGATGGACTTGGTCCGGCTGCTTATTGGTGGGCCACGCGTGGTCCACGTCAATCCCCGCAAGGTCTGCGATTAAAAAATGAAAAAGGATCTGTACGACCATTACCAGCTTACCATGGCGAAACCATCATGTTAATGCTGCCCGATACTAAAACTATCTACGATTTTGATTGGCTTGGCATTTGGTGCGAAGAATTTCAGGCAGATTTTGGCCATATTCACATTCCACAACATGTACGTGTGCCACCATCACCTGCTATGTTGGGTTTGAAGCCTGAGGCAAAATTGAATTGTGAAGTTTTTGATGATCTTCGTGGTTTTGAAATGCGTTGGATTCTCGATGGTGATGATATTGTTATACAATTAGTCGGTCGTATGTTACCCAATGAATACATGTCGATAGGTTGGGCACGTGATGATACGCATTCATTGATGATCGGTGCCGATGCTTTGGTCGCCTGGATCGACTCCGCCGGTCAAGGACATGCTAAAGATTATTATATCAGTGCAAAAGAACCATGCATCGGCCAACATGGCGTTTGTCCAGACCTCAATCATCCCGGTGCTACCGATAGCATTACATTGTTACATGCAGCCGTTGTGAATGGATTTCGTATGATTACTGTTAAACGACCACAGCTAGGGGTGGACGAACGATTCGATCAGCATATCTATTCGGATGGTCAACAAGCTATCATCTGGGCATATGGACCATTGAATTCGCGCAATGAACTTGCCTATCATACACGTCATCAATATGGCAACCGATTTATTGATTTTGCTCGTCAACCACAATGGAATTGTCCAAGTCCAGATCAACAATTGATGCAGCAAAGAAAATGGCAACAATTAGTTGCTTCGGCATCGGCCAATTCCAATCAAACGACAGCAAGCAATCAACGTGATACAAGAATGGTATCATCCAATGCAACCATCGAACCTCTCACAACCACAACAACAACCACAGCAGCACCATTGGTCCAATCACAATCATCCGTTGAACCTTGGACCATACCACGAATTCAATGTCCAAAAGATGGCATTCTTTTTGCTCAGATGGGTCCGGTCGGTGGACCAAAACGAGGTTATCAGGCTAGAACCGGACATAAAGGCTGGGGTCTGGCCTGGTACATCAACGGGTTGATGATACCGGAATTGGTGTTCAAACGTGGAACTACATACACCTTCTGGGTGGAAGGTGGTAATGATCATGATAATAATGCCAGAAGACATCCACTTTACCTTACTACCAGTGCCGAAGGAGGATTCGAATATAAAACACCCGATGAACGGCGAATGGAACAAGTGTTGGCTGGTGTTGGTGTTACTGACAACGGCACCCTGTATCCGATTGCTGAAGGACGAAATTGCAAATGGCATATCACTTCCAAAACAAACATCAACGATATCGATCAAAGTTATCCAACGTTTGAAGATTTTCGTAAAACTTTGGCCCTTGATTGTGATCAAACCGGCCAGGCTGCTCGACTTCAATTTACACCCGATCATAATACACCGGATCTTATTTATTATCAATGCTATCTTCATCGATTTATGGGCTGGAAAATACATATCGTCGACGAATGTCCCAATCAACAGACCAAATCAATGCCATCCACATCTAGTTCATCATCATCTTCGTCTCAAATTCAGATTGCGGCCGCTCCATCCACGAATCATCATCATTTGATCATGCCCAAGTCAAGTGCTACTATGATCATTAAACCGGTGAAAAAACGATTACAAAATCTTATGTTCCAAGCAACAGAACCGATCGCAACTTCAGCAAATATGAAACGACTTCCCAGTTCTTCGCCTATCGTCAAACTTGGTCCAAAATTCAATGTTCTTTATTCGGCTCCAGCCATCTCTCCATTCGAAATCAAACGTACCAACAGTATGAATATTCCCTCATCATCCTCATCATCGGGAACATTTATGTTGCAAAATTTTGACAATTTATTCGATCCTTTTATGGATAACAATTTTAATCATGGTTATGATTCGACCAGCCATCATCATCGAATCGTATCGTTTGGCAATCCAGTTCTGCCATCTGGTGTTGCCAATCCATACAATTCACCATTCCGAAGTTTCCATCAACCATCCACCAATCCAAATGCCAATTCGAATCTGAATTTTGTGATGAAAAAGTTTGGCGTACGATTTCCCAATCAAACTAGTCGTACGGCAATCATCACTTCACAACCGAAGCTATCACCGCAATCATCACCAATATCGGCCAAACCGATCAAATCATCATCACAGTCATCGAAATCCGGTGGATTTATGCCGTTGACCACTGCCGGGCAGAATAAATACAATCAGCGTTTAGCATGGCCATCATTGGCGATGAAATCGAAAGCAAGAAATAAGTTCAATGACAATGTTCATTCTTCTTCCACATCATCATCATCGGATGTTGGTTTCGGCATCGAAGATATTCTTCGCATTCGTCCTGTCGATTCGATGGCTGCAAACAGCCGTACCACCACCAGCACTACCACCACAACAATAGCACCGACCACGACCACATCAACAACGACAATGATAGCGCCAATGATGACGACAATGACACCATTAAATCATCGTCCCACTAAACTATACGATAATTTTGTCGATCCAAAACTATTATCCGCGCTTGAGGTATATCCATGGTTGTTTGTTTGATGATAGTATTTATTAATGAATGTTTTTTGTTGACAGTATTCGAATGGCTTGTTATCCGATCACAATGAAACGGATGATTTGGATTCTGATTCGAAACCATTACAGCTACAATCCTCGTCATCGTCGCTGGTTCCCAGACTCCATTTCAATAATGCCACTATCGACCATATTATCCTGATGGATGTAATGCGAATGATTGCACGAGATTCTCAACAACAACAACCCAAACCCAAACCCCAACCAACATTACAATCATTAGCCAATGTTGACATGTTACGAATATGATACTTATTTAAACATTTTAATTATAATTGAATGGCATATATTTGGAAAATATTAATAAATTATTATCATTATTTTTACTATTGTTCATATCAGTCAAACAATCGCTTTTGTTTCCATATTTACAGGCTCAAACAATTGGTGTTTTCTATGGTCGATTCGGGTATCGAGTTGAATGATCATAATCATTGTTTAGATTTTTTCTTTTTTCGTTGAGCATTTTTGACGATAAGATTGACTCATCCGCTTGTGATTGGAGATTAACGACACGACGATATTTGCGTCGTACTTGGATCCATTTGTAAAATGAAACATGAGCACAAATACAGAGAGAAATGCTAGTGAGAATGATCAATATGATCATTACCAATGGCATTATCACCAACATTCGACAGGTAAAGGATCCACGTTCATATGCTGTACAATGCGAACGGACTTTCGGTTCGACCAGACCACTTAGATGTTTTACTTGTTTAACATTATCTTCTTCGCATTCTTCGCTCACTTTGTTTTGAAGCCAATCATTTATGGCCCAAAATCCACAACATGCTACAAAATCATCCAATTCTTGAATGGAGAAAAACGAAAACAAAGCAACAATATTATGGAATTGACCATAATGAAAAAAATCATACCTGGAATCGTTTCCTCCGCAATATTCACCACACATTTGATGGTTGTATGATATTCTTCCAATACGGTGGCAAATTTTCCATCCTTTTGTTTAGCTTCGGTCCTCACTATCATCGACCACGATGATACTATGGCAAACAGGACGATATAGATTGAAAGATTGGACATTTTGGTTACAACAAATGCTTTGACCTTTTCTCGATAATTGCATTCACACGAAATATTGTCATCAACCAGCAAAATATACGATTTGTCGCTTCAATTTGATTATTGGCTATGAAATCAACAGTTCTTTATTAGTGTACTCACTCAATGTATATGTGGTGATGTTGTTTGATTATTGATTAGCGATTGCTTCACTATGTTTGCTGATTATTTTCTTATCACCATATCATTGCCAATGTAAAAGAATCAAATAATCAAATGATCAATACAGAAAAAAGACAGTTTTGATAAAAGTGATGCCAAATTCGAGATTAGATCTCATTTACTGATTTTACTTACTTGAAAAGATGAATAGGCAGCATTCCCTATGTGAAATTCGAGAGCAACATTTCTTGTTTGTTCATGGCAATGATTATCATCAATATTCAATTATCAGTAAACGAAAGTGAATGTTTGTTTGTTTAAGATTTGATTGACGCGATTCGGTCCCAATCAAAATTATTATCGCAGGTTTCAATTTCGCCAATCCTATCAATAAATTGAATGATTTAACGAGTTAGCGGTTCAATGGTTGAATGGTGGATGGATATTCACATGACCAAAATGGTCATCATAAACAAATGCAGTATGGTGAATGATGAATAAGGAATGAAATATCACTAAATCACTATAGTGTATGGGTGTATATTGATTGAAATATCTATCTTAATTTATAATGTTTATCATTATCACTATGGCTATTATCATCACATCACCACCACTATATTTGAAATTGCCATGACAAACTTTGCAGCAGCAATGATCTCTTGTTTCAATCAGTGGTTCAACAGGTATGAATAGGATTATCATATTTCATAGCGAAAATCATATATGCCGACAAACGAAACAATCTATGTGCATGTTTGACATTTTCGAATGTTCGATTATCGAATATGATGGAGGAATTGTTACTGCTGCTCAATTTGATGCTGATCAAACATCACCATCATTTGAATCACTGCCAACATATACCGTTCTGAAAGATGAAGGCAAACAAATCATATTTAAATATATCTAGGTAGTAAGCAAGTGTCAAATTTCCATTCCCATCTTTTCAAAACAAACAAATCAAATCGATACAATCAAGTCGTGATCGAAACAAAAAACAAAGCAAACACTGATGTTTGGAAAATTGTATAATTTATTTGATTGATTTGCCAAAATAACAATTATAACATCAATGATAAGATCAATGATTTGACATGAACATTGATAACACTTCACATTTAAACGTATCAGTATCGACATTTTTACAGGTTTCACTCATATAACCATCTATCGGTTGAAATAGTCGTAGAATCTGTGGCTGTGGTTCGGTTTTCAATCGTGGACAACGTATCGATGAACGCTCGACCAACATATGCATCAATGTTTCATAACGGCAACATACTATTGACAGATCGGAATCTAGATTTTTTTAAAAAGAAAACTCAATATTCCTGACCACAACAAACAAACTACTTACTATGATGCGAATCTTCAATCAGATTGGCCACACATTTGATTGATTCGTAAAATTCATCAAACAGCATTGCCCAGCGACCATCTTTTTGTTTGGTTTTTGTCTTGATTGGCGACGATACACCATCATGATTATTATCAATGAAAAGCCAATCGCCAATTCGATCATCAATATTGTAGAAATGCTGATACAATATGCTTCCAACCACAACGATCATAACGATTGGTATCACACCACATATAAAGAATTTACGATTCCTATGCACTGATTGTAAACTAATTATGGCCATCGTCATCATCCAATTACTCAATTACTGAATCGAATGGAATGAAAACCTTTTTGTTTATATGGTTTCGTTTCGACTTATTTGTTCATCGGACCATGTGCCTTCTTCATATTGATTGATTTGCCAAAATATTATCAATCAATGAACGTATATCGTATATACTAAATGCCCTTTTCTTTCCAATACTTTCGGCTAATTCAAAAAACTAATAATATTCCGATTCGTATGACATGATAAACAGATAGTTTTTCTGTTTATTTATTTAGTTTATCCATCAATATCGATAACAAATCAAATCTTATCAAAATCAATGCTTTTCAAAATCAAAGCTTTTCGGCGCCATTTTTTCATCATTTTTTCGATTCGAATGTTCAGATGCAGTAGTAGTAGCAGTAGTGATACAAAGTAGTGGCAAAAGCCGATTGAGGAATGGGGCGAGGCAACAAGTTGAACATTGTCAACGGTTTTTGCTCACTGTGTGAGCAGCCTGTGAACAACAACAGAATATACTGTGGACAAGTTTTCTCTCCTTTTTCAATTCTCATCATGGAATGATGGAAAAGAATGCAGGGATTCTGGAGGAGCATTGAATAAATTTACTGTTACTAGTTGATCTCATTTTTGTATTCTGTTTTGGACGATAATGGAATCACCATTGAAGACAACGCCGACGAAAAAACGTCGTCGATCAGACCAATCATTATCACCGCGATCATCACCAAAATTCATGAAACCATCGGAATTGTTTCGACGACGATTACAGCAAGGAAACATCAAAAAACAACATCATTCACCAAGCAAAGCTACAGCTGCTCTACGTCGATGTAAATTGCCAATCGAAACAGTGGAGAAAATATATTCACCATTAAAATGTTTGCAATTGAAATCACAACAACAATCCGGTGCTCTTCACCAACAACAACAATCCATTCAAACATCGAAATCACCGAAAGCCAAAGCACTTTCGTTTTCACCATTGATGAAAAAATTGCAACGTTCACCCGGACGTTCACAGATCTCATTCCCGGTTGTTAAACGTTGCTTGCATCAGTCATTCGCTATGCGTACTGCTAAGAATACATTCACCCGAGTATTGGATTTCAATGAAGATGCTCAAACATCGTTCCCATCATCGGGCACCTTTCTCCATCATCAACAACAGAAACAGACTGCTGCATCGGATTTTTACCCACTCAATTCGCCACAAATCGATTGGAGTCTTAAAACACGTATCAAAATAGTTGTTAACCGTTCGATACCATTTCATGGTTCATTCAATTCTGTCGATGAAGCAAACGGTCTGAATCAATTCGTGCGAGGTTGTTTGCACCAACAACAACAATCAATCGACAATGACAACATTGACACAACCAAATCTTGTCAACCAGAATCGAATTTTTGTTGCGAACTTCAACGCCATTGTCTTGTATGGCAGCATCCGCATTTATCCTGGATGCATCTATTTCCCCGACAACCAGAATTGAAACCCGGCACACAAGTATCGTCAATGAAACCGCCGATATTTCAGATATCACCAACCGGATCAATAGCCGATTCCTTGCATTCTGATTTTTGTCTGGCATTACATTCTTTGTTTAAATTACTTAAAACCAAATATTGTCCTTATTTTTATGTTTGTGCCAATAATTTTACCGTCCTATTTCGTGCATCAGGTGTAGCCAATTCGAACGAAGCTCATGCATTGATCACACCGACAACGATTGGTTTTCGACGGTTACTCGAAACGGAAGCAATTTCATTCGAAATGCCATTCCATCACCTTAATTCATCATCTCCTTCTTCAGGCAATCAGGATGATCATTCCAAGACATCCACTTCATCTTCGGGTATCGAAACTGATTTGGAAGACATTCATGATGATGATGATGATGATGAAAAAGACGAAGAATCATCCAATCTTTGGTTAGAAAGTCTAGGTCTAAGTCAACAGGATTTTCCCAGCCTCGAAACATCTTCGTTACGACGACGTCGATTGATGACGACAAACGTAGGAGCCACCCCTCAAGCCACCAATGCTCATCATAACAGAAAACGAATCGAAGATCAAAGTGCCCAGGGCAAAGTTCGAAGTCTGATTCGTGTGAATGGAATAGGACAGCTGCAGGCATTGTTGGGCTTGTTTATAAATCAACGAAAAATTTGTATCTCCACTTCGGGTGCATTGGCCGGAATTCCACCCACAATATTGGCGCCTGTTGCATTTCATGGAGCCTGTTTGCGTCCAATTAGTGTTCGCCATAAAACGACTGGCATGATGACAGCCACCAATAGCAATCCGACTATAACCACATTGGATTTCAATGGACCTTTACTGCCGCATGCCATCTATGGATTGACGCAGCTATTAACACGATTATTTTCACAACAAGAAAATTCTATCACCAAAATCACCGTCATCCGCAGTACATTACGAACATTTGATCAGAGTGCATCGTTTGCATTGGAATCCGGTTTGAGAATGATGCTTAAAGAGCAAAATTCTATTGACCAAGACCAATGCAATCCAACGTTTTCGGTGGAAAATCTCAACGATTCCGGTATGGATCGCGAATTTTTAATGGCCATTTGTGCAGCTGATCGTCAATTTGGACAACCAGTTGGTGATTTGGAATTGTTGGCTCAGGGCATTCGCTACAATCGATTGTTGTCGGCGGCGGCGGCACAACAATCTATGAGAACAAAACCCTTGCTTTCGACTGCAAATCAAATGGAATAGAGTGTATATTATTGAATAATATTGATTATTATTGAATATATGGCAATTTTAATAAATTTAATAAAATTATTCAACTTATTTAACCATTTTCAATGTTGATTGATGAAATGTGGGAAATGTTTTCGGAATGTGTTTTATTGCTACTATTGGCGTTGACATGTCCAATTCTCACCAGCCAACCACATCATATCATGCTAGTGCAATGATGGCATTTCCATATAAACCGATCTATGGTCTGCCTCATCATTTCAATTGTAGTGATGATGTTCGAGACAAATTCAATCAATGCCAATTAGATGCCCAACAAGCATGGAGTGTGACAATCGATGATTATGTAAGAGCATGTTTGGAAGATGTAAACAATGATCACTAATCACACTCATTATTTCTATTAGTTTTACGAATCGATAAAATTTTGCTGCTTTGTATGGTTACAATTATCATGTGAAATTGTTGAGGCATCTAAATGCCATCAGCAATACGCTGCATTACTTGAACGACAAACGGTGTTGTCGTTTGGTTCAGCGTGCGATCCACCAAGTTTTGGTCGTTCAAGCTTTCTATGTAGGCTGACACCGCAAACAATAGTTACATTATTAACGGTGGCAACTATTTTGACCGTAATTTTAACCGTAAGTTGTGCGATATATGCATTTTACAGCCTTAAAGTCAGCCATTTCGAAGAATCGGATCAAAAGAAGAAGCCGCTGAAGCTTAGTGGCCAATCAAAGTAAGAACTTGATTACAATCGATTTTGACGCTTTTAATCAAATTTTTTAGAAAAAGATTTAGAAAAAGGAGAATCAAATTTAAACCATCACTTGCCACTATTGAAGAAGTGCCAGAACCCCCAGATTACACAACTTGTTCCCATATAATGCAAAATCCTCAACCTTTACGACGATTTCCACCATCCACATCACCAGTTACAGCAGTAGTAGGAGGAGGAGAGACAACAACATCAAATTTATCGGGATGGACAACATCGACATTGGAAAATATTGCAACACTGAATAACAATGATTATATTTGAATATTGAACAACAAACATTTCTTTCGAATAACAATTACTATAACTAATAATTCAATTAATGTTTTCTTATTTAAAATGCGCTCAAACCTTAATGCAGTTATTGAATCGGCAATCATGTTTGACTACTTGATTCTAATGGTTATGATGATTGATGGCATAGATTGTGGCCGTTACCCGTATAAACCATTATACGGTTTACCGTCAGAATGTTTGCTGGAGCAACACAATCGTTTCGATCGTTGTGAAGTAGACGCAATCAAGTATTATAGTTTAGAGTTGGATCATTTTGTAAGTAAAATTGATGATGAACGGCATTCACTAACCAATGTTGATTTATATCCAAGTATACCCAAACTGACCCATTCTGTTGTTTTGTATGGGATACATTGCATTGTGAATTGGATGTAGCCACTGTATGTAACAAAACATTTGCAAATCAATTAAAACAATCAACATTGGATCGATTCCAATCATTCTGTGCTAAGGTGGTCGGCTATGATGATATTACAAATTTCTTTTCCCGTTGTAAAACATATAATGTTCGTGCATTTTTTCAAGGTGGCCATTGGTATACCTCCAGGTACTTGAACTTTGGCTTATTAGGATTTGCACTTGCTTCTTGTGTAGTAGGAATTTTTAAAGGCTGTCACTTTCAATTCCCAAAATACAATGAGAATGCCCCAAACATGGCAATTCTATGGAATAACATGTTTAACACATCATAATATAACTAAATAGAGTGAATCTTGTCCAAATAAATCTTCAATAATAATGGGGGTGCTATTTTCAATTGGCAACAAACAAACAAATCTCTCTAATCATGCATGGTCTGTTTGACCTTTTTGTGTGAATTTGCAAAACAACAAAATGCATTCACATCAAGTTTTTCTTTTCTTTTCCAAATTGGAAAGGGCCATCGCTTCGAGCAACAAACAAAACAATTGCGTAAAACTAAATTGGATCAGAACAAATCCAATCCAATGACCATTTGCATTTTCGTTTCTTTCGACCGGAATGCATTGAACGTGTGACAATTTCTCTCTCTTTCTTTTTCACCTTGACCTTGGCATTGTCCTGATTAGCATCAATGACGAGTCGATTGCCACTAATCATAATGATATGTTCTCCACAATACTGACCCTGTTTCATCAAACAAATCACGTTTGCCTTGATCATTCTGTCAGCTGCATTGAAGATAAACTGAAATCTCTTTTTAGCTAATTGTTCGGGAAATTTCTCTTCCAAAAAAGATTTAGTTTGCAGGTGGTGTATTATATAAAGTGAAAATGTAAGGCCATCACACCAACCATACCTGCATCAAACATTCATCGATTAAACATCGTAATTTATGAAAATTTGAAGAAAAAATAAAGATGTTATTGCAATTACAGTCAATATTATTGATGACCATTATTTGCCATTATCAAACAATGGCCAATATGTTCGATAAGGATGAAGAACCACATGTTGTGCATCATCATGTTGCTGTGCCCATCAAAATCATTCAACGAGTCCCCTATCAAGTTCCGCAGCCGATTCTTGTCAAACAACAGCCGGAAGTTAAAACTGTTGAAGTGCCAGTTAAAGTACCGGTTGCTATACCAGTCAAAATTCCAGTGAAAGTTCCCTATCCAGTATATGTGAAAGTACCATATCCTGTCAAAATTCCAGTATATAAAAGTTATGGTTATGAAGAATACGGTCATGGCGGTGGCGGCTACGGTCATGAAGAATATGGCCACGGTGGCGGGTAAGTGAATGAGAATCAAATGAAGCATTGTCATGTTGAATTATCATTGATTTGTTCAATAGATATTGACCATATTGTTGAATTGATCCGTTTGGAAAGACTACCTTGCAAATGTATTGGCATCCATCACCACATCCATCAGCGCATTCATCTCATCATTTGTTTCATATGAATCACACACACACACACTATATCACATTAATAATTAATAAAAGCTTTCTATTTAATTAACCACTTGTCAATCCATTATTCAATCAATAACACCACAATCACAGTCACTTGACTTTTTCCATTATCACCAAGGTTAAATCAATTAGATTACTTAGCTATTTAGTGATTGGCAATTTGCGCATCATTGTAATCATGTTAAACTTGTGAATTGCGGGTACAACTTGATTTGTAAAGTCCAAATAGATTTTCCAATGATCCATGATGGATGGACCCAAAATCGATAACAAATTGGGATTATCATTTTTCTGAGTTTTCAAGTGGATTACCAATCATCATGTTAGCTAATCGAGCAAATCCTGTTGATTGGTTGTGTTTTTTCAGATTGCTTATCAAATAATAAGAATGCCCGGGTTACTTAACAATCCTCATCCAAATCTTGACTATAAAAATGGCCTAAATCAATGATGACACTCTCATAGCTGGCATCTTCATCGCTTACATAGAAGAATATTTTAGCTGCAACAAACAAAACAACAACAACAACAATGACCAAATTAACCATCATGATGGCCGTAATGGCCGCCATTTTGATGCCCGAATTGATCGATTGTTTGCCCAAACAACGACCCTATGTGGATGCTGGTGATGAAAATAATAATCCTGTCTGCACTAGTGAGCCATTAGTGCAATTGAAAAATGGTGGACGTGTTCGTGGTGTATGCAGAACTGGTCTCAATGATCGAGAAATACATGCCTATCTTTCCATTCGCTATGCACGTGCTGAACGTTTTGCCTATGCAGTTGCCGAACAACCATGGGATGATGTTTATGAAGCAACATATCAACGTGAAGCATGTTCCCAAGAAGATCCCACCGTAAAACATTCGGAAGATTGTCTTTACCTTAATGTTTTCCAACCGATCGACGATAGTGACCAATTGAAACCGGTCATGGTATGGATCTATGGTGGTGGCTTCAGTCTTGGATCGATCGATGGTGTTGCCAGTATTCTTTATGAAGGTTCAGTAATTGCTTCGTTGGGTGATGTGATTTTGGTCGATATGAATTATCGTCTTGGGCCATTCGGCTTCTTGTACAGTGGTACCGATCAAGCACCAGGTAATCAAGGCATTTACGATCAATTAATGGCCTTACGATGGGTTCATGATAATATCGATCGTTTTGGCGGCGATCCCAATCGGGTGACAATTTTCGGTGAATCGGCTGGTTCGTTTGCCGTCTCGATGTTGGTACTGTCACCACTGGCTAAAGGTTTATTTCAACGTGCAATCATGCAATCCGGTGCCATCAGTGAATTGAAGCAATTTTCACCGGATTATTCAGTGGAAAAAGCACGAGCATTTGGACGTAAATGTGGTTGTCATGATGATGATATTGATAAAGTTGTCGAATGCTTGAAACGATTACCACCGGCCAAACTTACCTGGGCAGGTGATGGCTTAGATATTCCGGCAATGTTTGAAGGCGTGCAAACAATCGTTATGTGGGGCGATAAAGCAGGATTGTTGCCCGAATCACCATCCGAAATGTTACGCAAAGGTGATTATAATCATGTGGATGTGATGTTCGGGTTTGTTCATGATGAAGCAGCACAAGTGGTAACACTGATGGATTTGGAATTAATCAACCCATTGAAATCCTATACTTGGGATCATCTCTCCAAAAAACTATCCGCCATTTTCAAAGCATTTTTGTTCACTGAACATGAAAAGGAAATCACCGATTTCTACATGCCACCAGAAACTCGACATGGTCATATAAAATCGAGTGTGGTTCGACGTAAAGCTATCGATATTCTATCCGATCCGGTAATGATATGTCCGAATTATTTGTTCGGACAACGATTGGCAATGCAAATGGCTAAAAATGCATCGGCAAGCAACCGTAATCGATTCTATTCGTTCCGTTTTGATCATCATTCACCATTCATGATACTTATTGGCTGTGAAAAATGGATGGGTGTCTGCCATGGTATGGATATACCGTTTACATTTGGTCTACCAATCCGAAAAGATGTTGTCAAACTAGCTTTCACCGAAAAAGATAAACACATTAGTCAGAATGTTGTGAAAGCTTGGACACATTTCGCTCATCATGGTAATCCTGGCCCAATGGGTGATGTGGAATGGCCGGAATTTCTCAGTGAAGATGGACAATCAATGAGACAGATGGCAATCGATGTGGAAAATCATGTCATTCAAAATGAATATCGGGATCGTTGTGAAAAACTATGGGCACAATATCTTCTCCCATTCAAATAAGCAATTTTTCCATTGAATAATTATCAAATCCATTTCAATATTCATTTCATTCACCCAAATCCTTAAATTCCATTTTTAATCAATAAAGTTTGCATTGAAAGTCAAATCATTTCAACTAAAACGAAAAAAATATCAAAGTTTATATAATGCATGATCTTTACTGCATCGTTCAACTTTTGCATTTCAATAAAGATGCCGATCATATAAAACGTTGGCCGGATTCAATCACTGTTCATTAATTTGTGTTAATAAGATAATAGCATAATAATATCCTCATCTTCAACATGATCAAGTGGCAATCCATTGCGTTGTTGGTGCTTGTGACACTGGTCAATTTGATTTGGGCACAAACCCCAAGCAACAAATTGTTTCCCGAGGGGGTGGATGTCAGACCATTTTACCCGATCGATTACAATGTACAACATGATAAACATAGATCACCCGATTCAGTCAAAGTGGATGTCTTCAATCATGAATCGAAAAATTTGCAACGAATTATCAATCAAATGATCAACTATATGCGAGAAAATCAACAGAATCTTCCTCAACCACAACAACCCAAACAACCGAAAATAACCAATGTCAATATTAATGAAATCTATTCCCCACCTTGTTCCCCATCATGTGGACAAAACGATCCAAATTGTAGAGATGAACAAGCAATGTGTCAACAACAACAACCACGCCGACAAGCCATGCTCAAACAAAAACCTGATGATAGAAGACGATTTTGCCAAGAGGTAAGAAAATTAGTCAATCAATCCGAAGCTTACATCGAACAATTTTGTGGTGATGATGATGATGACGATCAATGTCAATTGTTGTGTTCGTTATGCAAAGAAGCCAGATTCGCAAGAGATTTTTGGAGTGATATTGAAGCACAAAAATGTCAACCCCATCACCATCAATCACGTCACCATCAATCAAATAACCGTCAATCAAATAACCGTCAATCAGATCACCATATGAATGCCTCAAACGATTGTAAACGATTAAAGAAAAAATATGAAAATATGGCCCAGAATTATAAAAGCAAATGTTCGGAATTCGAATCTGAATCGTCTTTTTGTAGAAAACTTGAAAAATCAATGAAAAAGATGATGAGAACATATAATGAAGAATGTGACGCAAAACGCAACCGTCCTCATCGTGATAACAATGATTTGTTATCGGTTTTGCAGGATCAATATCGAGAATGTAGAAAAAAACATCGCAATAGTCCACAATGCAAACAAATCAAATCCATGATCCAACAACTCAAACAACAATTGTCCCAAGCACCTTCTTCTTCCAATTCACCTCGACAACAACAACGTAGAAAAGGTGATTGTATCAATTCGGATGATACCATTGAAGCCGAATGTGAATTAACATTGCCTTTATATCAAAGCTTTGCCAGAATGTGGTTAATGAAATGTTCTCATTCTCGATCGTCCATATGCAAAACAATCGAGCCAGGAATGGTGAAAATATTGAAAAAATATATTAAACTTTGTGATCGAGAATGTGTACAAGCTGATGAGGATATCGTATCGCCTTGGCGACAACAATACCAACAATGTATCAGAAATTCAAAGCATAAAGATCGATGTGAATACATCACATTGTTGATCAATAGAATCGATGACCAATTGATGGATATATGTCCCCAGTATCCCTAACCATTTCCATCAACAATGGTTAATCCGAAAGCAATTTGTTTTTATTTGTTGATTCATTATTGATCCATTATCCAATGCCTATTATTATTAATATTAATATTATCATTATTATTATTATTGAATCAAATCTATTTAATTTCAATTCAAATATTTATTTTCTCAAATCTAATTCAAATAAAAATCAAAATCAATTCCAATTAATAAATAACAATATCATGTTTCAACATTAACACGTTTTCGTTGAGAAAAAAATCTTGGACCTGTAATGAAACAGACCACAGAAATTTTTTCCATTATTTCAAACCAATGCATATTCAAATGCAGGAACTGAAACGACGCATATATGCAATTATATAGATAATTCTTTCATTCAACTCAGCCATTTATTCAATTATCAAATCCATTTCAGTATTCATTTCATTCACCCAAAACCATCTTTTATCAGTAAAGTTTGCATTGAAGGTCAAATCATTTCAACGAAAACGGAAAAAATATCAAAGTTTATATAATGCATGATCTTTACTGCATCGTTCAACTTTTGCATTTCACTAAAGATGCTGATCATATAAAACCTTGGCAGGATTCAATCACTGTTCATAAATCGCTAATCGCCAATAACATAATAATATTATAATATCCGGATTTTCAATATGATCAAGTGGCAATCCATTGCGTTGTTTCTGCTTGTAGCATTGGCCAATTCGATTCGGGCACAAACCAATCCCCGGTTGATTTTCTCGCCTTACGATGAGGTTGACTCCGATCCAATTTACGTTCCTGGTGATAAACACAAATTACCGGATTCAGTGGAAGGGGATGTTATGAATGATGAATCACAAAATTTGCAACAATTAATCAATCAAATGGTTGGCCATATGCCAGAAAATCAACAGGATCCTCTTCACCAACAGCCCAAAATAACCAATGTCAATATCAATAAAATCTATTCGCCGCCTTGTTCCCCATGTGAAAAGAATGATGGAAATTGTAATCGAAATGTCCAACAATCAAATGGATTAATGTATGGCAATAGATTATGTGGAGCATTAACAGGTATTTACAATCGTATGGAGCAATTTGAAAATCAATTATGCGATGGAATCAATGAACAGCCAATCGCTACAGTGTGCAGACTATTCAGAATGGTTGCTAAATTTATGCAACAATTGGTCAAAATGGTTTGTGATCGCGAAAATCGTCGACAACTACCACCACAACTTCGAACCGTTGCCAAACCAAATCACCCACAACGACAACTTCGAATCCCTGCCAAACCATGTCGACCAAATCAACCACAGCGACAACTTCCAACCCCTGCCAAGCCATGTCAACCAAATCAACGACAGCGACAACTTCCAACCCCTGCCAAGCCATGTCGACCAGATCAAGGAGATTATGATTCGCTCGATTCAAAGGATAAATTGAGCCCTGAAGAGAATTGTAAAACAAGTTTGTTTATATATCAAATTCTTGGCGGAACTTGGGCAGATAAATGTTTTCTACAAAAAAATGAATCTTTTTGTGAGAAACTGGATCAAGATATGGAAAAATTATTGAAAACTTATATAAAAAATTGTGATCCAAAATGTAGTCATGTTCAACATGATTTGCTAACGTTTTGGCAAGAACAATATGATCAATGCATCCAAAATCAGTTCAACAAAGAGCAATGTGAAGCCACCAAATCGTTGATAGATAAAATTAATGACCAATTGCTCCAACTATGTCCAGTTCCGGATACTGGCATTTTGGATGAAGATTTCTGAATTGAACTGAACCATATTGACAAAAAATGTAATTTAATTTGAATAAAATGTCTTATTAACAATCATTGGTATTAGTAATGTTTTATAGAAACAACTAATATTGATCCATTCATTGTTATTATTCAATATATATTTCTCTCCCAATTTTATTCTAATAAAATCAAAATCAATTCCTATTTATCAACAAACAAAGTTGTAACATTTGCTTGGCATCATTTCATGTTTTCAACATTTTCACATTCATCAATTTCAAATATCATGATAGTTGCCACCAAAAAACTTTGTTCCAAATAACAAATCCTATTCATTTCATTCACCCAAATTCATTTTTTATCACTAAAGTTTGCATTGAAGGTCAAATCATTTCAACGAAAACGAAAAAATATCAAAGTTTATATAATGCATGATCTTTACAGGAGGATTCAACTTTTGCATTTCAATAAGATGCTGATCATATAAAACGTTTGCAGGATTCAATCATTGTTCATTAATCGCTAATAACATAATATAATAATAATATTGTAATATTGTAATATCCTCATTTTCAACATGATCAAGTGGCAATCCATTGCGTTGTTGGTGCTTGTAGCATTGGCCAGTTCGATTCGGGCACGAACCAGTCCTATGGTTGACTCAATTTACGTTCCTCCAGCCCCAAGCGATGTTGTGAATGATGAATCACGAAATTTGCAACAATTAATCAATCAACTGGTTAGCCATATGCAAGAAAATCCCCAGAATCATCCTCATCCCAAAATAACCAATGTTAATATCAATAAAATCTATTCGCCAGCTTGTTCACCATGTGGAAAGAATGATAAGAATTGTGATCGATCTCTTCAACAATCAGTATCCGGATTGAAGTGCTTCGATGAAATATGCGATGCTTTAAGAACAATTTCCCAGGGTATGGTCGAAATGGAACAGCAATTATGTGATGGAAATAATAATGCATTTCTCGTTATACCATGCAAACTATTCACCATGGTTAATCGATATATGAAAGAATTGACCAACACAATTTGCAATCTCAAACAACAACAAGCCCGCCAACTTCAAAACAATGCCAAACCATTTCGACAACAACGAAATCCCAATATCAATGCTTTAACCAAATACAAACGGGACAAATCCAATTCATGCCAACAAACAATGGACAAATATGAAATGAATGCCAAATTATGGTACAGCAAATGTTCCAAATCTAATTCGTTTGGTTGCGAAAAAATTGAAGAAAAAATTACAGACTTGATGCAAGAATATGTAGACAATTGCGATCAAACATGCAGCCATACCCATCGTAATATCCTATCGGTTTGGCAAGATAAATTAGATCAATGTAGAATGAATGGTCGGAATAGGCGAAACTGTCATCATATCAAATCATTGATCAAGAATCTAAAACAAGAATTGACCGATGCATGTTCTTCCCAATCTGATCGAAGACCCCATCCATATGAACAACGACACCAACAACAACAACAGCAACAGCGACAACAGCGACAACAGCGACAACAACGACAACAGCGACAACAGCGACAACAACGACAACAACAATATAATCGCAATGATTGTATCGAAAATGAGAATGGAAAATATTCTTCAACAAATGATTCAGAATTATCATGCGAATGTGATTTAAATTTCGATATGATTCTTTTGAGATCCGAAAAATGGAAAGATGTATGTGTGAATGATCCTGAATCATTTGTTTGCAAAGAAGTTTCAAATGAATTGGAATTGCTGATGGGCTTTTTTAAATTTGGATGTGATCCAAAATGTGACCGATTGAGACATGGAATGCTAGCCTATTGGCAAGATCTATATCAGCAATGCATGAAAACTTCCACTGATAAGTTGGAATGTGCACCATTTGAATGGTTGATCGAAAATTTAGAAAGACTATTGGAGAAAATATGTCAACCAGACAAACCAGACCGAAGGGGTTCAATCTATTAATAACTAGTAGATTGGTAATTGCAAAATGAATTAACATCAAACAAACAAAACAAAATCTATTATTCAATCAAATCAATTCAATTCAATTTCAATTCCAAACAAACATTATTAATTCAAATAAAAATTATGATTTTTCAAAAATATTTCCACTTTGCTTGGCATTTGTTCGGCATGTCCTTGAAAAATAGTCAATTTTGATATTTGCCAGTTGAAAATATCATCACGTCATGCAAGTTACAAGTTTGATCGGTTCAACAAATTATCGATTCAGTTCAATCAAAACAATGACTTTCAAACTTTGTTTCACTTAAATGTGAAATGGCCGACAAATGTGAAAATGACAAAATCATCGATCCATAAACTGATTGCAAAGATCAAGGGTTTGAACTTTGATTTTTTTGCTTGCCATCAATAAATGTTAGGAAAAAGCAAGTTTTTTATTGAATAAATTTAGGTAGGAAAATCATTGGAAACACATTCATAATTGATCTGCCAGTCGAGAATCACACCATTGATTTCAAAGTGAAAATGAACAAAATGATTGTTCGAATATTCCTATTGATGGCCATATCGATGGAAATAGCCATCGCAATGCGACGTGAAAATGTTATTAATCAACATAATCAACATGGTCATCATGTTCAACCATTCAAGCCGGCCATTGCCCAACAAAAACCCAAGAAAAACGAGGAAGTTGTCAGTGTTGTTCATCATCACCATGCTCAAAAACCCAAACAACCAGATCCAACTGAATATGTCCATTTGAATATTCGAATCAAAGATGAAAATGATAATGATTCCTTTACCGATATCCATTACGTACGAAATGAAGATTTACCAGTTACAACCAAATTACCGATCACACCCAGTTCAACGACACCACAAACAACAACAACCACAACAACCACAACAACACCCATTCCAATCCCAGTCCGGCCAAGATATATGAAACAACGTTCGGATCCAAGGAAATTGGAAATTCATATCCATAACCATGGAATCGCAAATTCATCTATGCTTGCATTGCAAATGTTACAATTATTGATGCGAATGAATCAACGACAACAACCATCTTTGTCGTCAATTGTCAATCGAAATATCAATGTTATACATTCCAAACAACAACCATGTTGCGAAACTATTCCCAATTGCAGTAAAAGTTATTGCCATCGACCATGTAATCGCCAATGTTGATTGATCTAATCCCATGTCATTCAATTGCAAAAAATGTCAATTCTATTTATCAAATGTTCAATGTTTGCAATCTACACTTTATTATTTTAATTCAAATCTTTTAACAAAATTGATCAAAATAAAACAGTTTAACAAAACATTATTTAATAAACTTTATTATTTCAAACAGTTTGCCATTCCATAGATAAATTGTCAATAGATCAAAACATTAACCATCATTCAAATAATGATTCTCAAACGCTTCACTCAATTTTCCACCCTTATCATTGTGATCCAATCATTTGCCTTGGCTACAACGGTCAATGCTCAACCATCCGACAACAACAACCATAATCTATTCGGTAGGATAAGAGAATTTTTTCTTCAACGATTCGATTGGACAATTCATCAGCCTCCCCTCGCAAACCATCAAAATGATACAAATAGCCATCATCATAATCATAGTGGAAAACAACTTGATAAGTCATTGATGAAACATTTTCCATCATTCATAAATCGATTTCAATCATCCTGATATTGATTATAATAAAATTGAACTTGATTCGAATTTCGTTATTCAAAAATAAATGTCAAACTTTGAATTGATCTTGATAAATGTCAGCAACGCTGCATTTGATATTCATTTCAATAACAAATTGAATCGATAACCAATCATTCGTGATTGCAAATAATAATGAAAAAGTTGGCCATATTAATAATATTATTGATTATCAATAATATCGATGATAATTATCATCATGCTTGCTTCGGTCAATCCTATCCAAATGAATATTATCAATTTTCTAATTTCAGTAATTTTTCATCAACACCATCATCTTACTTTTATCAATATCCAACTAAAGAAGCATTGCGAGCAAAATATTACATCAACAACAACCCCAACAACTACCAGAACCATAATAATTATTGCCAAAATCTATTGACACAATTTCGTCGATATAAAGAAAATTATTATAGATTACAGTGTTGGAGATATAACAACAACAATCGCTATAATGACTACAATTTACAAGAAAATTGTCGAATCGCAATCAATACAATGCAAAGAATTGAAGCATATTATCACCAGTATTGTAGATATATTGCTAATGATAAAATTAATTATTATTATTATTACCATCAAATCATTATTCAAAACATAACATATTAATGTCAATCTTATTTTCGCAGCAGTCACGTTTACTAAGTACAAAGATAAATAAAATTTTTCAAACAAATCAAAAACCTGTGGCTATCAATCAATGATGAGACTTGTTTGTTTTTCAATGTTTCGTTATGACTGCTGCTGTCAATGTCGAATTACTCGATTCGGTTGTTTTGCTTTTTGCCTAATCGAATGACAAAAATGTTTGAGATATCACGTATCAAGGGATGATGGACAAGATGTTTTTTCCATTTTGATTTCGAATCTAATTTCATTTGATTCATTGAATGAATCAAGTTTTTCCAAACAACAAAAATGTGGCCAATCTGGCGTCCAAATTCGAATCGTTCGAAATATGTTCTATTCGATGATGATGATGGTATTGCTGGCAATAATGAACAATCCAATCAAAATGAAGCAGAAAAGATTCATGCAAAACAGTCATATAAATCGATGGCCGATAAGTTGGATTATTTTCATCGATATTATCAGAGTTTCGACTCATCCGTAGAGGATGAGCAACCTTATGTGCATGCAGAAAGCAACATTGACAACAGAGAACAACAACAACATTGTGCATTATCTTCCTCTTCATTGCCTGCCGTACAAATCCTAAATAATGATAACAATGACCATCTGACAAAAGCAAATAAATTTCTCAAATCATCATTCGATCAACCAACCGATGAATCAACATTCACCAATAGTACCGGAATTTTCATCACAATGGCCGATCCTGTTACTTCGAATATCGGTGTAGCTGCTGACAAGGCAAAACCGACAACAAACAAATGCAAATGTTCACCGGCAACCATGTTGTCTTTGATAATATTGTTATTTTTCATGTTTCTTTTATTCATTGTTAGTTATGGGTTGATTGACAATTTTATCAACTGCGGACACAGACAAGTGTGAAAATATTTTCTTCCATAACAATCATTTTAAGTTTGGAAAATGGAGAAAGATAGGAATAAAGCAAATGTGATCAACAATCAATAAATTTCTGAAGCAAATACAATAATCGAGTAGAATGAAGCAAAGTCTATTTCGCTGTTGTTGCAGTAAGACAATCTCATTCGATTGTGTCAGGAGGTAAATGGATTGATTGATGAAATAATTAAAAAAATAATGTTATTTAAGTAGATCGATCATCCCATTCATCATCATCATCGCTGTTGTTGGAATCATCATCACTGGAATCACTTGTTTGATTCCAGCCTTGCGCTCGTTCCTGCAAGGCACGTGCTAATGCATCAGCTAATGCACCACCTTTACCGATTTCATTTGCCGATTTTGCTTCGGATTTATTTGTGTTTGGCTCAACTTTTTTCAGATCAACACCACGACGTATTTGATCTAACAACTGACCACGTACATCAGTCGGATTATTTCCATTTCCATTTTGTCGCTGTGATGATTGTTCAGTTGGATCAACATGATTCAACTGGGCACCACGACGAATTTCATCCATTAATGCTGAACGATCATTTGCTGGTGGTTTAGTACCGGCAGTGGAAACGGCAGCAGTCGAACCACCACCTGGACCAGCTAAAAATGATGCCGGCGGCGGCGGAGGAGGTGGTGGGGGTGGTGACGCTATTGCACTCGATGGGGATGTCATTTCATTCATCGATGAAGCAGGGGGCGGTGGTGGTGGAGGTGGTGCCGGAATAGCCGGTGCTGTTGTTTGTTTTCGAATATTATTATTATTACCCATTGAAGAATTTGATGATGAAAATAATGACGATGATGGTGGCGGTGGCGGTGCTGGAAAATTAACAACGACAGGCTGTGATTGTTGTTGTTGATTATAATGGCCATTATATTGCTGTTGATGTTGGCCATAATTAGATTTCGAATTTGTTGCTGTCGGTGAAATAACAGCAACAGGAGGCACTGATGGTGTTGGTGGTGGTATGGGCACACCAACTGGACGTCCAGTTGGCCGATGTTGTTGTTGTTGGTTAATTATCGAACCATTACCGTTATTGACATGTTGCCAATCTTGAACAAACTTTTTAATGAATTCGGCTTCATTTTTCAATTGTTCCTGCGTAATTCCTTGCGCTTGTAAACAGGACATGAGATTTTTATCAATAATTTTATCCATTTCGAATGAATTTGTTTGTGAATTCCATCCAATATGTTGTACATGTTGAAAATTGGTTGGATTTCCAATATCGGTTTTCGATATTCCTTTCTTTTTATCACGATTACGTTGTTGTTTATCTTTGCTGTTGGTTTTATAAATATGATTAAATGATCTATTACGGCTACTGAATACTAAATGTCCAACAAAAAAACAAAAATCAATTCAAACATCAAATTTTCCATCTTAACTTACATGAAACACCTTGATCTGTTGGCTGTAAATTGTGTAATGATGATTGTTGTTGTTGTTGTGATTGTTGACGTTGTTGTTGTTGGAATTGTGATGACTGCATTATCACATTACCATTATTATGATTATGATTCATCATTTTTTTCTCTATTTTTAAGAAGAAACAAATTTTTTCAAATGAAGAAAAAACATTTTCCATTACACTGACCTTGTGACTTCTTTTTACGATTTTCCAATTTTCCTTGTACAGTTTCAAGGAAATGATTGGCTTCTTGTTCATTCGCAAAATACAGTCCAGCCATACAATCCTTTATTTTTTGGAACGAATTTTTAAGGTAAAAGAATTTTCATTGGACAAAAAAAGACATACATGTGCTTCAAACATATGAAATGTTGGTCGTGCATTTTTATATTCAAATGTTGTATACAGTTCCTGTTCCCAGGCTAATGTTTTTTTCTATTTAAAAATTGAAAAGAATTTTATCAAAAAAGAATTTTGACAGCAAAACACACACATACATCATAATCGTAAACACGAATAAAATATGAACGTTTTGGATTATCTTTGACAAAACAAACAACACCCGTACATTTGATTTGCCAACGTATATGATCGGGTGGCCGGGTTATTAATAATTGAACGACGGCTGTCGATTGTGACTATGGAGAAAAATCAAATTAAATTCAATTAAAAAATTTTGAAAATACATACCAAACATTTTCGTCCTAATAGACTGAATATTAAATCATTTTCATCGTCATATAATAAACGTGATCGATGATTTTCCTGAACATTATTAATCATCGTTGTTGATGATTGTTGCTGTTGTTGTTCAAATTTGGTCATCATTATTTCAATTCGAAAAAATACTTTGCTTTTAGTTTTTGATCGTCGAATGGTTTCGAAGATACAAGATTAATTTTTTTGAAATGTTGCGAACAAACAAAAATACGGTAGTTTAGGGATGATGATAAAGGAATCTCATATTAGTTAATAGGAAAACTCTCATTCCATTTTTTTTAATTTGGATTCAATTCCTGTCTTCGTCATCAAAACAAAACTGATCATCCATCCATCCACATACTTATGTTGACTTGACAACAACAACGATAATCCACACAAACGACACACACACTCAAAACAGGAGAGTGTTGTTGGGGAGGGAGATTTGTTTTCCCCAAATTTTCAATGAAATGTTTTTTGCTGTTTTTTGAAGATAAAAATATTTTTACCACCAAATGATGATCATCATCATAACGATCAGATGTGTAACAAACAAATGCACAGAGAGAAAAAAACAGTGAGAGAGACATTCGATCGATCGACTCCGCCTTTTTGTTTTTGTTGTGGCAGCTATTTCTACATATTGATACTGTTGAGTCGATTTAGTGGACATAAATATGAAATAAAAAAAAAATTTAATTAAACGATGAAATATTGAACATTGTAACTTTTCAATTTAGCCTAAATTATTATTAGAATCTGAATATAAATCCGATAATTGTTGTCTATATAGTTTTTCAATAACATTGCGTTTCATTTTCATTGCCGATGTTAGGATACCGGTTTCAACGGACCAAACATCCGATATTAACCGGATACGTTTAGGAATTTCTTTACGACTTAATCCAGATTGTTTTGCAATTTGTTGAACATCTTCGAAAATCAAACGTTCGATATGGATATCATTGCATAAATCTTGTATGTTGTTGTTGTTTGATTTAGCCAAATCATCTGATAAATTTTTCAACCATTTTCTATCCGGCACAATCAATGCCACCAAATAATCGGACATAATATGACCGTAAACGCAAATATTTTCAATATAACGGCTACGTTTGAGCGAAGCTTCAATTTTGCCCAATGAAATATATTCCCCATTTTGTAATTTTATCAGATCTTTACGACGATCAATAATTTTCAAAAAGCCATTTGGATATAATTCACCAATATCACCTGTTTGAAACCAACGAATTCCCGTTTTGGGGTCAGTAAAAAATGCTTCCGAAGTTAATGATGAATTATGAAAATATTCAATACAAATTATATCACCACCGACAAGGATTTCACCACGCGGATTTGGTTGATCTCGTACCGTATATCCCCCATCATTCCAATTACGTAATTGCAGATATATTTCACCCATTGGTGCGCCGACAAATCCATAATCTAAACCGAAAAAATCTTGACAAAATATAGCACCAGTTGTTTCAGTTGCACCATAACCAGCTAACAATTTTACATTCAATGCTGAACGTATTTTTGATTCGACGATTGGATCTAGAGCAGCACCACCACATAATATTAGTTGAAGTCGACCGCCAAATTTTTCTTGAATTTTTTTCGAAATGAACCGAGTTATTAGGGGAGATTGATAACCTCGACGGGTCCATTTAGCTTTATAATCGATAAGATAATCAAATATTTGATGAAATAGTGGGGTGGAATTGGTTTGAATGTGTTCCCCGATTTGTTTTAAAATTCGTTCCAAAACTAATGGTACAGTTGTCATTATGGTTGGCTTCAATAGACAGACATCAGATTTTTGTCCCGAAGCTAATCCAGGTGCTCGGTCCATCAATGTTTGAGGTGATGAATAACCCAATCGTACACCGAATAATGATAGAAATATTTCCAGTGTTAATTCCATAATATGCGCTAATGGTAGGAATGCAATATAAGTATGTTCGGCACCGGTATCACGAACATTTCGGATGATTGTAAATAATGCACGAATCGATTGAATAATTTGCCGTTGTGTCATTAATGCTGCTTTAGGTTGGCCGGTTGTACCCGATGTATACATTATTATCAACGGATCATCTGTTCGTGGCTCTGGATATGGCAATTCTTTGCCATCTTCACGTATTTTTTTACCCAATTCACCAACAGAACTTAATGATGAAATGTCAATTTCAGATTGAAAATTACCCAGAGATTTTGGTTGACGATAATCATCCATATAGATGATATGTTTAACAGAATGTTTCATAGTCGATGGCAATGAATTGAGAACATTTTCAAGAATTGGCAGACAATTTAATGAGGTTATTATCATTTGAACATTGGTTTCGAAAATTCCATGTTTGACACCATCGTGACCCATATTAGCATAACATGTTACAATAGGTGTACCGAGACGTAATAAAGCACGAAAACAAATCATCCATTCGATACGTGTTTCAGCAAATATTAGACAACGATCAGATTTCAATAAACCTTTTGCTAATAAACCTTGGGAAAGATTTCGAGAAATTTGATCAACATCTTGATAGGTAAGCCATTTATATGATGATAATCGATATTTTTTTTCCAATTTTTTACAATTCGAATTAGTATCGATAATTTGTTCGCCAAGAATTTTTCGATAACCAAGACAATGTCGATCGGGTGGATAAATTCGAATCAAATCATCAAACATTTCGGTTAATGTTGATTTCTCGAATATTGGATAATCATAATCACCATTATCATCACGTACATAAATATCAGTCATTTCGATCGTCGATGATTTTCGATAGGTACGAATACGTTTTCGGTCATTTCCGTAACGATTTTTCCATGGTTGTTGCAACAAAAAATATATCGGCAATGTTATCCATGTATATAATTGTATTATGATTTTTACTACTATTACTAAAATCATTCTAGATAATGATGATGATCGGTTTTTTTTGATTGATAAAAATTTCCTTTGCTTAATCAAACACAAAATCAACACAGTTAATCAATCAAAACTTTCGGAATAATCAAAAACGAATGGATTCGACAACAGAATGGACAACAAACTTCACCACAGTCCAATCATCATTTGCATTGACCAAAGCAATTTTTTTGTCATCGAATCTTTCTGTTCTGTTATCGCTTCGATTGATTTCCGTTCATAATTTTTACAAAAAAAAGAAAGAGAGAAAGTTGTAATCGTCGTCGACGTCATTGTAATAATAAATGGCGTATATAAGTGTATGCATGTTGATTGATTGTACCCAGAAAAAATCTAAAAATTTCAATTTTAAATCAAAATTCAAATGAAAAGATGAAACATTCTTTGCAACAACAACACTAATGTGAATATGATAATTATATACATCAACACACACGCCAATCTCAATCAAGATAATTTTCTTGATTACCTTGATCAAATTGAAGAATTTTCATTGGATTTTTTCCAGGAAATATTTCCAGAAATATTTTTGCTTCCCGGCAAAGTTTCTCAAATATATTCACCAGTTTTATCTGGTTCCTGTTTTGAGTGGCAAGCCATTTTATGATTAACCATTTTTGAAGGTAAAAAATAAATTTTTAATGAATTAATCTGATAAATTGGCTGAATGCATATTTTTCGTGCAGGCAAAACTTTGTCGCCACCAAAGATCAAGCAAACAAACGAAAATTCCATTCCAAACAATGTTTATCAATCATTCATGATGATCACCACCAAAAACAAACAAACCATAAAACACCGTTATAACCAAAGTTTTATCGTATCCAAATGAATTTTTTTTCCAATGCTTTTTGTTTATGATGGGGAGGGGTGGAAATTTTCCAGGAAAAATTTTTATCCGAAAACTTTTTCTTCTTAAAATGTTTTTGGAAAACCTATTTTGATGCAAAAGAATTTCGAGCAGAATCCTTAACGAGAATTTTTTTTCATTTTTTTTCGAATGAACTAGGGCACAGAATATACCACTACTACCAACGTAGAAAAAAAGGCCACCAATGTCAGAAGCATTAGTATGTGTTTGATGTTTGTGTGTGTGTGGTATGTCGTGCGGCAGTGAAATAGCAGCAAAGCAATGAGTGGTAGAGATGAAGAAGTAGCGGAGAAAGTAAAGTAATTCGAAACTAGAAATTCGAGAGATCCGGGCAAAATTCACACAGAATAACCGAAAAACAACAACAATAATAGTAAATGAATAACCGAACAGCAGAATTTACACAATTCAATAACAACAACAACGAATTTCGGCAAGATAAAACTTTTTTATTATGTTTTGACTCGAGCAAATTTTATTTGAAAAAAGATTTCTTCTTTTTTGTGGATTTTTATTTTTTATTTTTCATTTCGAAAATGAAACGAAATTGGAAAAATAGACCCAATCAATTATTCACTGTGTGTTTGATGTGTTGTTGAATTTTGTTTGATGAAATTTTAGCCTCGACTTTGAAAACAAAGAATAATTGTCATTAAAAAAGCTTTTCTTTCATCAACTTCAAATCATTGTCATCAAACATTTCATCATCATCATCATCATCATTAGTTCATTTGGTATTGATATTGGCATTGAAATTCTATTATAATTCTTTTTTATTTATTTATTTTATTCTCTCTGCGTGTGTAACATTGAAATTCATTGCCATCATTAGAATTGAATGAATGAATGAAAAAAACAAAAAAGAAATCTTTTATTCAACAAAATTACATTCACTTCATACACACACTGCATGTTTATTGTTTTTTTGAATGTTGATGATGAACATTCTCTTTTTCTTTCCTTCATCTTCATTGTGCAATTAGTTTTTCCAATCCGAATGATTCCTTTTCGAATAGAATGGTGGCAATAAATCTTTTGATTTGATTTTTATTCAAATTATTGATTGATTTTTGTTCTCTATTCAGTAAAAAGGCAACAATAACAACAACCAAGAACACACACAGAATTTTGATTTTTTTCTGATCTTCAAAAGCAAAATCAAAATTCCATCACATGGTGGTGGTAGCAGTCGAACGTTTTCGACCAAAGGAAAAAAATCGTTCGATTTCGATTTTTGGCCGACATCCAAATTCTTTTTCTTTTTTGTTTGTTTCTTGCATTGATTGATTTCATCATTGATCGATCATCATTATTCAAAATCAATTCAATCCGAATTTTTTTATTGATTGATCTTGAATCGAGACAAACCAAACAAACAAGCCGAATGCCGCCCATCAAATTATTGTATTTTTGAAAAAGAAGAAAACAATTTTCAATTTGACCATCATGAAATTGGTATGTTTGATTGATTGATTGATTGGTGAATGTCAATTTTTTAATTTCTTTAATTACTGAAAATTCAATTGGTTTTGATGAACAAATGTACCCATCGTACAACAAAAACGTATCCAAATGATGAATAATTCAGGATCCAATCAATTCAAATTATAATAGTAATAATCATACTCATCATCATCATGAATCGAATGATGATCGTGAGCAACGTGCACGTAATGAACGTTTAGCATTGATTCAATTGGAAAAAGCTAAGGTTAGTTTTTTTCTACCAAATCTGACGGTTGATTGGTTTTTTATCCTTTCTATCGAATATTGCAATTTTAACTGGATTTTTAATTGTCAAATTTGTTTTTGTTTGTAGACAAAACCGGTTGCATTTGCTGTACGTACTAATGTTTCATATGATGGTAGTGTTGATGATGATTCACCAATACATGGTTATGCAATTTCATTTGGTATCAAAGATTTTCTTCATATCAAAGAGGTATTTAATCGATTTTGGTTTTTTATTGATTGATTTTGTTGTTTTTTTCGGAAAAAATTAGAAATACAACAATGATTGGTGGATTGGCCGTTTGGTTAAAGAAAATTGTGATATTGGTTTTATACCAAGTCCGGCTAAATTAGAAGGTCTTCGTACACAACAACAAAATCAGATTCAAACCAAAATTCGATCATCATCCAAATTACAGAATCATCACGGTCAAAATTTCGTCAATTCCATGATCAATTCGAATTCACATTCAAAATCAAATCTAAGTGATTCTAATGCATCTAATTCGGGTAAGGAAAAACAAAAAGATTGTAAATATAAACATTATTTATCTTGACTTTATCGTCACAGAAAATCCTGATGATAATGATATCCAATTGAAACATTTAAAATCATCAGTATCCACACCAACCATTAAAGAGCGACGAAAAATTTTATTCAAAAAGGTTATTTTGTCTCAAAAAGTGATTATTGTTTGTTTGAATTGAAATATTTTTCTTGTTCTAATCAGTCTGAACATACGGCACCATATGATGTTGTACCGTCAATGCGACCAGTTGTTTTAGTTGGACCCTCATTAAAAGGTTATGAAGTAACCGATATGATGCAAAAAGCATTATTCGATTTTCTAAAACATCGTTTTGAATCGCGTATTATTATAACACGTGTTATGATCGATATATCGATGGCAAAACGTTCAGCAAATAATGCTAAGAAAAATTTATTAGAATATGGGAAAATGGAAAATCGTGCCAGTCTTGGTAAGTATTGGTAATCGATTCCTAATTTTTGTTAATCAAAATCAAATCCAAAAACAAAGCTCAAGTACAAGCCGAAATCGAGCGAATCTTTGAATTAGCACGAACAATGCAATTGGTTGTTCTGGATTGTGATACCATTAATGATCCAACACGTTTGGCCAAAACTCCGTTGGCGCCAATTTTTGTCTATATAAAAGTATCATCACCAAAAGTTTTACAACGTCTAATCAAATCACGTGGCAAAGGTCAAAGCAAAAATTTAAACGTACAAATGATTGCAGCCGAAAAATTAGCACAATGTCCAAAGGTCAGTCAAGTGGTGAATTGAAATTCAGTTTTAATCGTATTTCATTTTGGTTTGCTTTCAATAGGAAATGTTCGATGTAATATTGGATGAAAATCATCTTGAAGATGCTTGTCAACATTTAGCCGAATATTTGGAGCAATATTGGCGAGAAACACATCCAATATTCGAAACGCAATTAATAATGAATAATTCTACAATATTGTCTTCACCATCACCACCGACAATATTTTCCCCAACATCAATATCAACCTATGATCCAAATAATTACATGTCATATCCATTAAATTTTAGTGCATATGCTCCATCAGTTGATCCCATGGATGTTAATTATGCAATGGAGTCTCAAACACCCCAGCCAGCATCACAACAACAACCATCATTATTATCATCATCCAATCTATTTTCACAATCATCAACAACAACATCGCCAACAACAAACGAGGATTCAGCATCATATTTTCATGATTCAAGACTTTCCAATTATTCGACAATTACAAATAATAATAATAACAACATTAATAATAATCATATTACAACCAATCTACAACAATCAACACACCATCCAAATGCGTGGATTATTACCCAGCAACAACAGCATAATTATATGGATACACAGAATAATAACATTCATCATCATCATCATCAAACATCATCATCATCATCGACATCCCCACAACCTCCGCCATTACAACCACCAATTTATATTGGTGATAAACATAGTTAAATCAACTGAAAAATCATTTTTCCTGTGTCATTTATTGATTTTTTTGTTGTTTTTCGATGATGTGTGTTTTGTGTGTGCTGATTTTTCCCATGTTACATGGGAAAATTGACATAATTTTTGTTTGTTTGTTTGGTCCAAAAATTTTCCGGATTCTTTTTCTTCCCGTTCTCCTTTTTGGTTTGTTTGTTCGGGATAATTTTTTTAATGAATGTGTGTTTGAAACAAATTCAAACACTAAGAATTGTCAATTATCCGATCAACAAAATCGGGAATGGAACATTTTCTGCTTTCTATTCTTTTCTTTCAGCCCTTTTTTGTTTTTGCAAAACACTGACATTAGACTAATACTGATATAGAAATAGGATAGCATCGTTTTTGCTGAATCAAAAATCTCTTTTTTCTCATAGAAATTTTATTACGGTTTTGATTTTCATTTTTCTCGGCAACAAAAACAAATTTCCAATTTGAATTCAATTCAATCTACAAACTTCCATCAATTGTTGTTCGATTAAGCTTCCGGATCACATTGGATGGATCAATTTTGACCACGGTGAGCACTATAATTCAGCAAAAAAAAGAACAAAAAAAATCATTTGTGTATTTTGCCTTAAACTTGAACATTTTAAAAATGACTATCGATTGATTGATCAATCGATTTGATTACATCATCCAAATTATTGTTATTGCTGATCCAGAATAATTTATATATTGATTTCGATCTCTCTTTTCCCCCTAAGCCCAAAAGACAAACAAATAATTGATAAATCTAATATATTATTATTGATGTTCAAGCCCCCCAAAAAAACAAAACTTATTTGGAAAATTTTTTATCAATGTTTTTTTTTCTTGGTCACTATGATGTTTCTGTGGTCACACAATCAGCCATTTTAAAACAAAAAATGTTTTTCTTTTCTTTTTTGCTCGCTTTTACACCACAGCCCACAATCAAATATTAATTATGTATTTACCTTTGAAGATTTTGTTTTGTTTTTTGTTGTTGTTCACAAAATTAATTATGTGGTTGTTGATTTTTAATTGTCGATTTTAATTCTTGTTTTGTAGGCATTTTGTAGGCCAATTCTTCCATACATAATATGTTATATGTTGTTATTATTTTCAAAGAAATATTTACAAACGAAAAAATTAAAAATTTGTTGTTAAATTCATCAATATTGATATCAATATTGCTAATTGTCATTCTGGCGAAAACGCCAAAAAAATGTTTACTGCAATCCAGGTGCTGCCATCTTTTGACCAATATAAACAACTGACTAGAAAAAGAACAGTTATTTCGCAGAAAAACGGGAGAGCCAGGCTGTCATTGCCAGAAGCAACAAAAAAAACTCACCTGTTTTGTTTTCATTTTCGATTCGATTGCAATCCAATTTGGATTTTTTGTTTTGTTTATGTTTTGTTGATCCACTATGTTTGAATCATCAGTCAAACAATAATTGTGCGGAAATAGGAATGGAATCAATGTTAAATCGTTTACGTGATACAGTATCGTCAACTGTTTATCATGTTACAAATAATTTATCAACTGCATTACCTGGTAATCCATTGACAAGAGAATATGAATTATTGCGTGAAATTGGATCAGCTGGCCCAGGATTATGTTTTAAAATTTATGAAGCAACGAAAAAAAGTACAAAAGAACAGGCATCATTGTTTATATTGGATAAAAAAACTGATCGATTCGAACGAAAGGAAAAAGAACAATTATTCGAAACAATTCGACATGGTGTACCACAATTGACACGTCTTCGTCATCCATCAATGTTAACCATACAACATAACCTGGAAGAAAGTCGTGATCTAATTGCATTCGCTACTGAACCTGTTTTGGGAAGTTTGGCAAATTTTTTCGATCCTACATTTGCACGTGAACAATCAAAAGATGGTGAACTATTTGAATTCTATGATATTGAAATCAAATATGGTCTATTACAATTAGCCGAGGGTCTGCAATTTCTTCATAAAGATGCTCGAATTCTACATCGAAATATTTGTCCGGAAAATATCCTTGTAAATCGTAATGGTATTTGGAAATTAGCTGGATTCGATTTCAGTGTACAAACATTGAATCCAAATGAACAACCATATAAATTTCCTTCGCTTAAAGTCATTGCCGATTTATCATTAGAAATTCAACCAAATTTTACCTATTCAGCACCGGAACATTTTCAATCATCACCCTCGAGTGAAAATTGCATTATCGATACAAGTTCAGATATTTTTTCATTAGGTATGATTGCCTATACATTATATAATAAAGGAAAACCATTATTATTGTTTGATGCATCATATCAATATCGGCCGGAAAAATTTACTATCGATTTAAAGGATAAATTATCTCAAACATCAACATTATCCTGTATACCTGAAGATTTTAGAAAACATTTTCGCCTCTTATTAAGCATTGACCCAAAACTTCGACCTGATGCCCAACAATTGTCAAAATTACAATTATTTCAAGATGTTCTCGTTCGAACGTTGCAATATTTTGATTGTTTATTTCAATGGGATAGTCAACAGAAAGCACAATTTTATCGAAATCTTCCCGATGTTTTGCAACGGATACCGAAACGTATAAAACTGCGACGAATTGTTCATGGTTTAGCAAAAGAATTTGTTAATCCTGATATGGTACCATTTGTATTGCCACCAATGTTTTTAATAGCAAAAGAAACCGATAACGAGGAATTTCATACATGGATCTTACCCGAATTGATACCGGTATTTCGTTATAAAGAACCAATTCAAATAGGACTATTTTTGTTAAAAAATATGAATTTCCTTGTCGATAAATTTAAATCTAAGCCGGAAGCATTAAAAGAACATATCATACCATTAATATATCGTTTTCTTGAATCGGATGCTTTTCAAATACAAGAATTGTGTTTAAGTGTTGTTCCAAGTATTATACATTTGATTGATTTTTCTGGTTCGAAAAATATGCTCCTACCTCGAATCAAACGATTAGCATTGGAAACAAAATTATTATCTGTACGTGTCAATTGTCTGATTTGTTTGGGTAAAATATTGGAACATTTAGATAAATGGCTAGTATTGGATGAAGTTCTACCGTTGATAATGATGATGCCATCTCGTGAACCGGCTGTTATTATGTGTTCAGTTGGTAAGTGTTGATATGTGTTGTTCCTGAATCACTTTAATGGTTTTCTTTTCTTCCTCAAACAGGAATTTTTACATTAACAATCAATAGTAACAAGTTAGGCATCCCAAAAGAAATGCTAGCTAATAAAATTATTCCATTTTTGGTTCCATTATCGATTGAAAATGGTCTCTCATTGCAACAGGTAAGTGATTTTTCTCCAATTATTCACATTTTTCATTGTTGTTTTTGTTGTTGTTGCAGTATACGACAATAATGAATTTAATTCGAGAAATTTTAAATAAAATTGAAGAAGAACATCAAGCCAAATTAAGACAATTGGATTCGATTAAAGTACAACAGGATTCATTTTTTATTGATAATCAACAACAATCGAATGATGAAAAATCATTTGATCCATTCAAATTGAATGATTCATCATGTGATGGTGATAAAATGACAACGGTCAATAATAATAATGTTTCATTATCATTGAATGACAAAGAACGTTTAGCGTTCGAAAAAGAACAATCGGAACGTTTAAAAATGAATGAACGACAAATGTTATGGACGGCTAACAATGATAATGTATCATCATCATTGAACTCTGAATCTATCAAATCTAGTCAACATTCTCAATCACCACCAACAAAAGATCTGACCGATTTGCTTATTAATTCAAATCTAAATCTAATGTCAAAACCCTCAACACAATCACAATTATCATTCCCATTCAATGGAAATGGACCTATGTCATCATCACCATTTTCGACAACATTAAATCAGCAACAACTAAAACCCAATTATTCAGCCTTGGATAATATTTCCATACCGAATATTAATCCGAAATCCATGCCGCAAACACTGAATTCAATGAAACAATTAACCATTGGTCCAATTCGAACTATGACCACAATGAATAACACCGCCGTCAACAATCACAACAACATGCAATCATCACAGTCGACAAAACAATTATCTAAAACCGAATTGGAAGAATTTCTCAATTGATACTATCTTTATAAAAAATTATTTGTATAAAAATAAAAAATTTAAATTTTTTTAAAATCAAAAAAAAATATTGAGTGTCTTTTTTTTTTAATCAATCAATAATCATTCAGTACTATAATGATATTTAAATGGTAATAATAAAAGTTATTTAAAAAAGATAAGCTGATAAGATGAAGATATTTTTAAAAAAGATTTGTATGTATGGGCGATTTATGTTTGTTTTTTTGGTCAAAAAGTTGAATTTTTGTCGTTATCTAAGCTCGATCATCTAGGCTTGACAGTCACGATAGAATTTCGATTGTCGTTCAATATTTTCCAGATGATTTTTCATTTCATTATCCAATTCTTCAATTTTGCGTCGTAGATCATCCAATTTTTGATCATTATTAGCGATATCGGATTCAAAATCTGAACAATGGAAACATAATTCAGTGTGATATTTCACAGTAACTAAAGTAACTTACCTTCGATTGATTTTAATTTTACTGATACATTATTCAACAATGTTGATGCATTATCTTTTAAAGCTTTAGCACGTTTCTTTAGATCATCACTAACTTTAGATTTTTGATCCAATTTTTGGGCTGCTAAACGATATTTACGTTCCAGATCCACAACATACTATAACAATCATCATCGGAATTAATACAATGAAAGAAAAGATTAAATTTATCTCACCTTATTTGCATCTTCAGCACTGCTTGAAGCAGCCATTGCTTCTTTTTCTGCATTTTCGATATTGAATTTATTTCCAGTGAATTTCTTTGTCAAATTATTTAATCGATCATTTAGATCGACAATTTTGCCTTTCGCTTCTTCGGTTTTACCTTTGGCTTCGTCAGCTTTGCTGGTTACCTCTTTTAGATCCTGTTCAATACCGATGATTGATTTATTGGCCATATCAATTGAGTTTTTTGCTTTACGTTGTGCATCCAATGCTTTTTCCAATTCTTTTTTTACTGATTCCGCTAACGACAGAATATCATTGGCTTTTTTCCTAATTTTATTAAATTGATTAAATTGAATTAGATTTTTGTTGTAAAATACTAATGATACTTTATTACTCACTTAACCTGATCGGCTTTTATTTTAAGATGTTCAGCTTTTTCAAGCGAATCACGAGTTTCCGATAGGATACGATCGATATCTTTCAATCCGGCAATAGTTTTATTAATTTCCAATGCAAGTAAACGTATTTCATTTTCATCCAATGAAATTGTATTCTGACGACATTTTTCAGCAATTTCACGAACATCTTTAGCTTGCGCTACATCATCGCTAAGAAATTTATTTATCTGATCCAACAGATTGTTTACTTCTATAGCCGTATTGGTGGAAGTATTTTTAGCCAACATTATCCGTTCGAATGCAGCTTTTGCTTCATCCAATGCTTCATCGGATTTTTCACGTGCTTCTTTAATACGACGAAGTTCATCTTTCACATGACGATCCTTATCCTGTAAATCTTTTTCCGCTTTTTTAGCCAACTCAACAGCAGTTGATGCTTTTGTAGTTGCACCATGTGTACAACTAATACCACCACAACGGCCACAACCAGCACCACCACAAAGATTGTCACATTGATCAATAGTAGAAAATCCATCGCACACCAGATTATTAATATTTGGCAGGCCAGTTTCCATTTCTAATATTTCCTGTTGAATATTACGTAGTATTCGATCATTTTCTTGATAGGTAAGATTATGTTGTCCTTTTGGTTGATCAATCAATTGTTCAGTATTACGACGAATTGTTTGTGAATCCGTTAGAATATTACTTGATTCTTCGACCAAATTTCTTGATGCACGACTACGACGTTGTGCATCCTTAGTCATATTATATGCACCTTCAACATTAGCTTCTTGTAGGGCGAATGTTTCATTTTTCAATTGATTTGCTTCCAATTCTAAATCCATTGATTTATTTGCCAATGCATTTAATTTGAAATTAACATTGATTATATTTGTTTTAGTATCTTCAAGTTGTCGTTCGTGATTGTTTAGGGCTTCTTGCAGATTAGCTAGATTAGATTTAGCTTCTTCAATCATATGTTGTACACGTTCCAAATCAAATTTATTAATATTTTGTCCTTCAAGAATTTTGTTTATTTCATCCAAATTCAATTCGATCTGTGTAAATTGTTGGGTATAGGCACCAGTAGTACCAGTTTGTTTAATTTGACGTGCTTTATCCAATAATTTGAATGTTTCCGTTTTCAAAATATTTGTTATATTATCCCAACTTTCAAAGCATTCACCACAAGCTTCACAATATGGTACCATACCGGTAAAACCCCGTGCACAACGGTCACATTTTGCACCTGATATCCCATCAATACAAACACAATCACCAGTTGTTTTATGACACTGCATGCTACTTGATCCGGCAGAATTACATTCACAAACTAATAAATAACGAATATAAATTAATCAAAAATGACATGCACAAATCTAACTTACGTTTACAATGAAGTCTGGGATTACCATAATGATTTGGTAAACATTCATTACAGGCACGTCCACCAAATGTGGATTTACAATGACATTGTCCGTCGATTTCATTACATTTCATTGATAATGATCCTTGTGGATCACAATCACATGGTTCACAGCCTTGTTGCGAAGTAAGATTCCAGTGATTATCGGCACAACGATTGCAGGATATGCCTTCAACATTAGGCAAACATGAACATTGTCCGGTAGTTTGATTACAGAATGCCGATCTTGGATCAGTCCCCAAATGATGACAAACACATTCGGCACAAGAATGATCCAATGCATTTCCAAAATAGCCTGGTCTGCATACTTCACAATTTGATCCACCAGTATTGTATAAGCAACGAAGACATTCACCAGTTTTTGGATCACAATTACCCGGTTGACTAATATCCGTATTACCGCTACAATTACAAGCAGAACATTGACCACCCGGGATATTTGGTTCACCAAAATAATTTTCATCACAATGATCACATCGTTCACCAGCATAACCCGGATGACAATGACAGATAACATTCTGTGTACGCGGATCTAATTGACAGGTATGGGCATGTGACATTCCAGAATCTTCAACACCTGGACAAGGACAAGGACGACAAGGAACAACCATTCCGGTCAATCGACCTAATGGGTCACCATAATATCCAGCAGCACATTCATCACAATGATGTCCAGCAGTATTATCTCGACAATCAATACAGCTTCCTGTTTTCGAATCACACATATCGGACATACCATTACAATCACAACGTTGACAATTTGGATAATTCCAATAGCCTGGTTGACATTCATCACATTGACGGCCATATGTTTCGGGTCGACAATTACATTGACCAGTAATTGGATCACATTCCGAATCTAATGCACCAACACGATGACAATCACATGGTTTACAACCATCCGGTCCAAAACCATAATAACCAACATGACAACGATCACATGTACGTGGTGATACATATTGTTTACATTGACAAAGACCACCCAATTGTTGACAATCCGCGCTATATGATCCGGTTGGATTACAACTACATGCTATAAGTTTTAAAATGATAAATCGTTTTAGAGTTAAAGATTCAAATGATTCAAATAAGACTTACGTTGTGCACCATCAAATGTATAGAATCCAGTACTCATCAATGATTTGCGACAAAATTCATCAACATCAGGTTGACGATTGAAACTATAATATGGCATCAGACAACGATGTTCAAATTCATATTGTTTTCGTTGATTTTCTGGAGTTCCGCTTAAAAATGGTATATCATTTGCTTTCGGAATCAAGGTAATCTATGCAACAATACAATAATGATTCAGCATTCATTCATCAAATTCAAAACAAACAAAAAAACATACCGAATCGATTAGAATCGAAGGACTTTGATCGAATGCAGGTCGATCAAATTCATTAGTATTCAATTCCATTTGATAACGTTGTCCTTTTTCCAAACATATTGAATCAACAATAGCAGTACGTTCATTTGATAATAAACTAATTTGACGAATATCATTGGTTGTTGAATAATTTCCACATGGTCCATATGGATCAATACCATATGGACGTTTGATCATTAATTGAGCATTTTTAAAATTACCCGAAGTTTCTGGTTCATAACGCACAACTGCATCATAATATTTTGAACTAGGTACATAATCGATTGGAAATTCAATTCCTGAATATGGTGGTAAACGATTAAAACCTTCACCAGTCCAATGTATTCGTTCATCATAATTTCTTGGCGTTACAATTGGTGAACCTTGTATTGTTTTAGCGTCTTCAGCTTCAAATGTAATAAAATCTGGTAATGGCACAAAATAACCAGGTTCAGGCTGATCACAACGTCGTCCGGTAACATGTGGACGACAATTACATTGTCCAGTTGTTTGATCACAATCCGGTGAATATGATCCACCTGGATCACAATCACAAAATTTACAACCTTCTTCATCAACACCCAGACCATAATAATTTGGCTAACAGAAAAAAAAATTTGGAGAAAATTAACATCTTAAACAAATCAAATCCAAACAAAAACTTACCGCACATTGATTACAATCACGACCAACAACATTACGTTTGCAAACACATTCACCAGTATTAACATTACAACCATGATTACCAACAGTTCCCATTTGATTACAGCTACATGATTCACAACCATCTGGATTGATTTCATGTAGATTCCAGAAACCAGGTTTACAATGATCACAACGACGACCTTCCACATTTTTCTTACAACTGCAACGACCTGATTCAAGACCTAAACCAGCATCAGTATATGGATCGCAATTGCCTTCTTCCTTCGAACCACGTGGATCACAATCACATTCTGAATTCGGATAATGAATTTTATATAATAGTCAAACAAAAAGAGTGATTCAATCAAAAAACTTACGTTGACAAACATAAGGATCATCAAGACGACGATTTGGATCACGAAAAAATGATGGCCGACAACGTTCGCAATGAACACCCATTGTATTATGTTGACAATCATCACAAACACCACCACTAATATTATTACTCGCCTGATATACGGCCATATCAAAATGACAACGACTTGCATGATTATTACATTCACATTCTGAATAATGAAAAACAAAAACGAAAGATTTGTTTTTTTTAAAAGGAATAAAATTTCCAAAACAAAATCAACATACTTTTACAGGCATTGGTTTGTCGACCGATAGCCGGTTTCCATTCTAAATCATTATAGAGATCTTCACAAAGTTCACAATTAAGACCTTTTGTATGATGCGTACATTCACAACGTCCATAAACCATATCCGGTATTGTTTCATGATTACTTGGAATACAACGACTTGCATGTCCATAACATGAACACGAACCACGTACAACCATATCATATATAGCATAATAATATTTTTCTTTTACTTCCACTCGTGGATCCAATAGATTATCACCCAATGTATGTAATTGTGTGAAATTGATACGTAAATTAGTAATTTTCAACATATCTTGTACTTCTTTCGAGTATGGATCTTCGATATGAATGTTGGGCGGTAGGACACGGAATATAACTTCACCTTCAGTTGATGGTTCGACATTTGAATATCTTGAATCACAAACCAAATCAGTAATGCGATTACGTGGACCCAGTGGTATGCCTGGAAATGATGCCGCACAATCATAAGCAAAATATTGATAAACTTTCCATGTACGACCAAAATCATGTGAGCGTTCAATCAACATTGCAGCCGGACGAAAAGTTTTGAATGTCATAACCAAATGAGTGAAATGAAATTCTGCTTCCAAATCGAATTGAATGAATACATTTTCAACACCATTCTCGGCTTGCCACCAAAATTGTCGTCGTTTTTGGCCAACACGTGATACAACATTTTCAATACCATGATAACGAGCTGTTCCTTTGAAACGATCTCTCGAATCACAATAAAAACATTTTTTCTTCTCTTTCAAATGACTAACCACACAATAACGAATCTGTTGTCGTAAGCCACACGTGGATGATGCTTTCAGTCGTTCTTCACGACCAATCAATAGGTTACCGGTTGCCGGATAACAAGCTTGAAAATCATCACAACGACCTGATGGATAAATCGCTAAATGGATGATAATTATAAAAAAAAAATTCAATTAGAAAATTTCAAATTTGTCAAAAGAAACAGAAGAAATTATTGTGAAAAATAATGAAAAAGAATAAAAAGTGATTCCCATTTCCCAATAAACCGAAAGAATTAATTGAAAAAATTGTAGTGAATGAAAAAAACAGTTGAAAAATTCTTGGTTAGATTTAGTAGTTGGTTGCCCCCGAAGAAATTCTTGAGAAAAAAATTCAAATCAAACCCATCGGATGACGATCATCAAATTTTGGTCGATTACGAAAATCACTACCATCCCATTCTTCTTCATCGAATGTTGGTTCGGTTGTTGATAATGATGGTGGAGCATGTGTTGGACCATCCAAATCTGGATCATAACCACGAGAACGATTTTCAGCCCAATGAAATGTATCATTATACCATATAAATGGACCGGGCATATGTTTACCGCCATCTAATGTTGGCGGTCGATTTGGTGACGATATAATCTTTTGTTGACGGTTATCATGATCGGTTATACGACTTTTATGTTGATAAGTTGATTCATAATAATTTCGATGATTCGAAGACGTTGGCGGTGATTGGGATTGGGATTGGGATCGATAACCATTACGTGACCATTCATATGGTGATGTACGATGACCTGAATAAAATTTTTATTAATTTCAATAAAAACTAAAGAATTTCACAAAGAAAATCTTACCGTTCACTGGAACTGGTCTTTGTGAATCATCATGATTATTATTATCAATATTATTTGTAGTCGATGATGATGATGATGTTTCATTCAATTTAAAATATGAAACATCATGCGAATACGGTCTAGAATTATAGCCAACATTTTGTTGTCTAGCTATACTCAATGAATTTTTTTTTATTTAAAAACAAAACAAAAATTTCAAAAAATAATTGGGAATTTTTTTGGTTTAACCATTAAAAAGTGTTCAAGTTTTGGACCAAACAATTTTTTGCAATATGAAAAAAAATCAAATTTGAAAATTTTGGGTTGGCTTACCATTACGATCATATTCATCATATTCTCTTTGGTTACTTCGATCAGGATACCTTTGGCATAATGTTACTAAATAAAAAGAGAAAAAATCAATCAAAAAATGATCCAGAAAATTTCAAGGTTACATCGTATATAGGGTTTTTAAATTGTTTTCTTAGTAATGTTCTTTTCAACATTTCTGTCAATGGAAAACGTTGGAATTGAAATAAATTGAATCTGAAAAACAAGTATTTCCCTTAAAAGGTAATATTATCATTATCCTTTAGATTGCCGGATTTGGGCAATGTGAATTGATGGCTTTGCGCTATTCATTTTCAATTTTGATTAAGGATTTTCCCTTAGCAACAACAATCAAAGATTTAAAAATCAAAAACTTACATGACAAGAATAGAAAAAAGAACACAATAAATAGGTGAATCAATCTCGATAAACCAAACGATCGATAATTGATCGATAATTTTGTTGATAATGATGATGATGATGATGAATAATTATAATAACAACATCTACTACCATTACTGATAGTAGATGTTGTTGAATATGATGACATTTTTGTTTTTTTCGATGAGTATTTGTTTGGGATTATTATGTCGAATGATTAGAATTTATAAAATGATTATTATTAATATCATACATCAGATATTTTTTCTTAACTGATACTGATTCTGATGGTGATATTCGATAGATGATAGATGAAATGAATTGGTGAATTGATGAATGAACACAATTAATTATTTTGAACAAAACACGATAATGGTGATGATTAAATCTTTGATTTGGTTTTATTTAATATGAGATGTGAGATCGAATCGGTCATCGGTCATTTGAAATAATAATGATAAGATTGCTATTATTATTATTATTATTGTGTAGATCAGCTGTCACAGATTGCACAAATGATGAAATTGGTTTGTTATCATTTTTACCTGGATGCACAATGTAACGATATTATGACATTCAACAAAAAAAAAAACGGGATTCACAATGAATGGTTAATTGTCACACACACATGTACACACCCTTTTTTGTCTTTCTGTCAACATCGGACACAAACAACAAAAGCCAAAAATCGATTCTTAACACAAACAAAAACATCCACCGCCACCATCATCACCATCACACAGTTATTCTTATGGAATTTTTTTCTCGTACCGATGTTGATTCAATCAAATCGAAGAGGTGTGTGTGTGGGTGGCTATCTAATAAAATTAAAAAAACTGATGAAAACTATACAACACTTCTATGATGATATAGATGATAAAGATGATTATATGGACTTTGATCAAACAAATATATTCATTAATTTCCAATCACAACAAAAACAGGAGAGAAACAAATTATATGGAGGCGTTGGTTTTGAATCTATACATTCAAACAGTTATGGTGTGTGTGGATCACTTATCCTAAAGGATATTGAACGGGCGTGTCACACGATATACACCAAATCGATGATGTCGAAAGAATCACATCAAAATCTTTTTTTTGTGAATAAAGAGAAGCGAAACAAAGATACAATGAACAAGTAATAAGCAAAAGATAATTTCAAATAATCATTATAACAGCATTATCATACACAGAGAGACATACCACCGCTAAAGATTTATTATTTGAAAATAGAAAAACTTTGTTTATATGATGATATGTTTGTTGATCATTCGACGACGGCCACACCACAATACACTACAAACACTTCATGGCTGATAATATTCTATATGGTGGGCATATTTTGAAAAACGAAAATAAAAATGGCGGTGTCTATTTGCGTACCAAACATTCATTCATTCATTGATCAAAATGAAGATGGTCATGTCTTGACTTTTCTGGTGAGAAGAAATCAAGAAAATCTGTTTTCGTTGAAGCAAGCAAGCAAACACACACCATAGACATAATCATCGACGCCGTGAATGAATGAAACACATGTGGGACGACAACGACCAACAACAACGATGGCTGATGATAATGATTTTGTTTCATGGAAAAAAACGGTGGTCTATGTTTGAATATTGTCGATTTGAAAAAAGCATTTGGTTTTCGTTAGTTGGAGGATCAAGAAGAGAACGAATCAAGAGGGAAAAAGTCAAAGTCTATTCATTCATTTCATTTTCATATTGAAAAGTGACAATCGCGATGATGATGATAATCAATTATTATTATAAATAGAACCATGAACAAAATCAATCGATATCGATAAATAACTAATCAAGAAAAAAAAATAGTTTATTGATCCGAGAATATATTCAGACACTTTGTGTGTTCGAATTCGAATGTCCGGAAAATTATTGTTATGTGAGCGAGGACCTTTCATATAGATCGTTTTGAGATATTTGACAAAACAAAACTTTATCATATCAAATTACTTAAGAAAAAGTTTTTCTTCATCACTTAGTGGGACAGTCAATTGAAATAAGGACAAGTCTTGGATTAGTTTATGTGATGATTTGCGTGTGTGGGCGAACCAGTATGGACTACTACCATCGCCATCATAATCATCAATGTTAAATTCAAGAGAAATTTTTCTGAATTAATTTTTTTAATTGAAAACATTTCTTTTTTGGCAATGGATCATCATCATTGTCAAAATTCAAATCGATACACACATATGTTATCAACCAAAACAACAACAGAAACAAAACTGAAATATCGATAACTGATAATCAATGGGCAATGGACAAGACATTAGATTTTGCATTTACCACAACGAAAAAAAAGAAATGATGAAATAAACTTGATTAAACGCCTACACATTTTATTTTTTGCTTAGAAAAAATCTTTGAGCATCTTTATTTTATAAATAAGGCAATAAATATTGCCCAAATATAAGAAATGGGAAAAAATTGTTGTTTTTGTTGTTGGTCATCCATTCCAAGAATTTTCGAAATGATAATGATTAGTGGATTTTTTTTGAAGAGAAAAAGGATCTCTTGTAGATTAGGAACCCCAAAACACCCTTTTGTAGATTAGGAACCCCAAAATGAACCTCTTGTAGAATAGGAACCCAACCCATAGTAACTCAATGCTAACTTGCTACATACATAAATAGAATAAAGCAAATGAACATTCCTTGGTTTTTAATTAATCAAACTTAATCTCGGCAGGTTAGGTTAGGTTAGGATGGGACAGTTAGGTTTTCCGGGGAGGAAAACCTAACTGCTGACAAAAATATCTAATTTACATACTTTTACNTCTCTTGTAGATTAGGAACCCCAAAACACCCTTTTGTAGATTAGGAACCCCAAAATGAACCTCTTGTAGAATAGGAACCCAACCCATAGTAACTCAATGCTAACTTGCTACATACATAAATAGAATAAAGCAAATGAACATTCCTTGGTTTTTAATTAATCAAACTTAATCTCGGCAGGTTAGGTTAGGTTAGGATGGGACAGTTAGGTTTTCCGGGGAGGAAAACCTAACTGCTGACAAAAATATCTAATTTAAAAAAAGATATGATGTATTTCGTTAGAATTGTAATCGTTTCGTTCCTTATTAAGGTTCATGTAGATTAGGAACCCCAAAATGAACCTCTTGTAGAATAAGAACCCAAAACAGCATTGGGGTTCCTATTCTACAAGAGATCCGAGAAAAATTCTATGAAACCGGTAGCGCCATCAATTGTTGATCGATTGAACACTGATTTGGAAGATTGAAAAAAAATTAGTAAAATTCAAAATTAAAAAAATAGAAAAAAATTTACTCGGAAAATATCATAACAAAATCTTTATATGCTTCTTTAAGCTTTTGTGAATCTTCATGTAGGCTATTTAATCTGTGGCAAAGAAGAAAAAAAAATTAAATCCATCAGTCAAAAAATCAATCAAAAAACATACTCTTTGAAAATGGCCGATGCTTCAAATGTATTATTGTGATGATGAAGATGATTTAGATTGGATGATGATGATGATGGTAAAATTTGATTGGTTGTCGTTGTCGATGATGATTCTAATGAACCGCCTAATGCAGCTGCTGACCATTCTGTTTCGAAAATTTTAACCTCTTTGAAAAGTTGATTCCACAGTTTATTATAATCATCATATGCATGAGAAATATTTGATTCGATTTCAGTGATTGATTGCAAAAATCCATAAAGTTCAGTGATAATTAATTGTGGTTTAACATATGCAACTTGGGCACCTTGATACCATTCTTCTAATTTATCGGCAATATTTCCGCATGGATTAATTTCATTAGCCAGAAGATTATTCAATTTTTTACAATAACTATCCAATTTTAATTTTTCTAGCTGATGTAATTGTTCTTCATGATGATTTAGCGATTTTATTTGCTTATCTTTATGCAGCATTAGCCAACATTCGCGAATTTTTGCTGTAAAAATTTTCGCTTTTGATTGTATCAATAATAGATGACGAATATTTTCCAATTCTTTTGATGTGGGCCATAGATCACGTAATTGTTCGAATTTTTCATCCATTATCGATGATGATGAAAGACTTTTGAAATTTTGTTGAATTTGATCCAATCGTTGTCTAATGGTATCGATCTCATTAAAATTATATAATGTTATTACTGAATTTGGTTTAATAATGGAATCGATTAATAATTTTATCAATCTGGATAGATGATTATTATATTTTTGAAGATTATTTAAACGTTCTTCCAATAAGTTTAGATGAAAATTAAAACAACTGTATTTTTCATCCAATATTTTGATATTACGATCAATTAAACGTAACATATGACATGGTATTTGGCAGGCTAATTTATAATTATGAATAAATTTGTCTATTTGTCGTAATGATGAATATGCTAATGATGAACAAAGCTTTGCTAATTGTGCATCCAAATCCGTATTAACATTTGTATCAATAATATCGGGAAATTTACTTGGAGGAATTGGACCAGTCGTGCAACGTATCTTTGAATTCATCTGGCCATTAAGTAGAAATAGTGGGGAATGTTCAGTTGTATGAATATCCGAGATGGGAAAATTATCGGATAAAATGGCAATTATTGTCGATATAGTGGATGATGCGGATGATCGTCGTTGATTTGATTGCAATAATGGAATTAATTTCGATTTAGCTGATTGATTTGAAACATTTTCAATTTCATCAATTATGGTCGACATTTGTTGATTAATTTGCAAAAATTGTTGATCATTTTTTGAATCAATCAAATGATGATGATGATTGAGATTATCGTTTGGCCAAACTAATATTTGATCATTTGGCGACAGTTTATAGAGGGAATCAAAACGTGATTTGAGTTCCAAAACTGACTCGCTAGGATGGCAATAAATAGAATGTAATGATAATGATCCAACATAATAAATGTAAATTATTTTATGTTCCAGAATTTTGGTAACACTGGTGAAAAATTTTTCAAATGACCACATGCGATATGCATCACATTCTAATAAACCGGCTAATAATTCGGTAACTAATGGTTGAACTGATTGACTTAGCAAACATGAATCCGGAAGATTTCTACTCCATTTTATTTCACCATTTTCTGATGATTGTGTACCTGAAATAATTCCCGACGCTTTTTCCGTCGTTATACGATACATTGTTTCTTTATTTTTTCTACCACCATAGGGACGAAATGGTAGACTACCGGTTGCAATATGATATAACGTAACACCAATACTCCAAAGATCAACATTAGCTTTGAATGATTTGCCAACGGGTTTCCGAAGTACAGCTCTTTCATACATATCCGGATGCTAAATTGATTGGAAAAACGGATTGAGAAAACCGTTGGAAAAATAACAAACATTGGAAACTTACCAAATATTCTTCGGTTCCATATAAAGACATGAATTGTTGATCATCATCCAATTCTCTAGCGGCACCAAAATCCGTCAATTTATAAATCGAAGTACCATCTTCCGAAACAAATTTCATGATATTACCCGGTTTTAGATCACGATGTATAATATTCATATCACGTAAATGTTTCATACCAGCTGCTAAATGTTTTAAAACTTGAAGAAATTCTTTTTCATCCAAACCATTGCTATTCATTGGATCATCCAGAATATTGAATAGTGAGCCACCAGTGCATAATTCCATGACTAAAACTTTTTGTTTTGTATCATTTTCTTCTTCAATAGCCAATAATTTAACAATATTTTCATGATTCACTTTTTTTAAAACTTCAAATTCACGTTTTTGTACTTCATATGGACGCATATGACTCAAATGATTAAAACATTTTACAGCAACTGTTTCACCGTTATGTTTATTATGACCAAAATAAACAGCACCGGTTGCACCTTTACCCAATACGGCATTCGTGTTCCAAAGATAATTTTGGGAACTTTTAAAATTTGTTAGTGATGCTGATGATGATAAACCACCCGAACCCGAACCACCGGTACCCGATGTAGGTGTAATTTTTTGTTTTATAGTTGCTTTCGACATTTTGTTTTGCTGCATTGATTGATGTTTGATCTTCGAAATATACGTGATCAATCAACGACAGTAGGAAAAACCGAATGACGATTACATTTTTTGTTGCTTTGCTCAGACAATAATTAGCATTGTTTTTTACGGTTTCGGTTGTTCACCGGTGAGCAACAATTAACCTGAATGAATTGGAGCAATTGAAAAAGTGTTTTATATTTTATTTTTATTTTTCAAAAAAAATTATCAATTTTTTTCCAGTTGCAAAAAATGAAAACAATTAAAAGACCTGTCAAACAGGTTGAAAAAAATCATTCGATTTTTTTCGCCACTATTTCGTCATTCCCTGGGTCGTGTTTGGTGAAAATAGTTGAAAATTCACGCGTGTTTCGTTTTTTGACTTTTTGAATTTTATTTTTTTCGGAAAATCTAACAAAATGCAAATTATCAAAAATGAAGGTTTCAATGTTTTACAGGTAAAATTTGATAAACAATCATCAATCATACGGCATTTATATGTGAAAAGTTTCATTTCAAATTCATTAATTCAACAACGAAAAAATTCTGATCATGATTTACAACAACAACAAGAATGTAAAGCCGAAAATTGTACATTATTCATACTGAATATACCACCATTCATTAATGAACAACATATTCGTTATTTATTTGAAAAATGTGGAAAAATTGTCCGGGTGTTTTTCGATGAAAAACCATCATTTCAAACAGCAACATCAATGTTGGAAAAAATACAGAAATTAGATTCGAAAACCGACCAGCAAGATAAATCTGCAATTCCCTTAGGTTTTTCTTCATCAGTTTTTGAAGAAAATGAAATTTTCAACTATAAAATTTGCCATGTGGTTTTCGCCAAATTGAGCGCACTTTCAAATGCTTTAGATATGGCCGGAACGGATCATGTTTATACGTTTGTCCCTGACGAAATTGATCCGGATGATAAACGTTGGTTTACTGGCATTAAACTTTGGCAATCTCGATATAATAATTCTGTGATCGATCAATATCATCGAGTAAAATTGGCTGAAAAATTTGTGGCCGAAATGGATGAACAATCGGATGAACAACAGAAACGAATTGAAGCCGAACAACAACAATCGATTGAACAGGAATCAGGCGGGTGGATAACAGTAAATCGTAATCTACGTCGCAATCGTCGTGCATTAATCGCTAATCAACAACATGATCGTCTGATTGAAGAAAAATTAAAAGATCGTCAAATGAAACGAAAACTTTCGGAACAAAAATTCGATGAACAAATTGCACCTATAATTGAAGCAGCACAGAAAAAGAAGAAGAAAAATCCTCGAACTATTCATAATAATTTTTGAACCAAAAAGTTTTTTATTTTTCAAAATTTGTAAAAAAATCTTAATAAAATTTCAAAAATTTTAAAAATCCAATTGGTTACAGCTTTTATGAATGAATCTAGTTTCTGTTTTTTTTTCGCATTCGAATCGAATGTTTTATCGTCGACGAATGTTTCGCGCAAAGATTTTTGTGTTGTTACGGCGGCCACCGAATTTGGCCACCGTTTTTAATCGACAATGTTCGTCAACCAACGAAAACAACGATGTTCGTGTACGTTTTGCGCCAAGTCCTACTGGTTTTGTTCATCTTGGTGGTTTACGTACTGCATTGTTTAATTATTTATTTGCCCGAAAACATCAAGGAAAATTTATCCTACGAATTGAAGATACTGATCGTGAGCGTATTGTTCCTGGTTCATTAGAAAGTATTCTAGATGTCTTACGTTGGTCAAATATTCAACCAGATGAAGGACCCGAAGAATTAGGTGGTTCGTATGGACCTTATATTCAATCAAAACGTACCGAATTATATCATGAAATGATTGAAAAATTATTAACTACTAGTGATTCAGTTTATCGATGTTTTTGTACAACAAAACGATTGGAATTATTACGTCGTGAAGCGTTGAAAAACCGTGAAACACCACGTTATGATAATCGTTGTCGATCATTGACCAATGAAGAAATTCAAAAAAATTTATCCGAAAATGTACCATTTACTGTTCGATTAAAACTTCAACCAGGTCCTATGACAATCAATGATTTGATCTATGGTTCGGTTACATATGATCTTAGCCGTATTGAAGGTGATCCAATCCTAATGAAATCCGATGGATTACCAACATATCATTTTGCTAATGTCGTGGATGATTATCATATGTCAATAACACATATACTTCGTGGTGTGGAATGGTTAGTATCGACACCAAAACATCTGATGTTATATGATGCATTTGGATGGCCTAGGCCAAAATATGCACATTTACCATTGATTGTTAATCGAGATGGATCAAAATTATCTAAACGTCATGATCATATACGTCTGTCTACTTATCGTAATCAAGGTTACTATCCTGAAGTTATCATTAATTATCTAACACAATTAGGTGGTGGTTTTGGTCAACTTAATACAGCAAATTGTGATAAAATCTATTCAATGGATGAATTAGTCGATGCATTTGATTTAAAATCCGTTAATCAAAATAATTGTAAAATTGATTTGGAAAAAATTCATCAGCTAAACCGGTTATATATGAAGAATTTAATCGAAAATGATCCTAATCGCATACGAAATGATTTAATTGAAATTCTTCAAAAAAATCAAGAAAAATTTCAAACATCATTACAATTTGATAATGATTATTTTGATAAAATTTTACAATGGAATTTGGAAAGAATATATTCTATTAATGATTTAATTCAAGAAGATTTTCTATTTCTTTGGTCACAACCAAAATTAACATGGTTAAATGATTCATCATCATTTGATTCGAAACAACAAATTCAACAAACATTACATTCAACAATCAATTTATTACAACAAATAGAAGATTTCAATGACAAAGATATCATTTTAAAACAACTTCGAAAATTGAATGAAAATGAATTATCAATGAAATTCAACTTATATATGAAACTTTTACGACTTTCACTGACCAATTTAACAAAAGGTCCACCTGTTGCTGAATCAATAATGTTGTTGGGAAAAAATCGTACAATTCAATATCTTCGAAATGCTATTGATTATGTTCAAAGCAACAAATGATTTATTTTCGTTTTTTGTTATTTTTTGAATTTTTCGTTTGAAATTCCCATTGAAGTTGTATGGTGTTATCTTCTTCATCATTATCATCTTCATTTTTATTGGTTGAAACATTAGCAGCGGCTAAAATTGCTTGTTTTTCTTTTTTAGTTTTTTCATTAAATTTTTCAATTGTTGAACGGATATTTGAATCAGTTGCTGCATGTTTTTTATCAACTATTGTCCATTTATTTATATTTGATGATGATATTTTGGCATCATTTTGCTTCGATTTTTCTTGTTCACTTTGATCATTCAACAATGGATCAGTTAATTGTGTTGTACGAATTTCAAATTGATTTGATTTTGATGTTGATTGTTGTGATTGTGATTTAAATGATTGTCGATCATCATTTAATTGATATTTATTAGTTTGGTTTTTCCATTTCGAACCACCACCATGACCATAATCATTAACAGGATAAATGCCATATTCTTCAAACATTGTTAGACCAGATTGACGATTTTGTTGTTGATTATCATCATTATTACCATCATTATTATCATTGTTATCATTATTTTCGTAAACAGGATTAAGATTAAAGTTTCGAGCAATACAAAGATCACCATTCAACATTGCTTCGAAAAAACCATAACGTTCGAATAATGATTGTTGTTGTGAATGACCACCGGAATAGTTATTATGTGAATCTAATGTACTTTTCAAATAATCCGTAACGAAACGTACACGTTCGAATGCTTTTTCCGTACATAAACGTAATAAACGTTTTGAAAATGATTGTAATGATAATTGACCAATTGATTGAATGGCAACTATTTCTTTCAAAACATTCGCACAAACAATCAGAACATTTCGTAGAAAATCTTCTTCCTCTTCGGTTGGATCACAAATCAATAATTGTTGTGCTTTACGCACAAATTGTTCATGTTTTTCAGCCGGTAAAATTTCCTGATTTTCCGTCAAAATTTTTTTCAAATGTGTGCGATCCATAAATTGAAATGTAACACATATTGGATAATGAAATAAAGTTATCGGTAGAGGATTACGTTCCTCATATGAATGTACGATAATATCACCATCAGGTGTTACAGTCGCATCTGGTCGTTTAAAATGCATTAATGATGCTATTGTTGCAATCGATGCTGCTTCAATAAGATTTCCATCAAAATTTAACAGAACTAATTTTGTACAAATACACCATACAGTTCGACCGGTCACTAAACATAATGATTCCAAATCTAAAACATTAATACGATTAATAATTTTTTCCAACAATCTTGTTGTTAATATAGCTTCGGTTGGTTGTGATCGTTCAATATTACGTAACCAACGTTCTTTACCACCAGCACCAATGTTTATGATAACTTTAAAACGGCCTTCTGATGGCCGAGTTATACGTGGTTCATCTAATGTTGCTTCGGTTGATGCATACATAACAGTATTGCCTAGCTGAACAAAACAAGAACCAAATGTTCGGCCAAAATTTACCTGTAAATTTCGTGATTGATAAAATGTTCGATTATCCAATCGCTTGTTTTCCAATAATGATTCGATCAGAAAACTTCGATTACAATTTGGTATAGTTCGTGCCATTTTTTAAAAAAATTCACTTCAGATTGTCAAACCAAACAAACGAAAAACAAACATCAATCAGAAACAAAACACACGTGCGATGTTGTTGTTTATTATACTTTTCCACTCTTTCCACATCAACCATACCGATAGGATCATAATAGTCGGAAAAATAATTCGAACTTTTTTTCTCTCAAGCATGTTTCATTCGATTTTTTTTATTTCCGTATCACTCATCATCGTCATCATCACTAATTCAATTTGGAAAAAAGAAATACCAGAACTTAATCAATTCATATGTATCATCAAAAATTTATTGCAATTAGTCATATAAAAATTGGTTAACTAACTCTCCAAACAAAATTAAGAAATCAATTTATCTTTCTCTTCTGACAGATAAACCACCATGTTTTCATGTTAGAATGATATAGTGGACGATACTTAATGGTATCTGAGTTTATCAAACGAGAAGCCCGATTCATTATCATAGGTAATGAATTGGTCAACATCAAAAATTGGGATATAATCCATTTAGTCATATAAAAATGGGTGAACTAACTTCAAACAAAATGGAGATCAGTTTATGTTGAACATGAATAATCATGTATTGTTTGTCACTATATAAACCTGTTGGAGACTATGACTTCCAGTCAAGTTCAATTAATCAGGCATCAGATGAATGTATATAAAGACCAACTGTGATAGATGTTGGTTGTTCATTTTTGTTTTTATTATTGTTAGATGTGATTTTTATTATTGTGATGATTTGTCTTTTTAATTAAAATAAAAAAAGTTGTTTTTATCTTTGTTTGATCATTTAATTCACAACAAAACCAATCATTTGTTTAAACAAATCTTAATATTGTTCTAAATAAAATAAAGATATTTTATTCAAAATCAAAATGTTTATCTTGCAAAGATAAATATTTTTTATGTTGCTTCCATCTTTTTTTATCTAACAGACATCTTTAATGATAAATAACTTTATTAAATAAAAAAAATATTTTTGAAAAATATGAAAAAAAGAGTTACAATTATTTTATTCGTTGATTTCCTGTATTTTTTCAAAAAAAAATCATGGAAAAAAATTCTCGATTGGAATAACATTGAAATTCCGTACTTTCACTGTAATTGTTCGGCCTAGTGGTCTAGGGGTATGATTCACGCTTAGGGTTTAAACATTGTTTAAAATTCTTAAGCATTAAAAATTAGTTGCTTAACTCGTTAGCTGAAACTAATTTGCGTGAGGTCCCGGGTTCAAATCCCGGCTGGGCCCAACAAAGGATTTGTTTTTTTTTAATTTTTTTAAAAAATAAACTTTTTTTTTAATTTTAAACGAAAAAATAAGAAAGACAAAAAAGATTACAAAAAATATAACGTTTTTTTTGGTTTTAATTTGATTTTTCATTTTTATTGGCTGTTTTGGTTGACGGTTTTAGCCGTAAAATAATTGAATTTTTTTGAACACTATCACCTGATTTACAAAAAACTTGTTCAACTTCTCTTTCTGATTCATTCGGATCAAATTTAGCTTGAACAATATGTTCCATTTTCATTGCTGTTAGAATTGCAATTATATCACCATCACGAATTTTATCACCCGATTTGAATGGAACTTTTTCAACAACAGCTGTCATTGGACTTTTAAAATTTTCACCATCAAATATTAATGAATCGGATGATTCTGTTGAATTTTCAGATTTTGATTGAAGAAATTCAGGTAGTTCTAATTCGAATGTAAATGTACCAAAATTATGATCATAAACCGAAATTGAACGTCGACCATGTAAGGATATATCGAATGTTTTACGACATTCATTACCATCACCATCGATTGTTATAATCGATAGCTGATTTTTCGAAAATTCAGCTTCAATATTTATGGATGTTTTTGTTTTGTGATTATCATCTAAAAAATCAAGTTGATATCGCTGATGACCACGACATTGAATAGAAAGTTTTGTATTCATTTTATCATCATTATTATCTTGTCCTTGTTTGGAATTCAAATGAATTTCATGAATAGAACTAAATGATTCGTTTGAACCATTGATCCATGGTCCTTCGATATGATTAAATGGTGATGTCCAATCAGAATTACGTTGACGATATAATTGTTGTTGATTGTATTTTTGTCCATATAAAAAACCAATAACAGCAACTGACTGAATTAATCGACGATGATATTGATCCTGTATTAAAGGTCGACAAAGATCTTGTTGATGTTCGGCAATAAAATCCGTATAAACATCACCAGATTGAAATTTAGGATGCATGGCTAATCGTAAAAGATAATCAATATTAGTCTTCATACCGGCCAAATGATATTCACGTAATGCTTGACATAATTTTCTCAATGCAGTTGGACGATCTGGTGCCCAAACAACCAATTTAGCAATCATTGGATCATAATAAACTGATACTTCATCACCTTGCCGAACAGCAGTTTCGATACGAATTTCATGTGGTTGAAATGATTTTGGCAGTGATAATGATTCAACCAGACCTGTGCATGGTGCAAAATTTGATTCCGGATCTTCGGCATAAATTCTAGCTTCGAATGAATGTCCAATTGGACCATCGATAAAATCTTTTTGCTTTTTTGGTAATGGTTCACCACCGGCTATACGAAGTTGCCATTCAACTAAATCTAAACCGGTAATCATTTCAGTGACAGGATGTTCTACCTGTAATCTTGTATTCATTTCCATAAAATAAAACTGCTCATCACGGCTATCGTAAATAAATTCTACTGTACCAGCACCATGATAATCAACAGCTTTGGCTGCCTTAACGGCTGCCGCACCAAGTTTTTCGCGAATTTCCCGAGTAATATGTGGTGCGGGTGCTTCTTCAATCACTTTTTGATGACGACGTTGACTTGAACAATCACGTTCAAAAAGATGTATACAATTTCCATGTTTATCACCAAAAATTTGCACTTCAACATGACGTGGTCTTTGTACAAATCTTTCCAATAAAACAATATCATCGCCGAAAGATTTCATTGCTTCACGACGTGCCGAATCTAATTGTTGAAGAAATTCTTGTTCATTTCTGGCTATACGCATTCCTTTACCACCACCACCACGAACAGCTTTAATCATAACAGGAAATCCAATTTGTTTGGCATTTTCTAATAAATCTTCACTACGTTGTTGTTGATCATTATGAAACCCGGGTATTACCGGCACATCTGCATCAATCATAATCGATTTGGACAATGATTTTATACCCATCGATTTTATCGAATCAGCTGTTGGACCAACAAATATCAAATTATTTTCCGAACAAAGTTGAGAAAATTCAAAATTTTCCGATAAAAATCCATAACCAGGATGTATTGCATCCGAATTGGATCGTTGTGCAATATTTATCAATTTTTCCTTTACCAAATAACTATTTGCAGCTGGTGATGGTCCAATATGATAAGCTTCATCGGCCATCGAAACATGCATTGATCGACGATCAGCATCACTATAAACGGCAACTGTTTCAACACCCAAACGTCTTGCTGTACGTATAATACGACAAGCAATTTCACCACGATTGGCAATCAATAGTTTTTGAATATTTTTCACTGTAGATATTGCTGGCCGATGACTATCACCATAATGATCTTCATTCAATTTGGCCGTAGAAAATTGAATCCGATTCCTAACGAAATGAAATGGTCGCCTTGATTTGACATTTTTTAAAAATGATCAACCACAAAAATGAAAACAATTTACCTTAGAAATGATGATTGAGGACAAGAATTTCGCATTCGAATTATACCAGACATCATGATTGATTGACTGTAATGAATTGAATGCAATTCGGTCAAATTGATTCATCAAATGATTCGTTCTAAATGTTGATGGTGGTGGTAGCCATCGATAGCCTTGAGAAATGACTGAATGCATATTTAAAGAAAACAAGAAGAAGAAGAAATGAATGTTGATTTTGTTATCAACATCAATATCATCGTCATCGATCATCTTGCAAGATATCAATATCCATGGATGGCGTGATTCAAAAATAAAAACGTACCGCTACAAACTCAACAAAAAAAAACAAGTTTTAAATTTTTACAACGTATAAACTTGTTGTATCATCATCATTCGTTTATACGTTGCAAAGAAAACATTTTCACGTGTTGAGTTTGAATTTTTTTGTTAAATTTTGAAAAAATCTTTTTTGTCATCAAACAAATATCGAAAAAATGTTTTCCGGTGGTAGAAAAATGGAACGATTTTCCAATCCATCAGCATCATCATCAGCGGCTGCGGCGGCAGCAACCCAATCAATGCCATCAATGATGAATGATTCAATAAATTTAGATGACCCATATTCATTAAAATTAGAACGTTTAGATATTCTAAATATGGATGATTCGAATCCGTTTATGCAACAAATTATTGAACAACGTAAAAATCTTCTGGATGATTCCCGGATAATGATACGATTATTAGGTTTGGATCATTTTATCGATAATGATGATGATGATGATGAACGATTAAGAAGGAAAAAAATGAAAGCAAAAAAATTGGCCGAAAAAAAGAAAAAGACTGCCACCGTTGTTCGACGACGATATAACATCGATGATGATGATGATAATGATCAACCAGTATTAGTGGGCGATATAATGGAACGTGATCCATTGGATAATAACAAAATAAAAACTCACGATGAAAGAATCGATAAAAATGATGATGACGATGACGACGATGATGATGATAATGATGAAGAAATTCTAAATAATGATTCCATGGAAGAAGATAACGATTATATGGAAACATATTTTGATAATGGTGAAGATTTTATTGATTAGAATTGCAATTGATAAATATATAAATATTGTTGACTTTGATTACGTTGACCGATTATTATGAAATTATATTGCCAATAAATTTGATAATGATAATCTTCAAAATATCTCATTTCCCTTAATTTGATCGTACGAATTGAATGTTTTAGTGAATGATTGAAACGCGATGCTGACCATTGATGTAAATTATCAACAATATGTAACTGCAAACTATGTGAATATTCTAAATTGATTGTCAATAATAACATTGTATCCAATTGATCAAGATAATCACATTGAATTATTGTTACCGATAAAGATCGATCATCGATCATCCCTCTTAATTCATTGACATTTAATGTTTGTATCAATCGAATCGAATTATGATCGTTGTGGGATGATTTTGGTGGATAATGACGATAAATGGCTAAATAATCACTTGTTATATAATAAATTGATCGTTTGATTCCATTGAAATAAAGTTGATGTTGGAATAGTTCACTATTGTGACAATGATTATCATTGAATTGTTGATTTTGTCCGCATTTTAAATCATGAATGTAAAAATTGGATGAAAAATTGTAAAAACCATATTGTTTTTGGTGACATAAAAATAACCATGGTATTGGTGAAATGAATTCAATTGTATTACAATCAAATTTAAATAAACATTCGGTCAATTTTTTTACATGACAATTTGGTTGAAGAAATTGTTGATGATCAACAGTAATGGATTGATCAATTGCATTGAGTTTGAGGATAGAATCTAAATGATAAATAAATAAACAATTCCATGTTGATCCTGATGAACCATAAATAAGCAAATCATTTTGTACAGAAACCATACTGATTGTTTTTCGTTCAATGGCTTTATCAAATTCAACAAATGTTCGTAAACGAAATGGAAATAATTTAAAAATTATCATAGAAAATATTCCAATATTTGAATCATTCCAATTCCAATAATTTCTTTTCGAATGAATAATTAATTGTTGACAATTGGCATCATATTCTAAATGACGAAATTGATAATAATTTAATGAATCCATTGATAATGGATATTGTTCAACAATTCGACCCGTACGATGTGATTGTATATACAAATGGGTTGATTGTTGTTGTTGTTGTTGTTGTTCATTGTTTGAATTTGTTTTCAATGCAAGACAATAAAAACCATCAAGATAATCTTTGGCCGGTAATGGTACTTTATCAAATGACTTAAGTAAAAAGTAAAAAGATGTTTCAATTAGTAATTTTCCTCTTTGAAAATTCAATCAATAACTTTTTTACCCATAACATTGATGTAATGAGCATATAATCAAAAAGACGTTTAAATGGATAAGTGGATGATGAATAAATTTCCTGCAATCTATCCATATTATTTTGATTCAGATTGGTTCTTGAAAAAATGATAAAATTTACGATGAAAGTTACGCGTTAATTAGAAATTACAAAAACTTACAATGTTTCGCATTTGGTCATTCGATTCGAATAAATGGATTGACTTTAAAAAAAGAAATTATTTTATTGAAAATTCGAAAAAAATTCACTAAACTTACTCATCAATAACTATTGGACCTGAATATGACTGAAATTTAATAAATTCATAACGATCATACTGTAAAAAGATTTGTAATTTCAACAACAACAAAAAAAAATTAACAAAAAAACAATGAAAATTTCAACACAAACCTTGATCAATGATTTTTCCACTCGTTCTTGGAATAACCATGGACATTGATGATACAAACCTAATTCACGATCTTGTATCAGACGAAATATTTGTAACTTTTCGCTTTTGGTCATTTTATCAATTTTGTTTGAAATTTTCGAAATTGGTTTTCATTGTGTAACGTATTCTATGTTCTATGTGTTCTGTGTTGACAATGATACCCTTTTATTCACGATTTAAGATCGATAGATGAAAGAATTTTTCATCTGGAATTATTCTAATGAATTGTTATTGATGAATAAAGATTTTCGTCCATTATGAATAGCGTCGAATTTCTCTTTCTGTGACATTTTGAAAAAGCGTGATTCAACAATAAACATTGCACATGTTTTTTTCCCTCATCTTTTATTCGGGTCATTTATTTTCACATTTTTTTTGTTGAAAATTTTATCAAAAAATTGAATAAATTCTCAAATGACCTCTGTAATTCAACAATGTACAGGTTGTGGTGGTGAAGCATCAACACTGAAATGTCCACAATGTTTGAAATTAGGTATTGAAACATCGGTATTTTGTTCACAAGATTGTTTTCGAAATGTTTGGCCTAAACATAAACTTTTACATCGAAAAAATGCTGTTGTTAATGAAAGTGAAGAAAAAAATGAAAAAACAGCCAAATCTCCTTATAATCCATGGCCATTGTTTAGCTTTACGGGATCATTGCGGCCAATGTATCCATTATCACCAAAACGAACAGTACCGGAACATATAATGCGCCCAGATTATGCCGATCATCCACTTGGTGAATCGGCTTCGGAACAAAGCGTGAAAGGTTCGACACAAATTCGAGTATTGGATGATGAAGAAATTGAAGGAATGCGTGTTGCCTGTAAATTAGCACGCGAAGTATTGGATGTTGCATATGAAGCAGCCGATATCGATATAACTACCGATGAAATAGATCGTCTTGTACATGAAGCATGTATCGAACGTGAATGTTATCCATCGCCATTAAATTATTATAATTTTCCTAAATCCTGTTGTACATCGGTAAATGAAGTGATCTGTCACGGTATACCTGATCAACGGCCATTAGAAAATGGTGATATTTTGAATGTTGATATAACTGTTTATCATCGTGGTTTTCACGGTGATCTCAATGAAACAATGTTTATTGGTGAAGTTCAACCGCAACATCGAAAATTGGTACAAGTTACATATGATGCATTACAAAAAGCTATTGCCATTATAAAACCGGGTGAAAAATATCGTGAAATCGGTAATGTTATACAGAAACATGTTTCGGCACATGGTTATTCAGTTGTACGAAGTTATTGTGGTCATGGTATACATCGTTTGTTTCATACTGCACCACAAGTACCGCATTATGGTAAAAATAAAGCATGTGGTATTATGAAAGCTGGTCATTCGTTTACAATCGAACCAATGATATCGGAAGGTAATTGGCGTGATCAAACATGGCCCGATGAATGGACAGCCGTAACGGCCGATGGCCGACGTTCAGCACAATTTGAACAAACATTTTTGGTTACCGATAATGGTTGTGAAATAATGACTCGACGACGAAAAAATAATGGTCAACCTTATTTCATGGATAAATTGATTCAATGAATGGAAAAAATATCGATTGTTCAATATCGATGTATCGATAACATTTTGATTGTTTTTTTTTGGAGGAGGATATCCTTTTAGTGATTTTGTTTAGTGTTTTCCGCTTGCTCGATTTCGCCATTTTATCTCATTTTTTTATTTGAATATAGAAAATTTGCATATTGAGATTAAATAAAATTTTTCAAATTTCTAATAAATGTCATTTTTTTCTCTTCCCAAATCTTCTCTATATTCGCAATAATCCTCATCATCACGAAAGAATTTGCCAGAATTATTACTACTGCTGAAAAAAGACCAACAAGAGAATTTTCACGGAGATTGCACGCAAATCGTGAAAATCACGGTTTTTTTTGATATACTGGCAAAAATAGCGACCAAATGACTGAACATCTACTCCAATTATTATTATTTTCGTATTGGTCCCTTTTTTCGTGGATATTTTCCGACTATAGGCGCGCACATCTTTTTTTTCTTTTGAACTAGAAAATACCCAATAATAATAATAATGATAAGACAGAATAACAAGGATGCTTTCTTTTTTCTCCATCATTCATTTTTGGGTTATATTTGTCGGTGATCGGTGATCAGTATTCTGGTATGCTGTATGGAACATACACGCATATCAAGAATAGCTAGTCACAAATTCTCTCACACAACCAGTACCACAGAATTCAAACAACCAAAAGTTTCGTTCGTTGGTTCAATTTTTGCTGGTTATTTTTTTTTCTAGTTTCTTTTTTTTCATTTCACTGTGTTCTCATTTTGTTTTGGCATCTTTGTTTTGCTTTTTTTGGTGGATGCGTTGTATAGAATTTTTTTCGTTTTCTTCGAATCGCTATGATTGTGATTTTTCCATACTCTCTTTCTCGGTGTGTGTTCATTGCTCGAACAAACAAAAAAAATTCTATTTTGTGACCAACAAAAAAAAAAATTTCGAAGAGTGTGTGTGTTGTTCGGATTTTTTCTTGTTCAATTCGATTTGATGATGAATGACGGATGAATGATTGCCTGTTGTCGTCGTTGTTGTTAATGTTGTTTACAAATTCCGATATCATCATCATCAATTTTTCTTTTGTGTAAATTCACCCACATATCATTCGATTATTCAATTCTTTTCTTTTCGAGAGAAAATTCTTTTACACAATGGAAAATTCGGACAGTACAAAAGATGATGAGAAGAAGATCGTGGCCACCACCACCAACAACAACAACAACGCTAATAACAAACCGATACCAAAAGTAAGATTTGTTTGCCCCTGATAAATGTTTGTTAATTTTGATTTCGTTGATAAAGATGATGAAAATGTTAAGCGAAAATAAATTGAAACGATTAAATATCTTAACATTTATAAATGAAAAAAAAGAAATTCTATTCACTAAAAAAGCATATAAATTCGAAAAAGAACATATTTGGCGTGAAATTTTCGAAATGATGCGTGATTCCGGCATGGTATCAGCGGAAAAGGATTGGCGTTATGTTCGTGATGTATCATTTTCAAATTGGCGCAAACGTGCACAAAAACGTTTGAAACATTTAGCTGCAAATGGTTATCGTTTGAATATGGATGAATGTGAATTTCTCATATCGGATATCCTTGGTCAAACACCCGATAAATCTATGCTCAAAAAAATCCAACAACAACAAAATGCTTTCAAACAACAACCGCTGCCATCGTCGCAACAGATCAAAACAATGATAAAATGTTCGAATAATAATATCGATGGTGATGATATCGATTGTATCGATGATGATGATGATGATATCGAACACGATGAGGATGAGGAAGATGAAATGATGGAATCCGATGATGAATATATGATCGATTCGGATGAAGAAGATTCTGAATTCATTATGAATGAAATGTTTTTAATACCAAAAGTTGTTATCAATGATAATGATCATTCAAACATTAAATCTAATTCTTCATCATCATCAATGATTAAAAATGGTAAAAATCAATCACAAATTGTTAATCATCATCATCGTAATCATAATCATCAAGGTAATCAGGGTTCAATGGTAAATGGTTCGAAATTATCATCGACAACAACATCGAAATCAATTCATATCAATAATATTAATGATGATCATCAATATTATCAAAATGAACAAAGATTAATGGATCTAGAAATTGAAAATAAAATCCTAAAAAATCGTTATATGAAATTAAAAATTTTGAAATTGGAAAAAAATCTTGGCTTTGATCATTGTGACGAGGTTAAAGATCTTTTGATTAATTCCAATCATCAATAAATGACCATTATCAACTAACCAACATTCGTTATCAACTTCAATGTCCAAACAAACTACCCAAAAACATATCTTCGTGTGCAACGATATATTTGAACAATTCTTTCCAAATCTAATCACATCATATCTGATTTTGTTTTGTTTCTTCTTCTCATATCTCTCCCATCTCTTTGGTAATCATTTTTAAACATATCGAATTTTCCTTGATAATAAAAAATCACATATCCCCTAACATTCGTTCTAATCGAAATAAAATTTAATAATCGATAGTTTCGTCCATCATTTTTTAAAATTATTTTTATTTTGTTGTTGCAAAAAGAGATCCAACAATTTTTTTTGTTTTCTGGAAGAATTAAAATCGGCAAATTTTGTTTTCGTTTTTTATCTATTTTTTCAATCTAAAAATACCAACAACAAAAAAATGAAGAAGAATTGATAACAAATTGATCGAAAGATAAGGAGATTTTTCAAGTTTAAATATCATGATGATGTTGATTCTTCTTGAATGGCCGGCTTCGATTCATTTGATGGTGATGTTGTTGATGATGATGAGATTGGTGAAGATTTTTTTCGATTTTTCATCGGACTAGATTTTATCGTTGATTGAGATGATGATGATGATGATTTTGTTGTGATAAAATCATCGAAAAAAACAACAATAACTGTTATATTATCATATGATTCACGATTATATGCTTCTTTGGCTAATTTTTTTGCTATTTCTAATGCAATCGAACCATCATTACTGGATGATGATTCATTCAATGAATGATTATTATATCTGGATGATGATAATTCTTGTTGAACAAATTGTACAGCATTCTCATTCGAGAATGTATCCCAAAAACCATCAGTTGCCATTATCATAAATTTTGGTTTCAATTCATTCAAATCGAATGTCAATATGTCGGGATCGGGTATTATTAAACGATTATCTTTCAATGGATAATCACCTAATGCACGTGAAATGGCTAATATTCCGTTTACACGATAAACACCTTTTAAACTGATATAACCACCTGCTTCAAGTATGCGACGATACTCTTTTAACTAGAGAAAAACAAAACCAAAATCAATCAAATCCAATCGATTCAAATTAAAAAATCCTACCTGATAAGGTTTATGATCAAATGATAATGGTATTGTAGCACCTTTTGAATCACATAGTATACCCCTTGAATCGCCAACATTGGCAACTAATAATTTATTTGATTGTAATAATCTTATTGCGATTAATGCTGTCGAACCAGATATATCTGATCTTCGTTGAAATGTTTCAACCAATTGTTTATCCACGGAAATTATTTCTTCATTCAGAATTTTTTTCATTTCAGACATTGTTAATGACGCAAAACGATTATTATTCGTTTGAATGTCACACGTATTTTCCGATTTTGATTGTTGTTGTTCGCCAATCATCAATGATGATGATAACTTTTTTTCCGAACACATTTGTTCGCTATCCTGATGATAAACATGATTTTTTATTCTCCGAACGATCGAATCATAAATTTCTTTATCCGCATGAATTGCTGCATTCTAAATTCATTGAAAAAAGAAAATTCAAAATTCGATAAAAAAACTTTATTTATGAAATACATACCTGACCACCATGTCCATCAAATACAGCATAATATTCGATACCTAATTCCAAACCAATTTGATTGTGAATACGAAAACAATCTTCCATATTATGACGACGACCTTGTATGGAATATGCACCCGAACGTTCTGAATGAAATTGTTTCAAAACGGTTTGTTGTTGTTCAAAATATGATTTAATTGTTGAATCAACTGCAGTGAACAAATAGCCAAATAATATGGTAATATTAAGATAATGTAATAATTTCAATGATGATCTGGTTGTTGTTGTTGTTGTTGTTGGATGATGATGATTTTCATTCACAGATTGAGCTGTTGTTGATGATGGCGAAGACGGAGATGGTGATTGAATCACATTAACATCATGATTATGATGATGATGAATTATGAATGAAAATATTATAAATATTATTACTATGGCCAATATTGTTTCCAAACGTATTATAAATTCAATCAACATCGACATTGATGGATTTTTATAAAGATTACTCATTATCATTGTATAATTTAGAATATTATCACCATAATTATCATTGTTTTCATCAACGGTTTTCGATGATGATGATGATGATGATGATGATGACGATAATGGCAAAAATAATGGTAACGTTCTAGCCATTAAATAATGATAAACAAATCGAATATTATCATTCAATAAATTGAATAAATGTTGACCATAATTTAATAAATCAACAATAAAATTAACGATTAATGACGATGACCATATTTTTTCATCATTGGTGGAAAAATAATCGTTGATTGATGAGGATTTGGATTCGGAAGTTGATTCGATTTGATCATCATTTTCAACTATTTTTAGATTATCATCCGATACTGTCGAAATAGGTGATTCGGATGATGATGATTGATCAACATTCGAATCGATGGACATGGGTGAATTATCATCAACATTTTGACATTGAACAATGAATGCTGTTGATGGTGATATGATTAAAATAATGATGATCATCAATATGGTACATGCTGAGATTATTTTCAACAACGATGATGATGATGATGATTGAATGCGATTTAAATAATTGTTGTGGAACATAATCAATCAATCAATCGCGCACAAACCAAGAAAAGTTTTTCGGTATTTTTTTTCTTCAAACAAATTCCAAATCAACAATATTTATATTTTTTCGAAAGAACAAAAAAAAAATTTACCACTGTTGTTTGTTTGTTTGTTGCTGTTATTAATATTAAAGTTTTTTGTTGTTTGAAATGATGATGAAAAGAATCGACAACAAAATAAAACGATTCGACGACGAATTGGCATTGAAAAAATTTCATTTAAATTTTCGACAACAGTGATGATGGTTGGCTCAAGTTTTGATGCTGCTACTGTGTTTTGTTTTTGTTGATTTAGATGATGTTCACTGCTGAAGAATCGTTAATAATTTTAGCCATGGATGCGGTGAATATTTTCGATTATTATTATTTTTGTCGTTTTTAAGATTTATTTTCTATTCTTTCGTAAGGAAAACCGAAAAAGAGTTTTCTTCATTCGTCGTCGTTTTTTTTCAAACAAGAATTATGATCATAAAATAAAGATATGATAATCTTTGTTCGTAGAATTATGTTTGTTTGTTTGATGGTTGAACATGACATCATGATGGGAAAACTTTCTATAATTCAGTAATGGTGGTTGTTTATTCTCTGGTTCAAATGATGATAATGTTGATTAGGAAAAAAGGATGGAAGAAAGAAAAAACGGTGGTTTTGTTTTCGTTCGTTGGTAGTCGAGCAGTGTCTGTTTTTCTGTTTTTCAACGAATCTTTAAATCAAAAGAAAATAAAAAAATTTATTTTTAGATTAACAAAATTCTTCTTGGTCTTTGTTCACGCATAAAAATTAAAAATTTACAAGTTTAGTTTTATCGTCGTCGTCGTCGTAAAGAATCCTGGCAAACATTTTGGGCGAAAGGCAAAAAATATCTTTCAGTCAAGGATTCGAAAATTCGAATGTTTTTTGGCTCTTTGAGCTAGCCACGTGTCTCTAAATTGTATTTGTTTTTCCTGATTTATCTCATTCGAATCAAAATAAAAAAGAGATAATGTTAATGTCGTTACTAATCAATCAAATCGATATTGATCGATCGATTAAGCAATCAATCAAAATTCAGTGTTTTTTGTCGAACTGTATTGATTTGATTTGATTAGATGAATTTGTTTTGATTTTTCTTGTTTGCACATAGATAAAATAAAATTAGATTAATAGATCAGCTGGTTAGTAAACAAACAAAAAAAACAAAACAAAAATTATGAAAACATTCGAATTTCCGGGAAAGTTTTTTTCCCGATTCTGAATTTGATCGAAACAATTTTACCCGGGAAATTTCTCTTCAAAACAAAAATGTGGGTAGCATTTTTACCTCGAATTCCACATTCACTTAGAAACACTTTACTTTACCAAAGATAGATAAGATTTTTGTAATTGAATAATGATGGTAACTAAAGTAGGTCACACCAAACTAAAATGTGTGACATCCACACACATAAATCTATCGATGAATGAGGGTTAACCAACCAGCCAACCATCATTGAATTTTGATGTAAATTAATGATGTTCAATGTTTTTTTCTAACGTTTGATAAAATCTCAAATTCAAATGTCAATGTTATTTATGATCGTTGTTGTTGTTTTTGGAATTTTTCTTCAAATTCATTCATCATTTTTTTCTCAAAGATGCTGGTGGTGGTGACAGCGGCCCATACATAACAACAACAATAACATTATTATCATCATCATAAATCAATCAATCAATCAATCGGTCGGAAAAAAGGTCAACAAAGATGAATAATGATGGTAGAAAATGTCCGGAAAATTTATTTTTTCTTCATGTCAATCTCCAAGACGATTATCATCTGATGATGATCAAGATTATTTAATTAATTATCATTTAATCTAATCTAATCTTAATCATCATCATCATTACACGTCTTATATGAATAATCCAGGTAAAAAAATCGAACAAAACGGAACGTTCGATCGAATGTTTTGATTATTCATTCGAATTTTTGTATGTGGGGGATTTCCTTTGATAAATTTTTTTTTCTTTGCAATTTTACGGAAAATTTTTTCTCTGCTCCCTTTTTCAATTTTATTTCGTTCGTTTTTTTCAAAGAAGCAAAGATATCAATCGGATTTTTTGTTTGCAATAAAAAATCAAAATCAAGAAATAATTTTTCTTGTCTTTACATGATTACAGTATTATGATGATGATGAAACTACTGAATCTGTTTCTTTCCAAATGTTAAGTTTGTGTTTGTGTTTCAAACATTGAAAATCATTTTATCTTTTTTTTCATTTTATTTAACCAATTTTTTTATCTGGGTTGATTGTATATTCAATTTGTGTTTGTACGAAAATTATCCCCATAATCATTGTCTGTGTTCAATTAGTTTTTGAAAAACTAGAAAAATTCATACATGAATGACTCATACAACAAATTTTTCTTCCATTCGAAACGAATTTAAAATTTACCACTTTGGTTTTCGACCATAATTGGTCAATTTTTTCCTTTTGATCAACAAAAATCAACCAATTCAAAAAATCAATTGATCGTTTCCAGATTTTTCAGTTTTTTTGATTTCCGACATTTTTTTGTCTTTATTTATTTCAAAAGACATCCGTTTTTTCCTTCATCGTCATCATCATCCATATCGACCCTATATATTTTTGTTGTTGACATTTGTAAAAAATTGTAAAAAGCCAAAAGCAAAACCAAAAAAATCTAGGTCAACATATGGCCCGTCGTCAATAACAACTGAACAATTATGTGTAGTGATGAAAACAAAATGAGGATTTTCCCGAACCGAAACGAAAAAAAACTTGTTAAGAAAAATTATCATCAGATGGAGAAAGAAGAAGAAATCTCTACTTCACCATTGATATTTATGTGAATCTAACCCGAAAGCAACAACAACAAAGACATACATTGTTCGGGTTCCGCCCGTTCAAATCATTAGCAGCAGCAAATGGTCATCAACAAGTGGTGATTATCATCATCATCGTTATTATTTCACATTTTTTTTCATTCGAATGCTGCAATTTTTTTCCATTAAGGGAATCAAATTTCCCTTCTTTTTTTTGCATCCAATATCATTGCACCAAGGTATGTTTATTGCACCTTTGAAAATATCATTTTTTTCTCTTTTCTCTCTCATTTGGAATGATCCAATATTTAACACAAAAGAATGATTTTTTTGCAAAGTCAATGCAATTTGTGTGTGAATGTATTTAGCTGTTGATGATTTGGGATTGCAATCTAAACAACCAACCCGAGTTACCAAAACCAAACCTATCTTCTAGTGGTATTTTTATAATGATTATTTTTTGGTTGTGTGTGTGTGTTTAGGTAATAGAGTGTATTGTGTGTGATCCACAAACAAACACCATAGATAGGAATGAGGAATAGAGAATGTGTATGTTTTGAAATGTATGTTTTGGATATAGAGAATTGACAATGAGAGAAAACTCGTCTTTCAACCAAACCAACAACATACGCCAGAAGATTTTTTCTCTTTCACTGCATGCGTAGCATTTCTTGTTTCATTTTCTTATTTAATTTTCTCATTTGAATTCTCTCCATTATATCCACACATTGGAAAATGTGGCAATGAAAATCTGACTGGCTGACTCTCTCTTTATTGGTTTTAATATTTTTTTCCTCATTCGAAAATCCTCATGATGATGAGCATCAAAAATTTAATTGACTCTTGATCTCAACAACATTTGGTTTTTGTTAGTTGTTTTTATTGTTTTTTGAATTGAAATAGAATGTGTTTTGTGTCACTCGAATAAAAACACATTTTTTCATTGTGTGCTATTCGTCCATTTCCATTCGTTTTTTTTGGCTTTCAATAGTCGTTGGTGAATTTTTTCAATCCTTTCATCATCATCATCGATTTGAGCCTAACCTAAACATCAATTTCATATCATTTTTTTCATTCATGACAAATAAATATCAATAAATGTAAGTAATTTTATTCGAACAAATAAGAATCGTTGAATTTTATAGTTTCTTTACCTCTAAATCTTATGACAAAAAACAACGTAGTAACAACGTTTTCTGTCTGTGTGTTTAACCCTTTGTTCAAAAAATATATAATCGGATTTTTTTTTGTATTTTTATTTGGTGTTTGTGTTTAGTCTGTATGTTTGTGTATTGCATAATCTCTATCCAAAAGCAAACATTAATTTAAGAATTTTATTATTTTCACTTGAAACCTTTGTATCGATTCTTTGTATCGGTCATTGAACATCGATAATGATTGATGATAAAAAAGAAGATTCGTTCCATTACAACGCAGAGCGATTCTATTCAACAACAACAACAAAAAACAATGTAGATGTAGTTCGGTTATTATTATTATTATTATCATCATCATATGAAGCGCGAATGATGACTTTTAATATCCGCAGAAGAATTGCAACAAAAAAAATGTCATTCACATCTTGATCAAAAGAGCGAAGAGATCGGTCGGTCTTTGTCAACCAACCGACCAACCAATCCTATCGATGCCGACCAGTTTTTGCACTCAATTTACATTCTAATCTGATTCGATGTCTTTTTTTCAGTTTTTGTTTGTTTGATTGATAAATATTCAGAACATTTGAATAATAAATCTTTCGATTAGATGGAATCCTTTTGATACAAATTATGATGATTTTTTTCGGGCAATAAAAAATCATAGTTTTTTTTGTAAAGTTTGTTTTCAATTCGTGAAATGAATGTGAAATTCATTTGGTGATGATGGTGACGCCTGAACGCACCTTTTTTTACTTGAAAAAAATTTTATTTTTTCTCTCTCACTCTTTGTGTGTCAAAATTCAGATAAACTTGTTAATTATTTCACCTGAAATAATAATAATAATCATCATCATTGTTCTGTCAAAAAAAATCTTGATTTGTCCCAGATTCGTCAATGATCAAGATGATGCTGACCAGATCTTTTTGGTTTAAAGATTTTTATGTTTGTCAATAATTATGTGCTATGTTTTTCCTCCAGAAAAATCATTGAATTTTATTGTTTTTTTTTTCAAAAAATGACCATCCTATATTTCACATGATAATTTCTATTCGAATAACATTCATTATTCAGTGTAGGATGTGTAAGTGGCTGTTTAAAAGTTTTCATCATCGATCGATTGATCTGACCTGAAACAAACGTACACAAACATAAAACACATATTGCACAACACACACAAACATTATCACATGTCTAATATTTGATTTATTTATTAATACATATTATTTAATCAGCAATTTGATCAATTGACTGATTGATTGATTCGAAATTGAATTTCCTGTATTTGTCAATTGATTTCATAATCATATTTATTTTGCGTTTTTTCTTTTTCACTGTAAGACACTTATGAGAGTTTTGTTTTAAAGTAAAATTCAATTTTCATTTTTTTTTGTTCAAAATGAGAAATTTTTGTTATTGATAATGTGATGATGGCCTTTTTTTCTCTCTTGATTCAGCATTGACATTTTTTTCCAAGTTTTTGACAATGTCGTAAATTTTTCATATTTTTTCCAAAGAAAATACAAAATAAATATTTGATTTTCCACTTTTTGATTACATTCTTGAGTTGATTTTTGTTTTGAAAGGAAAACTATGCCCAATATTTATCAATGTTTTTTCCTACTTTATTTATTTAGGTTGTGATCGAATATAAATAATTGTTTCATATCGAAAATGATGATGACAGCTATTATTAAAACAACAATTATAAATGGTAGTAATGTAAAGAAGAAGAAGAAAATTATTAATGGTCATAGTTTATGGTGGTGGTGGTGGTCGTATTATCATAATCCTCATCCATTGAAAATCAATTGCAGCTCAACAAGTGATTGTCAACAACCGAAACACCCGAATGATGATGATCCACAATATCTTAGTTCATCATCATCATTGAATTCCATAATGAATTGTATAAATGGTCATCGATCAATAATATCATTAAATAATCCTTTCATTCAATTTTTATGTGATTTTTTTATTTCATTGACAATGATCTTCATCATAATGATGAGGTGGTGCAAACAAATTTTCAGTGATTATTATCATCATTTAAATAATTTCAACAAAAACAACAGCATTTATTATAGTCATAATCATCATTATTATCATTCAAATTCAATGATAAAACAATCATCTAATCATAATAATAATATCAAATCAAATATATTTTCCATAATGATGATATTATTATTATTAATATTGCAATGTAATACTCATCTAATCGAATCGAATTTAACAACAACAACGACTTTGTCAACAACGACGATGATGACTGATTCAAACATTACCAACAACAACATTACGAATAAACGACAACAGCCAATATCATCTCCATCACCACAACCATCATATACGTTAAATGATTATAATCAGGCAATCAAACAACATGCATTCAATAGTCCTCATTGTAAGTTTTTTTTGTTGATTGTTTTTTATTCGTAAAAAATTTAAATTTTTGTTTTTCAGTATTTTGTGGTGATCCACCTTTAGTACCGAATGCACAATCTAATCTTCATCGACATCAAAAACATTTTGTTTTTCCCATTGGACAAGAAGCTAATTATGAATGTGAACAAGGTTTTCGACCGATTGATGGTCAATCGCAAACTCGTTGTATATTGGATGGTATACATCCATCCAGTATTGGTCATATTTTATTTCCCGATATTCATCATCATTCTGTTGATACTGATAATGATTCAAATTCACCAAACATACGATTAGGTTCGAATAGATCAAAAAATAGCAAACGTCTCAACGATGGTGATGATGATGAAAATGAACATGATTTGAATTCAGCAACAAATGATAAATCAAGATTTTTGGATGGTGATTTTTTTGTTGGTGATAAACGTAAAATGAGCCGAAAAAATGATGCAAATGATGATGATCTGGATGATCTGGATAGTAGTAATAAACATCCTAAACAGCATGCACATTGGTCACCATTGGTTACATTGAATTGCCAACGTAAGTCACGATTTTTCAAAATGAAATTCATTTTTAATAAAAATCTTTTTCTTCATTTTCATTTGTAAAGCGGTGAATTGCAGCCAGCCATTAGAGATTCCAAATGCTAAAATGATCTTTAATAAAAGTTCCACATCAGCAAATTTTTCATTCAATTCAAATGTACATTATGTATGTGATGAAGGATATGAGACAATTGGCTTTCCTGTTCTTACTTGTCGGGCTGATGGCCAATGGAATAGACAGCCACCTGAATGTCGACTGAAACAATGTCCACAATTGCCTGAATTAAAAAATGGACGAATTTCTTATTCCGATGCCGAACGAAGAATTCATTCACGTGCTGATTATTTATGTAATCATGGTTATCGTTTGAATGCTATTTCAAATACTAGAATTTGTGGTTCAAACGATCGTTGGAGTCCATTGGAACAATATTTTAAAGCGACTATCGGTAGCAATTCTACTCAAAATGTTGCTATTCAAAATAATTCAACAAATGAAATATATGAATGTATAGCTGTTACTTGTCCAACGCCTGTACGACCACATAATGGCCTAAGAATCGTTGATGTAAATCGTAAACAACGAATGAATCGAAATTTTTTCATACCTGGTGATATAATCATCTTTAGTTGCATGTCAAATCGTTTAAAATTAACGGCAAAATGTCGTGATGATGGTGAATGGTCACAAAGAATGCCACATTGTCCAATGAATGAATTTTCAACACTTAAATGTGCACCGATTACAACATTTTCACATGGAACGGTGAAAATTGTCAATCAAACACGTGCATTATTCAGTTGCAATGATGGATATGAATTGGATGGTGCAACAACAATTAATTGTAATATAAATGGAGCATGGAGCGGTCCATTACCACGTTGTGTTGTACGAATGATCATATCGACTGATAATCATCAATCCATATTAGATTCATCAAATAATCATCAACATTTATCTGAATCAAGCCATAAAGATTTGGATAATGAAGAAAGATCGATCTCAAATACATTGCTAATATTATTGATAATTATTTTCATCTTATTATTCATTATTATTAGTATTGGTATGGTTGCATTTTGTCGTTGGCGACAACGACGTATGAATAGTAAAGTTTGGCAAAGATATTTTGGCCACTATTATCATCGACAAAGTAAAACAAATATAATGTTATCAACACATTTTGGTAGTAATTATCATCACCATCATTCTAATCATCCACATCATCAGTTAAATGGTGGATCATCAGCATCGACAACATCAACTAATAATGGTGGTGGTGGTGATCCAGTCACTATTGCGCTAAGTTCGAATGTTGGTGGTGATGGACCATCATCAAATGCAAGATTATTAAAACGTGGTAATAATCGTTCAAAATCAACATATTCCAAAACAAGCAGCATCGGTACTGGTAATGGAATTTTACAATCATCATTTTCATCGGCCGATGAAACAACTGCTGATCTAAAATCAACAGCTGAAACAATTATATCAGAACGTGCACGTACTATATCAACATATGTTGCCGATGATACTTGTGCTGAAGATGATGAATATGATGATGATGATGATTGTGGTGATTGTGATGATGATATTATTAATGATTATTCACCAACATCCATTTATAGATCTACAACATTTCCATTATCATCAACAATCGTACAACAACATTCATTACCATTAGATATTCTTGGTGGTGGCAAATCGATTGATATTAATATTGCAAAACGAACATTAAGTTCGGATAATAATAGTCATCAAATAATTAGTCAAAAGAATGCATTTGATCCAATATTGTCTAATGATTTATTCGATACAACAACAACAACTAGAAATCAATCAAATGGTGGCATTCCTGTAACTGATTTATAAATGATTTTTATTAAGTTTTTTACAACCATCAACCACTTATGGGCAGCATTTGTGTTTTGTACAAAAACTAAAACGTGATTTTTTTTCGCAGCTTCTTAATCGTTCTTCTTTTTTAAATTTTTGCATTTGAATTTTTTTTTTATTTTAAACTTTTCATATCATTTGTAAAATTACGATTTTATGTATTAAACAAAAAATGATTTCATTTTTTCCCTGTACATTTTTTTTTGAATTTGGAAAAAAGCGCGAAATTTGAAATAAATATTTGGATTAATATCATGGATAGATGGCGATAGTGGTACTATGGAAAAAACCAACTATAGCAACATTTTCAATTTGAATTGTGTGTCCAGTAATGATGATTATAATTCAAATTGAATTAAATTAAATTAAAATGAATGAGAAAAATTTTATGATAGTCATCCTCATCATCCAGAATCCTTAATCATTCAATCAAATTTTGTCTACAATTCAAATAAATTCCGCATTATATTTCGATGATATTGGCTGAACACACAACACAACAGAACAGGGTGAATGACATTGTCAACAAAAACATATAAATAAAAATAAATAAAACTATAACCAACCAAACCAAAATAATGGTGGAATGTTGAATTTTTCCTTTTTATTTCGCCTAAAATTCACCACACACACACACACATGGCATCTATATATATTCTTGGTTGGCTGGTTTTTTATTCATTTCATTACGATAATTTATTATCATCATCATTATTATTATGGTTCTTTTAACATTATTTTTTTGGCTATTCTGATTCAAATGTGAATTCAGAAAATTTCAAATCGAGCCAGCCGACAGAATTATTTTTGGATCAAAAAATTCATTATGTTCGATCTGTTGATCTCCCCTTCAATTTACCCGCAAAATCATTACCCAAACAAAATGAATGAACTTTCTGTGAAATGAATTTCATTAATTTCCTTTTCTCTTCTTCATTAGTTTTCGGGATAATATTGTTTAGTCTGCCAATTCGATCATCTAATCCAATCAGGAATTAATGGTGATGACACATGATGATGATGATATTTTTTGATTATGTCATCAGTTTCTCAATTTTTGCATTGTAACATTTTTTTTCATTCAATCGAACAATATTTGGTGAGAAAATTTAATTAAAACAAAAGGCTGATGAACCAAAAATTTGTTTTGTTTCTCTCGTTGATTAGACAAATAAATTATGCTGAAAATTCATTCAGGTCATTTTTCGAAATGTGTTTGAAAGAGTTTCATGACAAGTCAACATTTTTCATTCGACCAAACAAAAAAAAATCTTTAAAATTCAATCTTTAATTTTTTGTTTTGTTTGTTGTTGCAAAAATGAATAATTTTAAATTATTTATGATCAAGGAAAAGAAAGATAAAGGTTTTTTGTTGCTGTTGAAAATTCTTTGGTCAGTTTGATTAGATGATTTTGCTGTTTTTGTTGTTGTTTGGGTGCCATTGACACCAATAAACAACAATTTTTGTTGTTGTTTTTGTTGTTCCCTTGATCATTATCGGGACATTGACTGGCTGGCTGGAGCAGTGAATTGAAATGAATTTTGTGAAATTAAATTTTATTTTCATTCGCAATTAATTAATTGTTGTTGTGACCACAATTTTTTGTTTATCAATCAATTAATCGATTTATTAATAAAACCAAATGCAAAAAAAAAATTATGATGACATATATTTTCAAAATAGAAAATTTTCTGAGTAAAATCTTATCTAATCGGATGTAAACAAAAAAAAATGTTCGAATCAACTATTTAAACATTAATTAACCTTTTTTGGTTAAAATATCTTTTTTTGGCTAACGAATTCGGAAAACAAACAAAAAAAATTTTATTAATCGATTCGAACGAAAAATTATCATCAAAAAAACAAAACCCGAAAGTAATTAGTAAATTTTTTTTAAACTTATCATAATTAAAATGATGATTATAATCAATGCTGATGACAACCAGCTACCGACTGCTAATGACAAACATGTTCATTTCGGCTAAAAAATGATTATCAGACTTTGGCCATGTTTCTCATAAAACGCAAAAAAATCAACAAACATTTATCACCTTGAGTGAACAAAAAAAAATAAATAAAACACCTGTGGTGAAAATTAAAATTTTTCAATTTTAAACGATTTTTTTTAAATAAATAAAAAATGATGATGATGATCGGTTATTTATACGTTCGGACGAAAATTATATATTTTCTTGGAAGTAAGAAAAAACCTACACACTATTGACTACTGAATTTTCTTCATTTGCAAAAAAGTCATCACTAAAATTTATTTAAAAAAAATTTCAAAATTCTGAACTGAAAATAAAAAGAATCCGAAAATACAAGATATTTTCGATCAAGTTCCGGAAAGAAATAATTTATTTCTATTTTGTTATTCATTTTTTCAATTAACAAATCACGATCTTTTAAAATAATAATTATTCAACGAAATACAATGATGATGGAATGATAATGAATCGTTTTATGAAACTTAGCCAACTTTTTTTTGTTGAAATGGTTTGTTGATTTTCCTTATTATTCGTCATATAAAAAACCTAAAAAACTAAGCAAAACAAATCGCAAATTGATGAAAAAGAGGCTCTCCGACAATAACGAGAAAAAAGAAAGAAATAAAGATAGGTAGATTAGATAGGTAGGTCATGGTTTGATAGTAGTAATTATCGATTAACAAACCATCCATCCATTCAATTCATTCATTTGATTATTATCATCATCTCAATGTGTGTGTGGCCATCAATCTCATAAATCTTTTCTTGTTTTTTTTTCATTAACTTTTCTTATTTAGCTAAACAAGAATCCAAGTTTTTTTCTGCTCGTTCAGTTTATCAATTGTTGTTTGGTCAAAAAATGATGATAATAAATCTGTGGAAAAATATAAATATTTAATGATGTCACATAGTCGACACTTTAATGGATCTTTTTTTTCTTTCTTTCAGGCATGTAATAAATTTGGTGTGTACGTGCAAACAACATCAAAAGAAAATAATTTGTTTTTCTCTTTTCTTTCTCTCCGGTTGAATGGTGTTAATGTCCATTCATCATTTCTTTTCTCTTATAATTGGACAGGATGAAATTCTTCTTTGTGTACAAACCAGGATTCTTGGTTGATTGTTTTTTCGAATGAATCATCAATAATTATGATGAAAAAAATCAAGTAATGTGATTCAATCACAAACAATCAGGGAAATGAAATCATTAAAATCAACATTATGATTTTGTTATCGTTTCTGATGATGATGATGAGGATTCGTTATTATTATTTTCAATCAATCAAGATCATCACCATGATAACCATAATGATGATGAGAAAGAAAAAAAAAATGTTATTTCGGATTTTATTTCTGGTTGCACCACTCTCCAATGATGCTGATTAGTCTTGATTGAACTTGAACTTGTTTTTGTTGTTTAATCGATTATTATAAAAAAACACTAATCTAATCAATCAATCAAATCGATTAATAATTATGTCTTGAATGTTTGGATAAATTGATTTTCTCAATCACCATATCAACTTCATGTTTTTTGTTCAATTACTCTAGTTATCGAGATCTTGTTCAACAACAACAGTGTGCTACATCATTAAATCCTCATTCTATTCAATATGATTGTGATTCACACACACACAAGCATCACCGGTTGTAAAAAAACAGACAACAACAACAACATTAAACCGGGCGGGGGAGCCATGATTTTCATGATGGAGCCCAAACATTGAAAAAAAGAATGCTCTTTTGTACTGGCTGTGTGTGGTTGTGGTTGATTTCTGTCAATATGTGTGGATTTATTGTGGAATTTGTTTGAAATTCAATTCTTTGAATTGATCAATCGATGACCAATCAATCGATATACATCTATCTCTTTGGACTATATTTGGTTCATTTTTTCATAATTTTAAAAAAGCTTTTTCAAAAATTTGAAAATCATAAAATCATCCGATTAAAATAGATTTTTGTTCTGTATTAAAATCATAAATTTTTCTTACTGTTGTTGTTGTTGTTAATGTGTTTCTTCATTTAAAATCATCATCATCTTCAAAGATGAACATTTTTTAAAGTGCCATATATCCATAATCAAAGAATCTTCATGTTTTTTTCTTTCTTAAATAATTTTTAAACCAAAAAAAACACCAAAATAAATAAACACACGCATAGAGTAAATATTCTTCCAATTCAAAGAAGATTATACTAATCATCATTGGATGATGATGATGACATCGACATGTTCATAATCATAACATTATTATTATCATCATAAAATTCTATGTACGAATATTCATTGCTTGTTTTCTCTCTTCGTGTTTCTCTTTTTGCTGTTCACAATGCTGTTGTTGATATGGATGTTTGTTTGATGTTGGTGATGATGATGGTGGTGGATTGAGCGCAAGTCTAACCGACGACGACGATGATGATGACGATGTCGATGCTGTTTTCGGGCGTCTCATCATCATCATCATTATCATCAACAACATTTTTCTCACATTTCATCTTCAGTGTTCGTTTAGTTCGTTCATCATGATGGTTGGTTGATTTAGTTGATTGTTGTTTTTGATAGAGATTGGTCTGTTCGGTGTGATATTTTAGTTGTTTGTTTTTTTACTTAGTTCATTAATGAAAATGATATGATAATGTTTGTTTGATTTGGTCGATTCTCAAATGTTATCATCATTCTTGAATGAAGAAGAAAAAATATCCTGATGATGATCGTCGTTTTGGTGAATGGTGAATGATGAATGGTGATGGTGTCCATTGACAGTACGTTGACACACACACACAATGATTGACTTGTTTATTCTCCGTTTTTGATTTTGATTTTGTTTTTTTGAAATAAAATGAATGATGATAATGGATTTGAAAATATTTTCATTTCGAACATATTTCCTGTGTTGATTCGAATGTTTTTTTTGTTCGATTACAATCGATAGTATCGATTTACATTGTTGATTCGACCATTCTTTGATTAATCGATCGAATCGGTTGATTTTGGAGAAAAAAATGTCATCATCATTATTATTATTATCATCGATAATAATGATTTTTTGATCGGAAATCCGATCTCGCCGATCATTATCATCAGCACTGATTGTGTTCAAATGTGAATTTTTTTTTTCGTTTTGTTTTGTGCAACATCACTGTCAAATTTAAAAAAAAACGGAAAAGGTTAAAATCATTTATGAAAAGGATAGTATTAAAAATTCAATGTTTAAGGCGATCATCATCGATCGATAATCGATTGAAATTTGTTCATCACCATCATCGATATTATTCGAATATGAAGAATTTGATTCGTTCATCATCATCATCATCAAAACATTCCTTTATGTTGATATTATTATCATTAATATTGTTATTGATGATTGAAAATTTATCTGCCACTACTATTCATCACCAACATCAACAAAAACATCATCATTCGAATAATAATGATAATGGTATGTATCCAATTCATTTAATTAGCATGGATTAATCGTGTTTAAGAAAAAAAAACATTTAGTTAATTACCGTGAATGTGTTGTTAAATTTGTCTCTCGTTTTTTTCTTCTCTTCAATTCAATTGAATGAAATGAATAAATTTTGCCATAATTCCGGGTCTCATCAGCCAACAACAACGATAGCAATAGACGACAGCCAAGTACAATCATTTTCATAATAAAACAGAATTCAAAAAAAAGTGTTAACATTGTCGAAATTCTATATATATGAAAAATAACAATACCATCATTTAGTTTGTCTGTCTGTCAAACAATGTGTTGTTTAAACAACAACATTGTTTATTCATCATTTTTACAAAACAAGAATTATGAAATGAAATGATAAACGATGGTTAAGGAATTGATCATTTTTCATTGAAAAACATTGTTTCAAACTTAAAGAGTTCAAAGAACTGAATTCTTTTGACAATGATGATAATGATAACCATTTCATTGAACTGATCCGGATTCATAAATTTTTAATTTAAATTTTTTTCATTTTAAATTTCAATGTCGAACACGAATATTAAGATTAAACAAACTGTCAAGTTAGATTGTGGCTTTGATTTCAAAATTAATTTCCGAATTCGACACCCACACAATGATGATGAAAATGAAGGATTAATGAATTTTCAAATTGCATATTGCACGATTGATAAGCCTCTCTCTTTATCTCTGTCTCTGAGTAGCCTAAAAACATAGATTTAAAAATGGATTGTCATGGTGATGGATTTTTTCAAACCTTTTTTTTTGGTTGATTATGTTCTTCCAGTAGCTTTTTTTGTTGATTGCATTTTTTTCACCCACACCACCTTTAAATCCCACATGCACAAAAATTTTAAAATTTTAATTAAATTTTTTTGGAATTTTTTTCAAAAAAAAAGATTGGTGGCTGATAAATCAAACGAAAACATTCGAAATAAAAAAACATTCGAATGTTGACAACAATTTGGATCGAAATAGCCATAGAAATATATCATCATATCACTATTTGGATGAAAATAGAAATCGAATGCCAATATTATTGTTATTGATTCGACCATTATTAAGGATACGAAAAAGCGAAAATTTATCATCTATAGAATTGGTGATTAATCTGAAAAATCAATCATTTTCATCGATAAAAACACTGCCAAATTTATTGATGACTGCCTTTGAAAATTATTCATTATCAATCAATTTAACTGCCCAAAAATATCGACAATCAAATGATCGACATCAACAATTTTGGTCACCAATTTATGCCGTACAACAAACAAACGAAAATGAACAGGATTTTTTCGAAACAATCGAACAACAATGGCAAATTAATCAATCATCATTATTCTATACGGATAATTTATTGGAATTATTTCATCAACAAACAGATCGCAAACAGCAAAAACTATGTCAATTATTTACCAGCAATGATAATGGTGATCATCGGAAACATTATCATCAAACAACCATTCAAATATGTACGGATGGTTCAATGGTAAGTTTATGAATTATCAACAACAGAAACAAAATTCTTTTTTTTTCCTTGAACGAAGGCTTTATTTTTTCCATTGCCTTGCCTTGGATAATATTCTTTTTCATTTAATCATTATAGACATAGACATATGCGGAAAAAAATGGCTAAAAACATTACATTTTCAAAAGTTTTTAGGAAAATATAATCAAAAAACAACGAAAAGAAAAAAGAAAATCCAGAAAATCGAAATAAATCGAATGTTTTTAGCATGTGTTCCGTGTGTATGGTGTTTGTTGTATAAGACGCCAATAACCAAGGACATTTATAGCACACATCCATTCATATCCACATTCATTCATTTAGACTAGACCAGACATCATCCATTCTCCAATTCACCACCATCCACCAATGATGATGATACTGAATGAATTTTTCCTCAACAAAATTATAAATTCTTCATCATCTTTGATGCTGCTGCTGGTGGTGGTGGTGGCTTCAGTTGCCGATTGGCAAAATTCCCAAAAAACAAAAACAAAAATCGAAAATCAAAAATACAGACAAATTTTGCCAATATTTTTTTTGTTTGCCGGTTCACAGTATTTACACAGACTGCAGTGTTTTTGTTTGTTTGATCAAATCAATAATTGTTTTTTTTTTTGGTTTTTTATAAATCAAAAAAAAAAAAAAAAAATTCCGGCAATTTATGAGAAAAATCGATGATGAATTTTGACCAATTTAATTTCTTTTTTTTCTTGAATAATCAAACAAAAGGCCATTGCCATTTTGGCAAATTGACAATGACATCTTTTGTCATTGTCTCTACCCCTTTTGGACACTATTTTTTATTTTTTTCTGTCTTTGTTTTTCGTTGGTTAATTTGATTAATTTGTTCTGTTTAGTTTTTTCGGTTTCAATGACATTTTTTTCAGACATTTCAATTTAGTTCAATGACAATGACCCTGATGAATTTTGATCATTTGATTTGATTTAAATTGAAATTAATTAAAATGATGATATGACTGACTGACTAAAAGAATCGTAAAATTTTATTGCCGAAAATTATTCCCAGCAATTTCCAGTAAACTTTCTTTGAATTAAAATGAATGAAAAAGGCCGAAATTAAAACATGTCTGTTGTTTTTTTCAAACATTTCCCGAATTCAATTCCCGTGTGTGTGTGTTAATTACAATCCAATTATAGAAGTGGCTTGTTTGTTTGTTAATGAATTCCTGGTTGTTCATTTTGTTTTTTCTTTTTTGTTTCGCAAACGAATCAGGAAAACCAGATATCACCACCGCCAGAATTCAAGATCAATTTTTGTTCAAACACAGAAACAAAATTGATGAAATACAAAATATCAAACACAGGAAGAGAGAGAGAAACACAAAACTATTTTTATCCAATTTAACCACCCAAGCCAACAAACGAAACGAAAAAAATTGATTCTTTTGTGTTCTTGTGATTTCTGGTTTGATTTTGGTTCCTGGTTTTTTTTTTATTTTTAAAAAATTTCAATTTTAATAATAATAATAATAACATGACATTCAATACTTGTAATTGATTGAATTTTCTCTTTCTTTTTTTCCATTGAAAATGATGAATGAATTTTCTTTTTTTTTTGTTTGCTCTAAAGATTGATTTATTGATCATCATCATCATCATCACCCCTTTTCTTTTCAAACAGAAATGGAAAGTTACCTCCCATCATTATCATTATTAATGATGATGATAATGGCAGGGCTGTGTGTGTGTGTTTAACATCAAACTATTTCTGTGTTAGTGGGTGGTTTTAACGATTGATTTAAAAAAAATCAATCAATCAATCAAATTGAAATCAAATAATAATTGTTTTTTTCACTTTTGTTTTTCTGTTGTTGAGAAATAGAGGGGAGGGAAGGGAGGGGTTATTGTTTGATACAATGTAACAAAATTTTGAGGAGAAAAAATTCAATCCATCAATCAAATTTCTTTCTTTCTGTTGTCCTATATTTTTAATGTTTTTTGTTTCTAATTTTGTTTTTAGAACGGTATCATAACATTAATGGATGATGGGGGTCATATTTTATTGGAAACAGAACAACAACATTGTTTTGATCATTTGCAATTCCTGACTGATGATGATAATTGGACATTATTATCTTGTGAACATCGATTAAAATTTATTGGAAATTTTTTTAATCAATCACCATTACGAGGACAAAAACATCGATTAAAAAGATCATATTCATCTGAACGTACAATTGAAATGTCTATCGTTACTGATTTATCAATGTATCTTTATCATGGAAATTCATTACGTAATTATGTTTTTACATTGATTGCAATGGTAATGTTTGTTTTTTGAAGAAAATTTAACCCAATTTCGATATTAATTTTTTTACCTGGGTAATTATAAATTTAATAGGTATCACATTTATTCAAACATTCAAGTATTGGTAATGAAATTAATATAAAATTGATAAAATTAACATCATTAATGGATGAACAACCAGAAAACAATTGGTATGGTTCAGCACATAAAACATTACGGCATTTTTGTCGTTGGCAATATGAACATAATCATCATGATGATAAACATCAATTACATTATGATACAGCAATTCTATTAACAAAAATTGATTTATGTAGTAAAAATGATTATAATCCTAATCCCAATCATCATCATCATCATCATCATAATGATAATGATTATCGTCGAACAACAACAACATCAACATCATCAACACGTTCATCATCGTGTGATACATTAGGCTTGGCACATTCAGGACAGATTTGTGATCCAGAAACAAGTTGTGCGATTGTTGAAGATAATGGTTTAAGTGCTGCATTTACTATTGCACATGAATTAGGTCATTTGTAAGTTTTCGTTTTTGGGTGCCAGGAACAAACTTTTATTCATTTTTTTTCGTTTGAAATAGACTTGGTGTGCCACATGATGATGAAGAACAATGTAAAAGATTTTATGAACAACAACAAACCATCAATGATAATTATCATTATAATAATCATTTAAATAAAAATGATAAACAAACTGAATTCAATGTTATGGTTCGTATGATTGATTCCAATAGTCATATGTGGAGTTGGTCATCATGTTCAAAACATTTTATTACCGAATTTCTTGAGTAAGTTTTAAAAAAAATCAATTTTTAATTCATTTTTTGTTCAAAATTTCATTCCAACATTTAGTTCCGGACATGGTGATTGTCTTTTGGATAATAATTCAATGGATATACGACAATCATCATCGTCAATCGATTCAAATATTCACCATCATCATCATCATGATACATTTCGTCGTCGTTCATTTTTCGATTCAAAATATTCAAAATTACCTGCCGGTACATTGTATAATGCTGATGAACAATGTCGTTTAGTATTTGATCGTAATTCAAGTATTTGTTTAGATATGCCATATTGTAAAAAATTATGGTGTACATCCAATACTGTTGGTGGTTGTCGTACACAACATATGCCATGGGCTGATGGTACCGAATGTGGTAATGGTTATTGGTGTCAACAAGGACAATGTGTTCGTATTGATACAACACGATTACAACCAATCAATGGTGGTTGGAGTGAATGGTCATCATGGTCAGAATGTTCATTATCATGTGGTGGTGGCATACGAAAATCACGACGTGATTGTACAAATCCTAATCCACAATATGGTGGTAAATTTTGCTTGGGTGAACGTATACGTTATGAATCATGTAATCTAGAACCATGTCCATATCAATCAAGATATGAAGATTCACGTGCAAAACAATGTGCAGAATATAATCGTTATAATTTAACATGGACACCTAAATATGATGGGATTCAATCTACTGATGTTTGTTCGCTGTATTGTCAATCAAATTCAGGTGAATCATTAAAGCTGAAACCAAAAGTAATTGATGGTACACCATGCACACCTGAATCATTTGATATTTGTGTAAATGGAAAATGTTTAATGGCCGGTTGCGATCGTATACTTGGTAGTTCGCGTCATATTGATTATTGTGGTGTTTGTGGTGGTAATAATTCAACTTGTCGTGAAATTAATGGACAATTCAAACCACGAACTGTTCAACATGGTTATACATTTGTTCTATCAATACCACCGGGTGCAGCAAATGTTGAAATTATTAAGGAACCATCATCTGATAATTGGTTAGCATTACGTGGTGAATATGGTAATTATCTATTGAATGGACATTTCACCGTTAATGTTTATGAACGCAAATGGTATTATGGTGATACAACCGTAGAATATTCTGGTACTAAAACATATGGTTATGAACGTATCAATATTACACGATCAATACAAAATCCATTACATTTGGAAATACTTTGTGTTGGTGAACTACATCTGCCGACAATAAATTATAATTTTGCTGTAACATCTGATAATCAATATATTAATTATCAATGGAAAATTGATCCATATTGGTCAACATGTAATAAAGTATGTAATGGCGAACAAGAACGTCGACCATATTGTTGGGCACAGATGCGTTCATCATGGCTGATGGATACCACATCAAGATCGCCACAAATTTCCGAAATAAAAGTTTCAGATAATTATTGTGATCAACAACAACGTCCTGCAACTGAATATCGTGTTTGTAATGGTCATTGTGAATTAGAATGGCATATTCATTATCGAAGCCATTGTTCATCAAAATGTGGTCAAGGTTTTCGTACGTTAAAAATTAATTGTACACAAATATTTCATAATCATAATGAACGTATTTATATTGATGATTTTTATTGTTATCATTTGGGAGCTAAACCTTCGGAAACAGAAAATTGTACCGGTAATAGTGATAACAGTAATGATTGTCATATTTCATATCAATGGCAATATTCGGATTGGTCACAATGTCAAATATTTAATCAACAACAAAAACATCAACATACATGTGGTCAAGGACAACAAAATCGTATTGTTAATTGTATATCGACAATAACAACTTATCCAGATTCCGGTAATAATAATCCAATGAATATTCAACATTCAAATGTTGATCATGAATTATGTCGACAATATTTATCAACTGAACCAATATTGCTACAATCATGTCAGATTGAATGTCCACGTTGGAAAATTGATCAATGGAGTCAATGTAAAGGTAGCTGTACCACCAATACCGGCAATAACAATGGAGAAAAATATCGAAAAATTACCTGTTGGCATGCCGATCAACAAATTTCGGATGCTTATTGCGAACAAATTGAAACAAAACCAATCGAAAGAATTAAATGTGAATTAACTGAATGTCAGCAAAATTTTTATCATCATCAACAACAACAACATTTAGATAATCGATCAAGATCGATAATTGAAGCCGCTCAATCAATGATTGAAAATAATGAAATTTATAGTTATGATCATCATGATATTGATCAATCATCGTTAACATCATTCATATGGCAATCAGGTGAATGGTCATCATGTGATATACTATCACAATATGTACGTGAATATCATAATCGTTTTACTGAAAATTTTTATCAACCAAAATGTTTTGAATCAATTGATCAGGCAAATCAATTACGTGAAAGTTTTTTACCATTATTTCATTTAAATAATAGTCTATATTCAAATTCATATCAAGATCTTGCCAATTTACTTGGTTTAGATATTAAAAAATTAAAACGTCGTCGTTATGTTGCATGTATTAATCAACAAAATCAACAATTAACAACCGAAGATAAATGTGATCAAAAGTTGAAACCAAATTCAGAAGAAAATTGTCCCATTGAACAAAATTTATTAAAATTAATGCCAGAATTTAATCTTAATCTTTGTCCACCATCAACGACGACAACTAAAGATTTATTAATTTTAAATGAAATTGATTCGTCCAGATCGAATAATATTCAACAACAACATGATAATAATGATCATCGAACATTTATTGAACATATGGAATGGCGTACAAGTGAATGGAGTGAATGTTTTTGTGATTTAAATCGACGAAAATTTCTAAGAAAACGTTCCATACATTGTATACGATTAGCTGATGGAAATAATATTCCAGATGAATATTGTTATCATAATCAGCAATTATCTGGGGACAAACCAAATGAAATTGAAGAATGTCAAATGACGATGACAATGACAAATGCAAATGAATGTGATCCATATGCAAGGCAAATGTTACATGAACAAACTGAAATTGATCAATTTAATTATCGTTATTCTTTATCACCAACATCATCAACTACCTCAAAACCATCCATAATGATAATAACACCAACAACAACCGCAAAAACAGCACTAATATCTGCAGAACATCAAATGTCTCCGTTAGTTTCTGATTTGTCGACCATCAATCATCAACAACAACAACAAATATCACTGCCATTAAACAATGATGATAATGGTGGTTGGACAGAATGGTATGATTGGAGTGAATGTTCAGTAAAATGTGGTAATGGTATACAAACACGTGAACCAAAATGTTCATTGTTGAACAACAAAATGAATTCAAAACAGCCAAAACAAAATTCTTTATGTGATGAACGAAAACGACCACAACAACAATATCGTCAATGTCATCGTATTTGTGATATATTTCAATGGCATTATTCAGATTGGTCGGAATGTCATGCTGAATGTGGCCAAAATGGTTTTCGTATACGAACAGCTGAATGTCGTGATTGGACTGGTACACGTGTTTCAAATCATTTTTGTGAAAATATTGATCATCAATCAAATAATCATCAACTAAAAGAACAATGTTATCGTTTGGATTGCAATAATAACAATAACAAAAATAAACTTGTTTGGCGTACTGGTCAATGGTCAGAGGTATTGGAAACTGATGATGATGATGACTATAATAATGATTATAATAATGATACAATAAGGTTGAATTTTATTTATTTATCAAAAAAAATTAATGATTTTTTCTTTTTTTTTCTTGCAAAATTTCTTCTCTTTTCCCTTCTTTTTCTTTTTATTATTTTGTTTTTCATCGGTTTGCTTTGTTTTGTTTTTTATTTCGTTTTCGCTTATCCCAAACAAAAAAAATTATTTATTTGCCGCTTTGAATTTTGGACACTTACCCTACCTAACCACCAAATACACAATACAAAAATAGTGCACAAAATCATGCGGATATGGTCAACAATTACGAACAGTTAATTGTCATCGTATCAATAAGTTTGGTGTTATTGATCCAAGACCATTAGAAGATAATCATATCAATTCACTATTACCACGTATTCGACGTTTTCAATCAAAACAGTCACAATTTTCAATCAAACGATCAAAAAAGGAACGAAGACAACGACATCGAAGACAAAATCATAATCATCAAAATTATTATTATTCTTATCAAGTAGATGATTCCGATAATAATAATTATCATCAAAATTACAATGATATCATGGATAATTGGTGTGATATTAATAATAAACCCATCGATTCACAAACATGCAATCTTGGTGCTTGTTTTCAACCATTATCAATGGCTGATGCATTTGTATGGCGTACTAGTGAATGGCAAACGGTATGGATGATTTAAATGATTTGAAACACATGACTAAAGTGCAATTTGTTTTATCCACATGAACAGTGTTCATCACCTTGTGGTTTTGGTCATCAACGTCGTAAAGTTTATTGTTATTCACAACGTACAAAACAACGTGTTGATCGATCAAATTGTGATGCACGATCAAAACCGGAAAAACGTCGTCAATGTAATCTACGTAGCTGTATGTTTTTGATTCTAAATTTATTTCATCAATGATTAATATATGTTCAATTCAGGCGAAGTAATTTCATGTCAAGATCGTCGTGATCGTACACGAATACGTAAAGATGGTATCTATGAAATATGGATACAAGGAACACAGATTCGTGTCTATTGTTATGGAATGAATTTCCTGGAAAAACCATTAGAATATTTATTATTAAATGATGATAATTATTCGGAATCTATGAATCTTTATGGTACTAGGTATGTTTGTTTGATTAAATTCCAATACATTATTGATTATTTTGTTACCAGTGATTGCTCAAGGAGATATCAACAACAACGACATCCAAAATCGATCATTCATTTTAAATATGTTCGATTTGATGTATTATCTATGCAACTTTTTGGTATGTATTTTTGTATGATTATCTCTAATCTAATCTAATAATCCAATTTAGTAAATGATACACGATTATCAATGATCGATGATAATCTGAATCATCAATTTCAACCTATTGGTTATGGTCAAGCATTCATTCATGGTTGTCCATTAAGTGTACATCATCATCATGATAATTCTGCTAACAGTATTACTAATTGTTATTTTTCAAATGATCAACCAAATCTTTATCATTCGAGTACAATGGCTAATCTTAAATCAATGTTCAGTATTAATCTACAGAAAACTGGATTAATTATCGATAATAATGATATTGATCAATGGATTATTGATGATGGTAACAATAATGTTTTGGATAAAAATATTCATATTAGCCAAGTAATTATTATTCATGTTTACAAAATGAATTTTTGACTCAAATTCTTTTTTTTCTTGTTCACAGAATGGTGAAAAAATAATCGGATATTGTAGCTTTAAAATGGAAAAACTGCCAATAAAAATTGCCGCATCCATTTCGAATTGTCGTGTTGGATGTCGACCAATCAATAATATTATCCCCTTACGTATACCGTGAGAATATATTTTTGTTTCTCCTGAACATGTAATATATTTTTTTAGGCCCACAATGTGCATTCAACAATATTATTTGTAAATTTATTTATTTATTTTTTTTGTACAGATTCATCAGCTAGTCTTTATAGTATTATTTTGTACAATAATTTTGTGGTCACTTTTAAATAGTACATTATTTTGTCTAATTAAATATCATTAATTAATTGAATTGATTAGAACGATCATGAGCAATAACCATATGGATTAATTCATGAAAATAATCCAATAAAATTTGGCTACGATCATCCATAAATGGCCATGTACGTTTTGCATTACATGGCAATATTTCTGATTTGAAACGAATTTTTTTCATTGCTAAACTAGCAATAAATCTTGCAACAAGTTTTGAATGTTGATGATGATGAGAATCATCCGAAATGGGTGATGATAATTTGATTATAAAACGTGCAAGATATTCCAAAGTAAATCGTGTACCAATTTCAATTGAATGAAAACAATTAATAAAATTCTGTTTTGGTCGTTGTTTTTTATAATTATTCAATTTGACAATAATTCGATTATTCAATATTGGTACATCAAACATTTCAAACCAAGTCATCAATAAGGCGGATAATATTTTAACATCTGTTTCGAATCTTAATCGGTTCCAACCGCTTGGTTTATTATTAATTTCACGTTGATAATCAAGAATTTTTTTCATAAATTCTTGATCATCATTTTTTGGCTGTTCAATCAATGCTTCAATGATTGTCTGTTGTGATAATTTTGTTGATGAATTATCAAATGATGATGATGATAATGTGGATGATGATGCAGATGCAGATGATGATGAATTAAATAGATCCGAATCAAATATCATACTAGCACGATGTTCAGCCATTAATTTTGATGAATCCATATTATTCAGATTTTCCATATCCTTCGCATCTGTTATCTGTTCATCACGTACATCATTTACATTATCGGTTAATGCATCGATTAAACGTTGTTCATCTTCTTGGCTATGTCTTCGTTGTGATGTCGATGATAATGATGATGATGATGATTCACTTTTTGTTCTTAATTTTGTACCATTTTTTTGATCATCCATAAGAATTTTTTCATAATCAATTTCTACTGATGAATGATATGGATGACTTAGATAATTATGTGTGAAATTTTCCCACTCTTCTTTTGAATCATTCAAACGATTTATTTCGGTATTGATCGTTGTTTTCACTGTTGGTGTTGTTTTTGTTGTTAATTGAAGAAGTTTTTCACAAATAATGAACACAATTTTCGGTATATAACGTAAAATTCTTAATTCTTTACCATGTAATAGACGATTTTGTCGATGAAGAAATTCTTCCAATGTATTCGGCATTATTGATCGTATTGATGATGATGATAATTTATTATAAACAATAAAACAAGGTGCAATATAATTGGCAAACTTAAACAATATAGAAATCTGACTACGTGATTGAATTGAATTTGGTCGTTTTGATCGTACGAAGTTTATTGCATCCATCACACGACAACGAAATGTATAGATCAAAAATGCAGCAATCAATGTACCAGTACGACCAAGACCAGCATGACAATGTATTGCAACACGACCCTGATATAATGCAAATGTCAATACTTTAACCATATCGGCCATAGATTCTTCATTGATATCAAGAAAATCTCTCCATTTATAGTTGTAAAAATATACTGATAAATGTTTTCATTTGAGAGAATCAAAAAGTTTTTAATTAATCAAACCGATAAAACACTTACTATTATTATCCATAAATATTTTTGGATCATAAGTAAAACCACTGGTCGTTTCTAATGGTGGACCACAATTAGCATGTTCACCTGGTTCCTGTAAATTTATAATCGTATTGATACCCGATTGACGGAATAAATCAATAAGATTATCATTGAAAATCATATCGGTATTTGGTCTGGCCATTGCCAATATATTATCGGTTATCCAATGTGAATATAATGGTTCTAATGCACGATCTTCAATTGGCCATCCATCTGGATTATCATATTTACAACGACGTCCACCACAAAACATTGAACATTGTAATTGATTACTAGTTGATCGACGTAATAGTTCGGCCAATTTATTGTGTCTATTCGAATGAGCAACAAAAAAAAAATTCTATATCCGCGACTTTTACACAAATAACGTACCTGATTGAAGCTCGATTAAAATCAATTTTTGGATGATGATTATTCAATAATGTTATCGATAATGATGATGGTAATTGATCTTCAACATTCATTTTTTTATCTTGAAAATTTTTTTTGAATCAACCAAACTGGACGAAAGCTTTTTTTTTCACTGAAGTTAAATAACAAAAAAAAAGAAAAGAAATTGTTTTTGTTTTGGCTTGTTTTTTTCGGTTTGTTTACATACGGAAAAAAAATTAAAATATTACGCATTTTCCTGGGTGTTTTTTTTCTCTTTCTCTCGTTTACCGACAATGAATCAATCATATTTTTTATCTGACATATAGAGTGTATGAAAATTGACAAATTTCGTGTCTTGTTTTGAGTGTTCCATCATGATTATGAATGATGAAATAACCATGAAACATGAAACAATAACAATAACAATAATGATGACGACATTTTTTCACCCAAACTCGAATATTCTCGAGTTAATAAAATATCATCATAAAAGATATCTTATCTTGAAGATATTTTTATCGTTTTTTTTATTTGTTTCTACAGGAAAAAAATATGCATAATAATCATGATGATGATGATGATGACCAACTTTTTTTTTCTATTTCCCGATAGAGTTTTTGCATGTTTTTCATTCATTTCATTTCACAAAAAACACAACCACAAATGAAAATCAATTATTATTGGATAAACAAAAAAACAAAACAATATTCTTGGTAATTTAAAATTCAAGAATCTGGATTTTTTTCATCTTTTTTATATTTATTTATTCGTCTGTTTCTAGTTGTAACATGGAATATTTTTGTTTGTTTGTTGTATTACAGAAAAAGATAAAACAAAAACAAATAAAAAATTATTACAATTAAATTATCATGTTTTGTTGTTTGTTATTTCTTTGTTAATGAAATATTAGTAAAAAAAGGGACAACATTTTTTTCTTTTTGGCTAACTATACCGCTAGAATAGTTGATTTTGAATGGGTTTTTTTTGCAAATAATATTCAGTGGTAATAAAGTTGTTGTTTTTGGTTGAAAAAATTGGAAGATACAACAAGAATGGTAATGGTAATGTATCATGGCAACAACAACAACAAACAAAAAAACAAACAAAAAAAATCGATTCATCACTTGATGATGATGATAATGATGAAAGGAAGTTGCAAGAGTATGGTTTTTGTTTGCTTAATGACCTTGTAAAATTTCGATTTTTTTTGTTGAAAATTTTTTTTTAAATAAGAAATATTCTAATCATTTCGACTAGCAGCAACCTGTGTATGTTTATTAGTAATGGTGGTTTATCACAATTAATTTTTGGAATTTTTTAAATTTTGAAAAAAATGTATGAGAATCTCTATTGATGAATCAGATGATAAGAACAATTATTATATCGACTATTATTGTTATTATTTAACGATGATAATTTGATGGTAGAATTATTTGTAGCATTGGTAGTTTTGTTGTTGTTGATAATAAGTGACCATAATAGAATTAATAATTTGAGCAATGAATATGATAATAATATCACTAATTGACCGGCATATATTGCTATTATAAATGATAATGATAAACTTGATTGATTCCATGTTTGGTTTTGCGTAGGAACGAAAGAAAAAATAAAGAATTTCGTAAATGTCAAGATATTTTTTGTTTACAAAATTGTACTCACTTAATATCAAAATAAACTTCACTACAATCATCCGGTACAAGTAGAAAATCATAAAGTATATATGTATGACATATTGTTGTTATATTTAGATAAATATTAAATAATAAGGCACCAATTAAACAAATATGTATGGCCATATAATAACGTAAACTAATCCAGCCATGAATACAACAGCCAATCCAATAGCAATATAAATGCCAATCATCTATCGAAGATATTTGTCGTTGATGGCCATGATGATCATGATGATCGTTGTTATTATTGTTGTTGGCGGTGGTCAATATTGGAATCGAATGATCATGATGATCATGTGGATGATGATAATGTTTTGAATGTTTTCGTAGATGAATTATCATTAAAACAGCAATAGTAATTAGCGATAATAGTGAATAATTTTCCCAAATTGTTATCTCTAAAAACGGTACAACTATATATTCGAATACAGATCTGTTTTGTTTAAGACGAGAAAATTCAAATTAAAAGGTGAAAATCTTACCATTAAAATTTAACTTACAAAAATATGAAAAATGTTGATATTGCCCATGATATGAAAAAATTTGTTTGTAACTTTTTCTGTTCATTATTATAAATATGATGATCAAATAAATATAATGATATTGGTATGGAAATTATGGTAAATATTATTGTAGCAAATCGACCAAATGTTGATAAACCAATCAATATTGATAATAGAATTGGTGGTAAAATTATTTCCATAAATTCTTTCCGAAAATTCTCATTTTCATTCATTTTTCTTTGATATTTGTATATGAATTGATGAAAAATATGTTTCATGTTTTGTTGTTCATTTGCAAAAAAAAACAAAAATGAAAAATTGACCAGATTAATTCAATGAGAATAATAAATTGCTGTTGTTGTTGGAAGAAACACCCAATATGAATTAGGCATCAAAATTAGCCATCATAATCATTATGATGAGTATATTTGGAAGTCAAGATTTAATCATTTTTTGAGTGAAATCATCAAGTATTTGATTGTAAATTGAGATAAATTTTGTCTCTGTTAAAATGTAAACAAACAAACAAATTTCTTATAAAAATTGAAATTATTTTGAAAATGTACAAACCTTTGATCGATTTATTGAAAGTACAATTACCAAAATGATAATGATGATTTGGAATTTAGAAAATGGAAAAAAATTTTATTTTTATTTTTGGAAAAAAAACTTTTTCGAATGTTTTTTGTTTTTCGATTTTCCAAATGAGAAAAAAACCGGCTGGCTGAGTAAAAATAGACGGCGATTTTCACTTTGTGTGAAAATAGAATCGAATCGATTTTTCGCTGGTTCGCCCACATTCGAAACTTTTTACACAAAAGGATATTCTCTTTTTCGTTTTTCCCGATTTTTGGATTTGATTTTTTTTTGAAGAAATTTTTTCTTTTTTTAGAAAAATTCAATGTATTTTTCTTTTAATTTTAATTTGAAAGAAATGCTGGTAAGCGTTATTATTATCATTCAACTAACGAATCTTGTCCGGAAGTTTGACATTGAACAATGTACAAATCGATTATTAATTACAGTTTTTTTTTGTAAATTCAAGGTTCATGAAAAAAAGATGAACAAACAAATGAACGAAAGAACGAATTCCGGAACGAAATTAATCGGCTAAACAAAACAAACGCGACAAACAATTCTTGGATCCATGATGATTATGATGATCATGATTGCTCCGAAATTTGATGATGATTCAGAAACATGCGCGCCTAATCATCATCATCATCATCATTATCATCAAATGTCTTGGTTTTTCCATAACAAAAATGATGTTCCAGATGAAAATTTTTTCAAAAAAAAAACTTTGGGCAAAATTTTATTCTGTTTAACGATAATGGGGCGGTGGCCAAGTGACCTGGATTCCTAAAAAAAATTCATTTTTTCATAAAACGACTCATTTATCGACCACAATAACAACAACGACCAATTTTTTTTATTCGCCCAATAAAATACCAATCATCATCATCATCATTGAAAATTCAGTGAACTTTAAATAGAGAAAAAAAATATTATGAATTTTGTGTATGTAACATTCATTCATACGGCTCGTCGATCATCTCCATCATCATCATTTGAATGGAATTTTTCTTGTTTGGTTCTCTGTGTGTATAAGATGTTGTTCATCCAAAAAATGATGATGATGATAGTGGTTGTTGTTGTTTAGCAAGATATCAGAGAAACGATGTAAAAAATGTAATTCTTTCGTTTCGTTTCGTTTTACATGTTTCCAGTCGAAATAATATCCATCCGGCAACAGCAACAACAACAACATCCCGACAACAACAAAATACAAAAAGCCAAAGCAAAACGAAACGAAAGAAAAAAACCAAAATAAAATTGAAAAAGATTTTTCGTTTCGTTTCATTTTCTTTTCGATTCATTTGGCCAGAATTCATTGGATAATGGTGAATGAATGAATGAATGAAAAATATCTAGGCCACAAAAGCCTTTTTTCTTTTCTTTTCCTTGCTTTTTTCGTTGAATGGAAATTCTTCTATTTCTTTTATCCACCACTCTATTCATAATAATCTTTCAAAGAATTTAACTCTCACTCACTCATTCACTCAATGAACAACAAATTGATTTAAGGAAAAATCTTTAATGTTAAATAAATAAACTTTTTTTCTCTTTTCTTCGGCTATGTTTGGTCGATTTCAATTGAAATTCAATTGAATTTTTGTGATCTGCGGTGGCCACAGAAAAAAAATCCTTCTTTTTTTTCGTTCGATATCGATATATCCGATAGTAGTTATATAATAATAATCGATTATATTGTCCGATAAAACACCTCATTATGATCATCATCATCATCATTATTATAATCGATTATATCGCCCGATAAAATCGATAATTTGTATTCGATCGTTTCCTTTCTATTGAAAAATTTGATAACCGCAATATATCCTAGTCGGTTATCAGATTTTATTTTTTTTACAAAAAAAAAAAAAAATCAAAGTAAAAATGATTAATTAGCGCATACAGTGTTAAGTGAAATATCCGAAATAAAACCCGATTATTTAATCAACAAAAAGGATGTTGTTGTTTAAACCAGCAGAAAAATTCCGGTTGATTGAATTTTTTTTCCGAAAAACTTTCGTTAAGAAAAAAAGGGATAGCCCATCATGTTATTTACAGGGAAAAAAACTGAAAACTAATTTTCAATCAACCAACAGCAGCAGCCAACAATTTCATTTTCCATCAAACACACACACACACAGTCAACCAACAAATACCGTTTTCATCCGGGTATATTTTCCGTAATTTTTTCTTGTTTGTTTCGAATAAAATTTAATAATTTTTGTATGAAAAAAATCAGTTTTTTCAATCTTTTCTCGTTTGAACATGCGCGAGATTTTTTTATTTCCGAAAAATTTTCTAGGTTTTTTTTTGTTCCCGATTTTGTTGTTGTTGTTGTTTTCTGGTCAAGGTCTTTCTCTCTCTCTCACTGGTTGTCGGTAAGCTTGATAGGTCTTTTGGATTTTGTTTTTCCCGTTCTGGGAATGATGTTTTTTGGTGGTGATGGAAGCGATAATCATCATCATATGGATGATATGATGATGATGATTGGGTGTAAATGGGCGGGAAACGATGAAACAACGACGACGAAAAATTACCATTCAAAAACATTGATGACAAGCGAAACAAAAAAAAAATGGAAAATTCTTCGATTTTCAGATTCTGGGTTCAAAAAAAAATTGTAAAAATTTTTCAAAATTCGTTTTTTTGGTCTGTTTCGCCCATCATCAAACAAACATCGATATCGATGATGATGATGACGACTATATACACTCAATCATCATCATCATCGAAAGAATTTTCTGTGTGGCGAAAAAAAAAAATTCTGTGCGAAAACAACCAAAAACAAAAATCGATAAACTAACAATCAAAAAAACAACAAACAAAAAAAAACATTACACCAAAAGAATATTCTTTAATAGATTTATTTTATGTTTCTTGCTGTCTGTTCTACTACTATGAAACTACCAACCGGAACAATCACCCAAACAAACAACCGAAAAACAAAATAATCATCATTTTAAATCAAGTCAAGTTCCTATCTATCTTTGTTTGTTTTGCTTATTCTCTCTACATAGAAGAAAAACATCATCATCCACCAGCTTGCTAAAATTGATAATAAATTATTATTTTGGATTTGAGAAGAGAGAGTGAAAAAAAGAATGGTCAACAAACAAACAAACAAATCGAACGACGATAATAACAATAAAAAACAATTCAATGATGAAACACAGTGAGCTCTCACAGGAAAAACATTCGATTCGATTTTTACTTTTTCGAGACAATTTATGTCATTATAGAATCGAATGTTTTTTTTTGTTCTGTCGGTGTTGTTGTGTTCGAATTCGAACCAAGACCATAAACAAACAAAAAAATTTTATCTTTTTTTTTCTTTCAGGTTTTTTTGTTTTGTTTCTTTACTTTGCTTGCTTGTCTTTATAAGATGTTTTTTGTTGTTGTTTATGTTTGTGTTCATCCTTCCGTTCTGGATGTTTCAATGATGTTGATGAGTATTCAAGAAGTGAAACAATAACGAAGAACCAACAAAAAAAGTGATATTTCCTTATATTGATGGATTCTATAATGATTTTTGTTTGTTTGTATCGGTTTTTTTTCGATTTGTTTTCTTCTCAATTTTCTTATTTATTTCTGTTTTTTTTTGCCCAAAAATAGGTTCTGCCCAAAATATCAAATAAAGATGATGATGATGATATACACCCCTCTTATACCGAAAATATATATTTTTTCCGAATGTATTATGTGGGTGGATGTATCAACTACTAGCTCCCCCGAATGTCGAATAAATAATACCCATCATCAATGGTAAATGGAAAACAGGAATGGAATGGAGAAAAAAAAATCACAGCCATTCAATTCGATTCGATTCGATTCAAAGTCAAATCCTAAAGAAAGAAAAAAAGCAAAGGAATCGACCCAAAGAATTAGAACGAAGCCAAGATGTACAACGATGAACAAACAAAACATAGTTTTGATTCGAATAAAAAAAATAGAAGAATTTATCGAAATAGAAGAATAGAAGGCTGTGAAACTAAGGATCCAGGATCCATAGAATATTTCTCAAATCGCGTTCGATCTATATAGAGCAATATATTCGCTTCTGGTATTTGCGCATCATCATCATTAACATCGTTGAACATCGACCGACCAAAAGACAAGAATTGAAAAACAAAATCACGAAATTTATGATTATTGTTTTCGAATGGTGGTGGTGGTGGTGGATACATTTTTTTCGTGTGTTTTATCATGTGCCATATCAACGAAAAACAGAAAAGCATCATTCAGAGATGTATTTGGCTGGTATTAATATTGGTATCATGATGGTTACCCCGACCTTCGATTTTGATTTTAGTTTTGGTTCTTTGGTGGTTTCTTTTCAGAATCGAATGTGGAAAACCTGGTGTCTATGTCTATGTGTGTAACCAAGAAGGAAGCTTCAAGAATTCAAAAGACTATATACTGTGTTTTTGTGCACTAAATGAAAGAAAATTTCATCGCCCTTCTTTGTCGATATATCGTTGTGTGTGTGTGTTTGTGTGTTTGTTTGGCTCCTTTTCATTTTTTCCCTCACATTTTACACACAAGCCAAATGAAAAAGATTTTGTTATGTTTGGATTTTTTCTTTCGTTTCATCTAAATGGATGCTTATTATTATGGGCTGTACATGATGATGATGATTGTGTGATGGAATGGAGAACAAAAAATAGTGATCCATTTGGAAACAAAAATTTGTTTTTTGCAAAATAATTCCAGTGTGTGTGTGTTGAGAATCGATTTTGATTCTTGAAATACCACTACCGTCTTTTTTTTGCATCCAGAAAACATCATTTCAAAGAGATATATAGAAATTTCATTATAAAGCTGCATCATCACTTTTTTTCAACCCAAAAATTGATTTTCAAAGAATGTCTTGATACTGCTGCCACCGTTTTTTTTCGTTGCGTGTTTCGTGTTTTCAAACTTCCAAATCTCTCTCTGTCTCTCGTTGAAATTGAAAATTGAATTGAAAATGAAAAAAAATATATCAAGAACACAACACATACTCTTTATATATCATTTTGTGGCCAACATTGAAAATAAAATAGTAGAAGACAGTAACGAATAAGTAAAGTCATTCATCGTATTCAGGATCCATTCACATCCATTCTAGGCAAAGTGAAATTCTACTGGATCTACAAAACAATTTTGAATATCATATTCAATATATCCATTGAACAAACAAACAAACAAACCCAACCAAAAGTGAACAAAAATATTACATGTTCTCTTCCTCAAACAGTGTGTGTTTGTGTTTGTGTGACAAATGTGAGAACAAACAAACAAACAAACAAACATGCACCAAACACATCACATATAGAAAAATATATTAAAATCATAGCCCAAAAAAATGAAAATTATATAATATTTATAACAGAATATTATATGTGTGTGTGTGTGTGTTTGTCTATGGGCATAAACAAAAAACAGAAAAAATTTATATGAAAATGATAATAATAATGATGATGATGAACATGGAACAAAAACAATGAAAATGAAACAATGATTCTTCTTCTTCGTTGTTTTTCTTCTCTCATTGTTAATTAATTAATTATCATTTCTAGAATTTTGTGTTTGTTTTTTTTTGTTGTTGTAGGAATTTCTATTTTGTGCAGGTTGAAAAAGATTCTGAACTTTTTTTTCTGTTTTTTGTTGTTGTTACCTGCAGATTTTGAAAAAAATTTGTTGTTTGCTAATAATCATTCAATGATGGCTAAATATAAATGAAATCGATAATGTATCATCATCAACAACAACAAAAATCATCATCATCATTATTTATTGTTTGTGATTGTCATTCGTTGGTATTGCTGGACAGGTTAGTTATACATTTTCTATTTTTCTTAAACAATTTTCTTATTCTGGGTCAACCTAACCTAATCTAACCTCTCCCAATATATATCAATAATAATAGGTCTTGTCATTGTTTTTATTCCATCATCCATCATCATCATCATCACCATTCATATAATCATCATTGTTCGTTAAGGACTTTTTAGGCTGTTTTGTTTGAATACAAATAAAAAAAAACATCAAATCGGAAATCACCAAAAAAATGTGTTAATATTTTTGTTTCTGATTCTCCACGTTGTAACCAAGTCTTCCAAAAATCATCATCATCACTATTGATGTTTGAAAATTCCAGTAAACAGTGCTTCCAATTCGATCAAATCAAATTCATTCAAATCCAATCAATCATTATTATTGTGATTCAACAAACAAACAACCAAATTCCATCTTTATTTCGCTACAGAATATAAATCTGTCTTCCAAGAATTTTATTCTTTTTTTCTCAGAATTCATTCATTTTTTGTTGTTGAAACCATAACTCTGTATGACCCGATCAAAACCAAAATACAATCAATTTTTTTCCAATGAAGTCTTCCATTTTCGTCTTTTCTCTGTATATCACCTGGTATTCTTAATTAGTTTCATTTAATGTTGATCATTTTGTGTGTGTTTGATTTCTCATGTGGGCTGTTATCATTATTTTTCTCTTCAATCAAATTCAATTTTTTTTGCTTTCTATTGATTGAACAACACACACACATTTGTAATTAGAATTCAAAGAGAAAATTTTCTAAGCTTGTAAATTACTGTTGTATTCTTATTATGTGAAAATATACAGAACACAAAACGGCTGGCTGATTTTTTCATTCAATCATCATCATCATCATTTATCACCAGGTAAGTAAAGAATCAATTTCTCTCATCAAATCAAATCATCAGAAAATAATGATGATGATTGAAATTGAAAATTGAATTTATCTTATTATCATCATTATATTTCTTTCTTTATTTCTTTGATTTTTGTTTTCTTCTTCACCAATTATCCATCCAACATCATCAAAATTAACGTCATCATTTTTGTTCATCATAATGATATTCTTCTACCACCATCATCGTATTCAATTCAATTCAAATTCTATTTCTACCACCATCATCATTTACCAGATCGACAAAAACAATTATTGATCAATTTTTTTCACAAAAAAAATATCATTCAAGGATTGACTATTGAATTGTATGTTGTAATGTGCAAATTTTTGTTTCAATTCTGATGCAATTCTTGTTGAAACAAAAATTGCTTCCGATTTTGGCAATCTTCTTTGAGTGTGTTTTTTTTATGTGAAACAAAACCAGAAAAAAAGTGCAATACCTATTTGAATGAAATTTTTTTAAAAAAAACTTCTGTTCTGAAAAGAGAAATAAAGAAAAGAATATCACAAATGAACAATATCTAAAGATTAAAAAGGTCAATTCAATTCAGCAACTAAAATACATTGTGTTTTTTGTTTTTTGGTTGATATAGTATTACTGATCAATTCAATCTTATCAACCTTTTTTTTATTCATCACCATCATCATCAACATTGTGTTTTTGTTATTATTCTTATTCTTATTTTACACTATAGTCATTTATTCTTAAAGGCAAGTAATTTTTCTGTTTTCATTGGGGATGTTGTAAGATAATCTTTCATTTTTTTTATTAGTTGGTTTGCTTTTTTTTCTTCACAATGTTATGATCATATTTCTTTAGATTTTTACGGCAAACAAACAAACAAAAAAAATTAGTTATATTTTATTCTGCCTAATAAAAATATGTTTGACTTATTAGAATTACTGAGAATGTAATTAGATACTTTATTATTGATCTTTTCCTCTTTTGTTGTATATATCTTGTTCGTTTGACATAATAATTTGTTTTTTTTGCTTTCCATCATCCCAAAAAATATAGATTCATCAAAGTTCAATTTTAGTGCCCAGAAAAAAATTTGTTTCAAACTCAAATAATAATAATAATAATAATAATGGCTGGTAATAAAGTTGAAATGAATAGTTTTGATGGTAATACGGCGATGGGTATTTCATCAACTACAATGGGTGTTGGCGGTGGTATTCATCAGGCAAATAATGCAACAACAACCATTGGTGGTGGTCGTATTGCGTCCGCTTCTGGTCAACCGGCTGCAATATCTGGTGGCGGTGGTGGTGTTGCCACCGAAGTTAAATTAACCAATACAAAAAATATACCCGAACGTGGCCAATGGTCCGGACAATTGGATTTTTTAATGTCTTGTATTGGTTATGCAATCGGTTTAGGAAATGTATGGCGTTTTCCATATCTATGCTATAAAAATGGTGGTGGTAAGTTTATTTTCTTTATTTGATATATTTTGAGTAATTTTACAAGGCAAAAACCAAATTCCATGATGATTATGACGCCCTTAGGATATAATATTGAAGAATTTATTGAAAATTATATCAAAAATGACAAGGAACAAAATCAAAATGAATGTTATGTAGCTTCAAGCTTTATTGAATTCTCAAAACTTTGAATGCAAGTTTAATTCGGCAAAAAAATGAGAATGAAAATTTCAAAAGTTTTTTTTGTTCGCAAGTTTATTGAATATTATTCTCTCACTATTGATAGTATAGTTGATCGACAAGGTCGATCAAGTCGATCAAAACGATCGATTCATTCGATTGGTGATCGATTTGTTTCAATTTTTTTCATATTATAGGTCTATTCTTTTCTAAATTTTTTTTCGAAGATGAAAAATTTAAATTTATAGAGTTGATACAAAAAATGAATTCATTTGAATGATGGACCAGAGAAAAAAAATCTTTTGTAAAAGTAAAAGAATTTTCATTCAATTTTTTTCTATTTAAAATTTTTTTTTCGGTCAACCACAAAATATATATAGAGAGAGAACATGTGTGTTTCAAATACCGACTGTTCAATCAATTTGATTAAACAAACAAAAGCGAAACGATTCTCATTATGTTTGTCGGAAATCCAAATCAGACAAAAAATCAATCTTGCAACTATGTTTGTTTGTCTGTATTATGTTTAGCATCGGCGATGTGTTTTAGCAATCATCATCATCATCATTGAATGATTTCGGTCATCGATTCTTTCGTATCATTTTTGAAACATTTTCCCATATATAGCAAGAGATAGAAAGCTGAGTAGACATTATTTATGATGACTATGATTATTTTGTCCATTTTATGTAACAAAAATATGTAGGCCAAAATAGATTAAAGAGATGATGATTATGATGATTTTAGTTTTTTTTATTTCTTTACAAAAAAAACATTGATTTCAATCAGAAAATTTTTTGATCCATTAAATACATGATCATTTTGATCAAAAATTTTTATTCTATGAATTTTGTCACACCACCATTGAGTTTGACCGGTTCCGAAATACATGTTTCAAAAAGTTTTTTCTGTGAAACAAGGAGAAAACTTTTTGTTTCCAATCAAGTCTGTTTCATTTCACTTTCATTCATTCATTCGATTGGATTCAATTTGAATATGATGGATTCACATTCAATACACACATTTATTTATAACGTTTTTGTTTCACGGTTCAAAACGAAAAGTTGAAATGAAAGTTTTTTTTTGTTTCTGGAACATACCATAGTGAAATAGTTGTTTGTTTTCCTGATGAAACTGATTGGACCAGAAAAAACTTTTCCAAAAAAGAAGAATCGGATTCCATAAATATTTTCTTTTCCATGGAAACAATTTTTTTGCATAGTATCGATTATCTTTACTCCGGGAATTTAAATTATTTTTGATCCGATAAAAATTTTGTTTAAATAATCTTTTTTGGTTTCCATTCCTTCATCATATCTAAAAATTTTAACTAATTATCCTGAATTTTTCATTTGAAGTTTGTTTGAGCATTCTCTCTTGACGCTTTTCTGGTTGACTGCCTATTCAGGAAAGAATATATTTTTTTAAGTTGAAAGTTTCTATCAACAACAGATTGTGTTCATTAAAATGAAACAAAAAAAACCCATCAAAAACTGGATAAAGAGAGAGAGAGATGTTCATTTGTTCAACTCTTTTACACCTGTCTGCCTAGCATGACTTTTTGTGAGCATATGATTTATCTTTATGTCAAAGTTTTTTTTGCTCCGAAGAATACTCATTAAAAATCACATTCAGGTAGTTTTTATCTTTATGAAAAAAATGAAAACTTTTTTATTATTTTTTTCGCATAATGCATACATTTATTATCGAAAAAATTCAAAAAAAACAATGATTTTTTCGATTGATTTCTTTTGATTCGGATGATGATTAATTGATTTAAAATTGTATCATTTTTTTCGCGCGCACATCATTTTTTTCTGTCAAGTCAGCATTGATGAAGATGATGGATTTTTTTTTTGATTGTTAAAACTTTTTTATTTCCGTTTGTCGATTCCGGTGTGAAAAAAGAGAAGGAAAGAGAGAGAGAGAAAGAGAAAATATGGAAATTTCAATTTCCGTTTTACTTTGCAGCAACAACGATTTTTATAATTGAATTTAGAATCATTTTTCTTTGCCAACTTTTTCATTTTTCTTACATATCTTACAGATCTTTTTTTCTTTTTTTTCAAATTTAATTTTAAATTTCCTATTTGATTTAATTTTTTTCTTCTTTTCTTTTAGGTGCATTTTTAGTACCATATCTATGTTGTCTAGTGTTTGCCGGTGTACCGGCATTTTTTCTCGAAGCATCACTTGGTCAATGGCTTGGTATCGGTGGTTTAGGTGTTTGGCGTATTTGTCCTGTGTTCAAAGGTTTGTCTTGCTTGACTCTGGTCCGAAATTAATTTCATCAACTTTTTTTCAAAAAAAACTCAATTAATTAATTTAGGTGTTGGTTATGCTGCAGCTGTAATGGCATTCTGGTTAAATGTTTATTATATTGTTGTATTAGCATGGGCTTTATATTATTTTTCACAAGCAATCGCTGTTGATGTTCCCTGGAAAGGTTGTAATAATTGGTGGAATACTGAAAGTTGTCGTTCAGAATATGATCTAGCTGATGAAGAACGTCGTTGTTATATTGAACGTGGTGCACAAGATTTTACCTGTAAAATGAATACATCATTATTTACAAGTCCAGTTAAAGAATATTGGGAGTAAGTCAAAACAGTTGAACAAAAAAAAATTCAAACTTTTTAAAAATGTCTATATTACCCCTGTGATTAATGTTATTTTAATGTTTTGAGCAACCATCACCTTCGCACCTGTTTTTCATCATAACTAAATTGAGCATCCATTTGTTACATTTTTTTGTCTGTTTTTGTTGAAAATTTATAGAAATAATGTACTACAAATAACAACTGGAATGGATGATTTTGGTGGTGTACGTTGGCCATTAGCACTAACATTGTTTATAACATGGGCTGCTTGTTATTTTGCCATTTTTAAAGGTGTAAAATGGACCGGAAAAGTATGTTGCAGTTGGCAAATTATTTATATTTTAATGATAAAAAAATTTAAATTTAAAATTTTTTTCCATATTACCTTTGATTATATAGTTGGTATATTTTACATCAGTATTTCCATATGTATGTTTATTCATATTATTATTACGTGGTATAACGCTTGATGGAGCATGGGAAGGAATACGTTATTATTTAACTCCAAATTTATCAAAATTAACCGATGCAGGCGTTTGGAATGATGCTGCAACACAGATTTTCTTTTCATATGGTCTTGGTTTAGGTGCTTGGATTGCATTAGGCAGCTATAATCGTTATCATAATAATGTTCATAGGTAATTTATTTCTCCATTTTGTTTTGTTTTTTCCATCAACTTTATTTATCTTTATCATCCTGATGATCATTTATTGATTTAGAGATGCACTTATTATATCATGCGTCAATAGTGGTACATCAATGTTTGCCGGTTTTGTCGTATTCAGTATTATTGGATTTATGGCTAAAGCACAGAATAAACCAGTTGAAGATGTAGCTACTTCAGGTAAAATTGATCGTTTGTTTGTTTTTGGTTGAACAAAATTTTGATTTTTTTTTCTATTTTCAGGTTCTGGTCTAGTATTTTTAGCCTATCCATCAGCTACACTAAAATTACCATTTTCACCATTATGGTCAATGTTATTCTTTATGATGATTGTTATGTTAGGCCTCGATAGTCAGGTAATTTTTCATTCGTTTCTTCATTGTTTTGGTACTAATTTATTTTTTTTCGTAAAAGTTCTGTACAATGGAAGGATTTTTTACGGCAATCATCGATGAATGGGCACATATATTACGTCCACATAAAGAATTATTCATTATGTTTGTTTGTATGATATCATATTTGATTGGTATTATATTTGTTGTCAAAGGTGGAATGTATTGGTTTCAATTATTTGATTATTATGCTGCATCGGGTTTCGCTTTATTGTTTCTCATATTTTTCGAAGTTGTCGCCATATCATGGTCATACGGTATGTTTTTGTTTGGGAATTGATTACAATTTGACCTGGACAATAATCATCATTATTATATTTTTAGGCGTAAATCGTTATTATGGAAATTTAAATCAAATGTTGAAATTTCCGATACCAATCTGGTGGAAATTATGTTGGTTTTTTTTCACACCATCTGTTTGCTTTGTAAGTGTGCATATTTATGTTGTTTTGATTTGTTTTAATCATTCGATTTTATATGACTTTTTTTAGCTGGTATTTTGCTTCAGTCTTTATCAATATAAGCCTTTAAAATATATGAATTATGAATATCCATGGTGGGGACAGGCCATTGGTTGGTTTCTTGCATTATCATCAATGGTTTGTATACCAGGCTATGCTATTTATCTGTACATTGTTACACCAGGTACTTTTAGCGAGGTAAGTCGTCTAATAATGATAATTAGATAATTAAAGTTTGAAAACAAAACAAAAAATTAATTAATTCTTACATTATTATCCATTAATAAAATACTAGCGTATGAAAGCATTATTTCGGCCAGATATACCTGAAGTTGAAGAAGAAATACGTCGTCGATCACAAGATGATATTGATACATCTGTTACACAGGTTTAAAAATAAAAGAAACAAAACAAAAACAAACACACCATGCATTCACATCAATGAATTGATAAAATGCATCAAATGATCATCGATCATCATCATCATCAATTCAATCAAATAATAATTGGAGAAAATTAGCTTTGAATTTCATCATTCATTCATTCACCCATCTCACCATCATCTCTATAAAACCAACTCGTGTTCATAATAAACTGTGTCGATGTCAGTGGGTGGATAATGTGAAATTATCACACATACACACAGAGAAGGATAAAGATATTGATAACACACATTAATGATATATTTAAATAAATGTAGAGATATTAATAATAATGCTAATAATAATGACTTGTATTTATATTTGACATACATACATAAACACCTACTACCCAATCGGATCCAACTCCTCCTACTTATTGATCATCATCATCTAATCATTATTCAATTTTTTTTGTTGGTCTTATTACAAGCCAATCTTCAGCATCATCATTATTATTAATCATCATCATCATTTTCTGTTGTTTTTTGTTACTATAGTCATCATCATCATTATCAAGAGTGTTAATAATAATAATAAAGTTCGTAAATTCGTAAAGTTATGTAATAATATTAATTGAATAATGCTAATCACAATTTTCATTTTTCATTGCACTCTAATTGCCTTTCGACATTACATTTTTGTTTCATTTTGAAAACAAACACACAAACATCAATCAATCAATCAGTTATCACAAAAATACAGGTAAAAATTAATTAATTAATTAATTAATATTTACCTCGAATTTTCATTTTCATTTTCATTTTTGATAGTCACAAATGAAGCCAAACACAATCAAGCTTTTGAAAACTTGAATCACATGCGATTTTTTGTTGTAAATATTTCAAAAGTTATCATCATCAGCAATCAATAATTTTTTTTGTTTCGTTTCGTTAATTTGATGATGATAATGATGATCACACAATGGTAGACAGTGATGATAAACTAGAAACAATATTCAATTGTAACTTCAGCACATGAGATACACACCCGCCAAACACATATTGTGGAAACCTTATCAAGTTTTTTCTTTTTTGGTAACCTTCAAAATGATGACAATAATGATGATGATATAGATATGGATCGTTATTAGAGAAAAAAAATTATTTAAAAATTTACAAAATATTTTTTGTTTTGTTTTTTGGCCTTACCCGAAAATAGAAGAAAAGAAATGAAACCTTTCAACAAAAATATTTTTTAGCCATTTAGGGAGAAAAACATATATAAAAACAGCCATAATGACAATAATGTAGATAGCAATCAATTTCAATTCAATCATATTCATGTTCTTCATATATCACACAACAAACCAGTTAATGATTGATCCTGAAACATATCAAGAATTTTATTTGAAGGGAAAACAAAATAAAACATTACCAAATTTTTTTGCCATATAGCTCCATATCACAGGTTTTTATTAATAAATTTTTGTCAATTTTTTCTTCTTCTTCCAATGTTGCTTGTTTCTTCTTCTTCTTTGCCCAAGTCTTCCAAATTATTTTGATTCCTGCAAAAGTAAACAATACAAAAAAAAAATGTAAGAATCAAATCGAATCAATGTGCGTACCGGCCACAATCTCAATTCAAAATTTTTCATCAAATTCAAACAAAAGTCTTCCATTTTAATAAAAAAAATAATCATTACAACAGCTACCAATCACTAAGATTGATCAATGATTCTTATTATTATCAAAACTTACCCACCACATAAACACACATTCATTAATGACATTGACATTGTGACACTGATACTTATTATTATTATTATTATTATTATTATTATTGGATTTTGAAAAAAATTATTATTAATAATTATTATTATTATGTAATTGGGTATTATTATTCTGTAATTCGAATTATATTGTTTAATTGAATTGAAAATAAATAAAATAAAAATAAAAATAAAATCTAATGACCTGAAAATAATCTATTTATAAATCAATAGAGAAGTATTGATTGATTGATTAATATATCGGTCAAATACACTTCTTTTTTTTTGGTCGCGTTTCACGGTTAATCGATTAATCCGTTCATTTCAGATGATTTAGTTTTGTAAAGAAAAGCATTGCCCTCGTTCTATGTTAATATTCAATCAATGATTATGATGTAATTCACACCCCCATATGAATACCAAGTCAGTCAGTCACTTCAGTCAATGAGCTAGACAATCATTGACCATGAGGCAAAATTAATCGAGTTTATTTTCAGAAAGTTCGCGCCTAAATCGTTGAGATCATCAAAAATAATAGTTTTATAGGCGCCTCTTCAATTTTTCAAATAAATTAATAGGATTTTTCGAAAAATTATGATGTTAACAAAAAATTCTGGAAGAATTTCATAAGTAAATATTTTACACAAAAAATCAAACCAGTTTAAAAAAATTCTTCACAATAACCTAACCTCACTTGACTATGAATCATAGTCATAGTCATAGTCATCAACCTAACCTCACTTGACTATGAATCATAGTCATAGTCATAGTCAT